CGGAGGTGTTCTGGGTTTTGCTATAGCGCATGAACTCATTGGCGACTGCTTGGTTCGCATCACTGAATAGTTGTTCCTCATACGAGCTGCCGATATATCCCTCGTAGTACTCGGCGTTGAGAGTCGCGTGGTACTCGATTGGCTTCACTTCCTTCGTCTTCAAGACCGATACTTGGGCCGTAAACAGGGTTTCCGTCCGAGCAATGCACTCCGCGCTCTGTCCATTCCGGATGTTGCTATCAAAGTCTTTCAGGTAGTAGGAAAGCCCCTTGTGTACATACTCTCCACTGTCTCTGCGATAGGCGGTGGACGACCACGATGCGTAAATCGCAGTCAAGATGTCGCGTCCTTCGGTCCAGTGGGTCAAGGCCGACAGGTAAGCAGATTCTGCGCCTATAAGAAGCCCGATAACCAACAAACCCTGTAGGTCTCCCGTGGAGGACATTTCATACACATCTGCTGAAAGCCATGTCACTCGCGCGAGATTCTTCTCTCGTTTTCCATTGATCAGCCATTTGGCATACTTGAGATAAGCATCGCCCCACTGCCGCAACATGTCTTCTTTTCCATTCTTGACCAGGTCCTGTAGCACATGCATGACTTCCCAGCGACCGAACGACGAGTGACGCAAGTAAAAGCTCACCATATTGAAAACAGGTGGAAAGTAGAAGGATGCTGTGAGGGTATTGAGGATGACAGTAACGCTTCGTGAAGAGTTCGCGTACCGTCTAGCAAAGAGTTGGTCTTGAAGTTTCAGCAGCTCCTGAACTCGCTCTTCCATCGGTTCCTTGTGGGCTTTCCAGGACTTGGCTCCTGGAGGAAGTGGCAATCGGCTGACCTTAGCACCATGTTCAAGGAGTACCCTGATATTCTCTTCGGAATTTGCTTGGATGGCTCTGATTAACGGCGTATCACCATAAGTGGCCTTTCCTTCGATTCGGGCACCCGAGCCTAGCAGCAGGTCCACGACATCTTTGTGGTCCGAGGTAACGGCAATATGTAATGCAGTCAATCCACTCCGGTCCTTGGCATTAATCTCGGCGCCACGACTGATCAAGAATTCCGCCACGTCTTTGTGGCCTCTCGTGGCGGCCCAAAAAAGTGGCGCACGTCCATAGTTATCTTTTGGCCAGGTGAGATGGCGAGAGGCTGTGTGATCGGAACCATACTGTTGAAGTAGCATTCTGGTCCAACCTACGTTACCAAAGTACGCGGCTAGATGCAAGAGACTGAACGTGGGTGCAACCCCGCCGTACTTCTCCTCTTCCCAATAGAATTTCCACCAAGATTCCCGAATTGGAGACTGAGGCAGGAAGAACGGACGTAAGAAGTGAGACTCATTCATCACTTCGAATGCATGTCGGAAGTGCTCTGGCCAGTACGTGCACGCATAAGCCAGGAGACTGTTCTTTACACAGGAGTTGCTGATGTTGTCGGAAGACTTGTGACTTTCTTCGATGAGAGTCAAACAAGTCTGCATAAGGCTCAAGTGAGTAGTCTGATCCATGTAAAACATGTTGATCCCTCTTATATTGACTTGTTCACTCTGGAAAAACTCCTTTGCCGATTCGTGAACGAGGTTCACGACGGTTCCCTCGAGCCTCACCAGTAGACCGCAAGATGTTATTTGATCCCTTAACATGTCACTTGCTGTCATGACGCCTGATGCTTTTGTTTTCGTCACCGCTGTCAACTCGTCCACTGTCAGGGGCCGGGCAGCAAGAACTATCCATTGAAGCATGGAGATCAGCCTCTCTTTGTCAACGACTAGTTGTAGTAGCCGCTGATAGACTCCACCAAGGCCCTTTGGCATTCGATGAAGGACTTCTTGAACCTGATCCCAATTCCGGCCCTTAAGCTCATCCGCGACGAAACCGACCCACAAGAAGGTTCCATTGGCGCCGGCTTGTAAGGCATGCTGGATGACCAGTAGGTTTTCGTCCGACAGGCTCCGCTCAGACTTCAATTCCGCAACTTCGGAAAAGATATATCTCTCGACATCCATCCTAGTCTCTTCTTCAGAATCATCAAGTTTGATCCGATGATATCGGCCGAGTCTATCCTCCAGGAGTTTTGGTTGGGGGCGGGACAGACAAACGAGCTTCAGTTTCGGTGTTGGCCTTTCCTCGACTTTGGAGATGTAGTCTCCGAGGGCATCTAGGAGTTGTCTCAATGAATTCTTCTCGCATTCATCCAATCCATCTAGCACACACACTACCTCGTTAGATCTGCTTTGACTCAACATGATGAGGAACAGCCTCCACAAGGAGACAAAACTGGAGATGGTATATTTGGTTGTTTCGGAGCCTTCGAAGTAGGTTTTGATGTGCTGAGCCAAATGGGGTTGGAAGCTGAGCCACTGGAAAAGAATTCCTCTCATGATGGTCAGTGCCGTGTTCCGGCTTCTGTCACGATTACTGATGAAGTAATAGAGAAGAACACCGTTTCTAGAATCCACAATTGGCTGCAAAACTTCTGAAAGATAGATGGATATCATAGTCTTCCCCTTCCCAGGACCTCCTGAGATCCAGAGAAGCGGTTGACCATCACCGGCTAGCCATTCTTGGTAGCTCGGATGCTGTATGACCCAGTCGCAGGTACCATCAGCTCTCCGCCCTTTCAGTGCAATCAAAGAAGTCCGGTCAATTTCGGGTCTTGTTATGAGCAAAGCATCGAGAACAGGGGCAGCCGAGATCATGGTATCCGCTTCCTGATCTACCGCAAGAGCTAATGACTTTGGAGCCATCGGAATTAACAACAGAATCTCTTTAGCATATGCAGCGGCGGTAGCGGCGGCGTAGCCATGCCAGAGCTTGGAGCGATGTGAATCTGCATAGTCACAAATTCCGCGGATGATCAAGCATTGATCTGTGTCCAAGAAGCCAGTCGCCTCTGTTTCGAAACAAAGTATACCATGCTCGCGCGCCAACTTATCCATGGTTGTCTTGCTGCATTTCCACAGGTCTGCAGATGCAATCAGGCCATAGTGTACTTTAGGGTCCTGGTTTTCCCGCCGCGGTCGACTCAGAATTCTGTTGGGGTCGCAGTGATTGCATCCGTTCTCCGTGGACCCCGTGGTTACATGCTCATAGTCTGAGTCAAAGAGAACGTCCTCATCCGCACCTGGGCTGCCAAAGGTTTGGGGGTCTGTCGATACGATATCGGAGACATGCCTAGGTATCTGACTCTCGCCGAGGATACTGATTGTCTCTGCTTTGCCCGCTGCTGTAATAAGGAGGTTCGATGGCTTCTTCAATGCCTTGATACCGGTGAACTGATCATGGTCGGAGGTCTGGGATCCGTATAACATGAGCCCCGGCCGGGTCGCCGTCGGTTTGCTTACAACGACATCGCCCAGAACGATGTTGTTCTTCGTATTCGGTGTTCCTCCACCAATACCAACCATTAGACTGAACCGTATGGATCTGAAGTTCTCGTGCATGTGTTTCGCTACGGCCGCAACTGAGATGCTGCCATGCAAGCCAGAGGATCGTGACGCGAGTACGACGTTATGGCTACCGACCCTTCCCAGGACATAGTGATTGGTGTCGCTAACATTCGGATCCAGAGGTGGATTAGGGTGGATCTCGTCAAGCATGGCCTCAGCCGCCGCGAGTTCCACAGGGAGAGCGCAAAGCCATCCGACTGTGTAGATATCCCGCGAAGCCATATTGCAATAGGGTTGTATTTGCTCGACAGCAAAGAGCCGTGAGATGGAGGCTTCGTAGCTAATGAAGTACTTTGTGTTGCGCAAGAAATCAATCTGAGGAGCGTCTCAGCCTAATTTGTGTTTTGGTGTTCCTCAGCCTGAATGCGTCGCTTCAACTGTGATGCAGAGCGCTGCCAAAAGTCAGAACGCCAACACGTTCCTTCAATAGAGGCACGGCTGTTCAGAGTGCAGCCCAAGAGGCAGCTGAAGGTTTAGAGATGCGTGAGACACAACGAGTCCTAAGAATAGCCTGCCAGTAAGAAATCCATGCCGCAGCACTTTGGAGCGCCATAAATCTCTAGGGTGTTTTCGAAGCGAGGCCTATGAGGAAGGACGGGAGGGGGGGCGGGCGCGATTCGGGGGCCAAACAGAGACATGGTGCGGCCAAGACAAAAGTTGACCGTTCATGAACAAAAGACGAGAGTATGGCTTTCGCTAGTCGCACTGCCATAATTGACACGAGTGACGATTCTCTGCGCTATGTCTTGAGCTTGAGAAATCTAGAAATTGTTCCTGCGTGATAAAATCACTCTATCGATATAGGTGTCTATGCTGTACATGAAAACGAATCTAGATTATCTAGGTATCGAAGTCCTCGTCGCAGGACTCGGTTAACGGATCGCAGACGCCCAGATTTTGCATGCGACAAGCAGGCTCTCCTTCATCACTGCAATCTTTGCTATATCAAAGCAGCACTGGAACTGACAGCGCCACAAAAGAGGGGGTTCGTGCCATCTCGGGAGCCATCGCGCTTCCCGGTACTAGCGTGCTAGCCTGAAACAGCCGCATGCAGATTATTGGAATCACTATCTGGACCCCACCCCTCTGCGTAGTGCCAACAACCTCGCCACCGCGGAGATTGCAAGATGAGTGGCTGAAGGAAGTGCACACACGGCTGCAGAATACCTTGGCAGTCACACTGTACCATGTCCAGACTGGAAAGCGATTGACCGGTTAAGCGCCTACTCCGCCAAGCCAACCACCGAAAATGCAGGCAGTCCTCTGTGCCAGCACAATGCATGGACGGCTGAAAGGATGATGTCCCCAACTTAATTCCCCAGCAGGCTTTATACCACCTGTTTTCATCGAACAACGTGTACGACCATCTTTGCGATTCCCAGTTCGTGTGTACAAAGTCTTTACCATGGCTCCCGCAACGCCGGCAGCTCCAGCAGCTGCAGCGATAGCGACTTCATCGCAGACGCCGCTCCCTCTCTCATCACTAGAGCTTGATTCCAATATTCACGAAGAAAGGCTGCGCAAACCATCGCAGAAGGACAATGCTGTGCCCATGGTGGATACCAATGGAAACGTCTTCCAGCTTCCAGATTATACTATTGGAGACATCCGCAAAGCCATCCCGGCGGAATGCTTCGAACGAAGTGCACTGCGTGGACTTGGCTACATCGTCAGGGACGTCACCCTTCTTGCGGCCACATTCTGGGTATTTCACCATTATGTCACTCCAGAGAATGTACCGTCAGTCATCGCCCGCGGCCTTCTTTGGACAGTATATGGCTTTCTGAATGGCTTGTTTGGTACCGGGCTATGGGTAATGGGTCATGAGTGTGGTCATCAGTCGCTGTCCACTTCGAAAGTTCTCAACGATACGGTTGGTTTCATTGTGCATTCGTCGTTATTAGTACCGTACTTCTCTTGGAAGATATCTCACGGGAAACATCATAAAGCAACAGGGCATATGCAACGCGATATGGTATTCGTGCCAAGAACACGATCGGAGTTCGCCAAACGTACCGGCATCGCGATCGAGAATCTATCCGACGTCGTTGAGGACGCTCCGCTGTACTCATTTCTCATGATTTTCGCCAGGCAGCTCCTCGGATGGCCGTTCTATCTCCTTGCAAATAGGACGGGTCACAACTATCACGACAGGCAGCCTGAAGGTCGTGGGAAGAACAAAACAAATGGATGGAGTGGTGGGGTTAATCATTTCAGTCCTAGCAGTCCCCTCTACGAAGCCAAAGACGCCAAGTGGATTGTCGTCAGCGACATTGGTGTCATTGGGGCGCTTGCAGCTCTGTATTCGATTGGAAGCACATTTGGCTGGTCCAATCTTGCTGTTTGGTACCTCTTGCCATACTTGTGGGTCAATCATTGGCTAGGTGAGTGACTATCTTTCCATACTCAGAAAACTTTCCGTTACGTCTTGCTCATCGACCTCCTGCAGTTGCGATCACATACCTTCAGCATACCGATGCCGCACTTCCGCACTACGATCCTCAAGCATGGACATACGTCCGAGGAGCTGCAGCCACGATCGATCGCGACCTAGGTTTTGTCGGTAGACACCTATTCCACGGTATTGCTGAAACACATGTGCTACACCACTATGTTTCCGTTATACCATTCTACAATGCCGACAAAGCAAGCGAAGCTATCATACCTGTCATGGGTCATCATTATCGCTCAAACACAAAAGACGGGCCTGTTGGCTTTGTAAAAGCGCTTTATACAACCTTCAGAGAATGTCAGTGGGTCGAACCAACCGAGGGTGTTGAAGAGGATATGCAGCATGTACTGTTCTATAGGAACAACAACGGGATCGGTACCAGACCTGCGACAATGCGTACCTGATTTGGCAACTTGGCAAAGATTGCGCTCTTCATTGAGGTGCTTATTCAGTTTAGTAAGCTCATAGAAACTGTCATTAACTGAGAATTTTCGTAACTACATACATGTGGCAAGGAACTGGGATCAGCAGCTACCATTGTTCTGTGTGGGGTTGACTTGGAGCCAAGATGCCATTCAGCCTGACTCATGATGTCTAGATAGTATCCATCACATCTGCTGCAGATATTACTAGTCGTTGTGAGGATGTCATTTTCCGAAGTCCCGAAGTTTCACGTGCATTTGCCGACGTTAAAGTGGCGAGGCTAGCTTCCTTTCCCATAGAATCCAGGCAGTGTTTATTCCGCACTCTCGCACACGCACTGTCGATGTTCACGGCCGATTGTAGAGTGGAGAAGGTTTTGTCAGACAGGACTTCGAATCCAATGATAGTTTGATAGTTTAGTCGTACATATGCTTTTTGATATCCATGATCTTGTTGTAGACATGTTGCCTTGATGAGTCTTTATCAAACAACACATGAGGCGTGATGTAATCATAGCCTTGGCCTCTCCTCTGCTTGACCATACTCTTCAACACCGCGTCCATAGAATGAACGTCTTTCAACCAGGGGCCTAACAAATCACTCTCAGGAGGGAGACCCTGTTCTTCTTGGCGGACAAATGACAGCAACGAAGCTGCAAGCCCAGCCGCGATTGGCGTTGCTACTGAAGTCCCCGACACAACGTTGACATCGTCATGGTGGTCTTTGATCCCAATCGGCCAATGCGAGCGCACAGATTGCCCTAGCAAACTGAAATTCACGTCTTTCTCATCCGCAGTTGGGTTGAATGAAGACGGGTTGCCATTTCCGTCAGTCGCATGTATACAGAATACGCTGGGATATCTGGCCGGAAAGGCGCGCCCAAAATTCGCTCCGTCGTTCGATGCTGCAGCAAACATGAGTGTACCTTTAGACAATGCATTCACTATTGCATTCTTCATAGGCTCGTGATACTCACGTATTCCAAACGACATTGTGATGATGTCAACATTCCATTCGGTGACTGCGTGATTGATCGCCTGTAGGAGCCGTTAGCTTATTCTTGATTTCATCGCGATCGTGTGAAATTGCAACCTACCTGTGTGATGGCATCGTAGCTGCCGTGACCCAACGTCTCCTCATTCGCGATCTTAGCCACATAGATCTCGGCGCAGGTGGCGAATTTGAGGAGGAGACCAAGAGTATGAGTGCCGTGCCCAATCTCATCTTGCATGTCCAACGGCTCAGTCTCGGGTACAAAGCTATGAATGCCCTGGATCCTTGGGGTGTCATTCTCGATGTGTGGGCTTGCAGGGTCAAACCCAGAATCTAAAACTGCGATACGCACTGGCTCGGATATTCTAGACCCATGTCGTCCTCTGGTCGGTTGCACGGCATGGTTGAGTGGGTTAACATGGCGACGGATCGAGGACAACACATCGTCCATCCATTTTTCCGACAGAGCAGTACTAGAGATGTTTAGCAGAGGCATCAATTGCACGAGAAGTAGAACGGCTTACTCGAGTTCAGAGACTGTATGATAAGTCGCATCAAAAAGGTATAAGTTCTGAGCAGTTGTATCCATTCGCTGCGGGGCTGGTGAACGACTTCGACCTTGTCGCACGATAGGCATTTGCAAGTGTATGGCCTGATTCTGCAGAGCGTCGCTCGGACTCATTCTAGGAGCTGGATGCAAAGTGACTACGGGTTCTGATTTGCTTCTGACAGGCTCGTGCTTGCTTGCTGTAGCGTGCACAACTTCTCGGCCAATTGGGCCCCAGCAGAATTCGTTTACCCGTGGGTCTAAAACATTTAAATCCTCCGGTCGAAGATGCCATGCTCTAAAGAGTTCAGACTCGAGACGCTTGATGACATTTTGATAGAACAGTCGTTGAACAATGGCAGACTCAAAGCTCTTATCAGGCTCTCCAACAGGGAGATATTCCCACTGCAAGCATGCTTTGGTGGCTAGATAGTAATCTACGCCAGCGTCGGCTTCCAGGTTCTTGAGAACATCCAGACTGGTGTAGAAGCAAGCGTTGAGATCTCGGATCGCGCTTGGGTTTTCTTGCCATGACTCTATAGGCTTGCAGTAATGAAGCTCGCATAGGAGAATGCCTAGCGCTAGCACGCTGGCATTAGGATGTATCATGTGTGAGTTGGCCACTTCGGTCTGGCCGTCTGCAAAGACCGGTCTATGAGGTGAAATGACAGGCGCTTGTCGCATATCCAAGAACGGCTTGGTGATGTTGGGTAGCTCGCCATCCAGAGGCTGGAAGAATTGAATGCTTGAGTGAGTGAAAGAAGGCTGTACCCACGGCGTCTCCAAAAACGGAAGCAAAGCCGTGGCAATTACGACTGCTAAAACTCGTTTCCCTTTGAGTGGAAGGACTGATGCACCTCCCACTAGTCCCTCTTGACGTTCGAAAAGGTTCGTTAAAGATTTTGTCCGAGGCATTGGGGAGTCGCCAAAGGTTTTCGGTTGCGGGCGAAGCCTTTTGAACAAGCCGTCCTGAAAAAGAAGACTCAAGCAAAGTCGCTGGTCCAATGACTCGGTGATACTCTCGCAGATGTTCACAAATTGAGACAATATGGCGGGTGAGATATGGGTGCTCCTAGTCTTGTCGTTTTGTACGTCTCTAACAAGAGTCAGTTAGCATCCTTGCACTTCATGATAGCATCGAAAGCTTACTTGACCGTTATCCTGGCTTCTTGCAACGAGTGCTTCTCGATCGGGTCATGCACACCAAAAAATACATCGAAGCATGTTTCTCCTTGCGAGCCCGTATTTCTTTGGGGCAATGAGAGCCTCACGCTCAAACCTGAGCACTTGTGACAAACGCATTTCCACTGAGCCTGCAGTCCCTGATGCAAGGACATAGATCGTTTCCTCATCTCGATGGCTTCTTCTGCGCCGGGCTCAAATGCGTCATCGTCCATGGTAGGGTCCTCGCGTATCACAAAACGACGCTTCTTTGCATCCTTATCCAAGTTCTCAAGCGCTTCCATGGCAACGTCGCTCTCTCGCTTGCGTTTGCTGATGCGAATGGTCGGACGTGAATCAGGGCCTGTGTTGCTTTCCATCTGATATATCGCGCGACGGAGCTTTGGATATGGCGTGTTCATGTGTACGGTCTGTTCCATCGATACATTAGCAGGCTGAGAGGGCGAATGTCGCTGCGATAGAAGAGTACTTACTGGATCTGCCTCTCCACTGGGCTCGTGTTCAATCAGATTATCGAACGCTCTCAGCGCTCTTTCTACCTGTTCAGGGTCCCTTGCGCCAACCTCATTGTCTTCATGTTGGAGAAATGCATCGGCGCGCATCCAGGCGTCAGCCGCTCTGGAGCCCACCGAACTTGACTGCGTAGACCTTTCGGGCGCTCTTCGAGCGAAGAACCCAAGAACACTGTGCAATAGACCTTGATTTTCCTCGTGATTCATGGCTATATCTTCTGGAAGTTGCCGATCTGAAAAACCTACAAGGTTTTTGGTGTTCAGCTCGAAGGTCCCAAGGTTGTTGCGACAAGGCTGAAGCATGACACGGCCTGCGTGTGGGGCAGCACTCGATTTCAAACCCCCATGGGGGAACATTATCTAAATCCGGTCTTATCAATGCAGCCACCGAATTTAACAGTTTCACGAGGCATCAGTCCGAAAATTACTATCGCTTTTGCCTAATGCTCCCTATGTTCACCGGAATCCTTCCAGATCTAATTCCGAGTATAGTCACAATGCACGAGATCCTTGGAGTGCCCTCCAAAGCTGTGCGCGTGCACGTCGAGGGCCAATTATAGTTTCACTTGAGGGTGTTGTTCAACGAAAGCTGTTTGGCGGCGAACAAGCGAAAGGATGAGGATCTTTTAGAGTTTTTCACTACAGGCACTTGTCTGGCCAAATTGTAGACTAAAATCGATAGTGCATGTTAGGCCTTCGGTTTCCTTCCCGCTATCGGTAAAGCGCAGGGTTTCATTACAGCGCAGCACTGCCCGTTATCTCACAGAGCAGTAGAGTCGTACAAGACGAACACCGTGACCACCAAAGCGATCCTACGTAGAACGGGGGAGGGTGGAGGGCGCGTGAGGGCAAACATGTTGTTGGCGCCATGATGGCGCCTACAGGCCATAAATCATCGCCTAAGCCACTACGCCATTTTAGCCCCTATGATGGCTCGCGTGTCGCAGGGTTCCTTGATTCAGCAAATCAGCTTTCACTAACAACTCATGAGAGTCGGACCAGAGTTGGAAATGATCTTTGTGAATCTTTTCATAATCTACTGCGATAACAGCTTGGAAAGATATTTGATCAGTTTTGCGAGTTTTGTAGCATTAGAAGGTGTCAAATGCCAATCTACGTCGCGGTTCCCAGGAGATCTGCGACACGCCCACGGCCAAGAGCGATTTCACAGAAACAGGGTATACGCATTGGTCGCTGCGTTTGAGAGCGTCCTTCATGCTCGGGGTGACCGGAGATGGCTGCCGCCCAAGCCTGCAGCCGTGCTGCAACGGGTGAGGTGCGCAGTGCAACATTGGCAAAGCTAAAGCGGCGCTTAGAGCATGCACGCCAACTCATCCGTCACATTTGCATACTGGAACTCCTGTTTACTCAGCCTTCATCAGTCGCACCATGTTTTCCGACGTGTCTGCCTGCATCCCATCCGTTTATTGACTTCTATAGCCGCTGTTTTTCGATTGCTACCTTCGACTCACTCAATATACACGCGGAGAGCTCGATGTCCGAATCGATCCTTAAAAAACGACGCTCGCCAGCCGCCGATACGGGCACCATGGAGGGGTTTACGGTTCGTTCTTCGAGGCAGCCCAAGCTCTTGACTTGGGAAGAAATCCAAGAATGGTCGCGAGACAACGAATTCATTCGTACCGGCTATCGTCCAGAAAAGCCGGAATACAAAGACATCCTCCTCAGCCTGACATACCTTCACAACGAGACTTGCAACATATATACCCACTTGATCGGCGCGATACTAGTATGGCCTGTTGCATATATCTACATGCGGATTCTGCCCGAACCCCAGTACGACAACGTTCTTCCAGCAGACTATGTCATGTTTATCATCTTTTTCTTTTCTTGCGAGTTCTGTCTCGTCTCTAGCGCTGCCTACCACCTAATGCAACCTCACTCGCATAAGGTGGAACAGTTCTGGCATCGGATGGACCTAACAGGAATTGCTGTCATTATCGCAGGCACATTCATTGCGGCCATTTACTACTTCTTCATCTGTCAACCGGCCTTCCAGATTTTACACTGGGTCATCGTGAGTTACCTGGATTGAACGGTCTCGCGATATGCTGATGTTTCATCAAGACCATAGTATCAGGCTCATCTTGCGTTGCTCTGATCTCAATACCCAAGTTTCGCACACTACGCTGGCGTACCCTTAGAGTAGTCGCCTTCTTCCTTTTCGGCTTGTCAGCTTTTGTCCCCTTGATGCATGGAGTTGGCCTACACGGGTCCGATTACATGTTTGACTACATGGGAATGAAATGGTACTTGCTGGAGCTATCTCTGTATGCACTAGGCACACTCATCTTCGCAGTAAGTAGGATCGTTGACTCTCGAACTTGAACGGACATGTGAGTTAATCAACAAGTGCAGACTCGGCCTCCCGAACGGTTCGCTCCGGGCAAGTTCGACTTGTTTGGCACCTCACATCAGATTTTCCACCTACTTATCTTGGCGGCGATGTGGGTTAACTGTCTGGCTCTTACACAGAGTTTCAAATCGGTTCATACCCTGGATCTATGCCACCGCTAGTCTACTCTCGCGATACGGAGACCCACAGCAACAAGACGTCCTTGCTTTGCCTAGTGTGGGAGAATGGGAACTCAGACAGCTCGTAGAGTTCGTGGATGCTTGCTAAGCCGATGGATTTCTGGACGTCAGACATCCTAAATTGGTGATAACTCTTGCTCAAACTGGGAAAATCTTCGATGGTCGCCACTCCAGAAGGTGCTCGTTCTGGCATCTATCTGAGAAACAGCTTACGAGACCTTGAGGCTAGGGTAAGGTATCGTGGATATGTTACATGCCGTCTGTATAGTACTTTCAGCAGTCGTATCTTTTAGGTAGACTTGAGTTTTGAAAGAAAAGTCATTTGCGCCATCCAACAACTCTATGAAAACAGCGATCTCATTTGCATAATGCGAGCTCACTCTTGATTCCTCCGTTGACACATGATCCATAATAGTAATTTCTATACATCTACTGCGTCCAAGAAGTTGACTCACTCAAGGTATACATTGCAGTGTGGACATCACATGACGTGGCGAAAGATGCAAGTCGCTGTCAAGGGGGCTAGAAATGGACCCCGCACACTGTGCACGTGGCACAAAAGATAGCCTTCTGCCCTACCGGTTGTTTCCAGACAATCCACGACCTCTCTCGAAGAACCAGATCTTCTCTTTGAACCCTACGTGGGTGAGCTTTGAATATGCGTCTTCTCAAAGCTAAGGCTGACGGAGGCTTCAGCCTGACAACGTTTCCTATTAACCCTCCCCGTTACGCCATTCTCTCACATACTTGGGAAGCGGATGATCAGGAAGTCAAACTCAACGACATAGAAAACCGCAAAGGAACTCACAAAACTGGCTATAAGAAGATCGAGTTTTGCGCGAGACAAGCTCAACATGACAATATAGAATACTTCTGGGTCGACAGTTGTTGTATCGACCAATCCAGCAGCGCTGAGTTGTCGACTGCAATTAACTCGATGTATCGCTGGTATCAGAATTCAGCCAAATGCTACATTTACATGGCAGATGTCTCGGCAAACTCCTCTTCAGAATGGGAATCGTGCTTTCTTGGTAGCCGATGGTTCACCCGAGGATGGACACTCCAGGAACTTATTGCTCCTAGGTCGACAGAATTCTTCTCTGAAGAAGGCATGTATCTAGGCAACAAAGAGCAACTCGAAGACCTCATTCAAGAGGCTACGGGTATCTCTAATCAGGTTCTTCAAGGATATCCACCAGCCCAAACTAGTATCGAGGAGCGTTTGTCATGGATAGCGAATCGCAATACAAAGTTCGGTGAGGATATAGTGTATTCTGTTCTTGGCTTCTTCGGCATACATATGCTTCCAATGTACGGTGAGAGAGCTGTACATGCATTCCGGCGGCTCGGTCAGGAGATCGAGAAGACTATAACCATTACTCAGCCACGTAGGTCTACATATCGGAACCTCAAAGTACCGAAGGCTGATACTTTGGGGTAGATCGAACGGAAAAGGACCAGCAGTGCCTGAGCGCGTTACGTATGATGTCGCTGTCCTATGCCGCCGCAAATGGATTTAAAGTCGTGGTTACTCAGTTGCTCGAAGACGATACAGCTGATGTCAATTTACCAGATCAGTTTGGACGAACACCATTGTCCTGGGCTGCTGGGAATGGTCACAAAGCTGTTGTGAAAGAGCTACTGAATCATGGCCAGGCCGACCTCACCTCAACGGATCTAGAGTACGGCAAGACACCATTGTTGTGGGCAGCCGAGAACGGGCACATGACAGTCGTGGAACAGCTGCTCAACGCCTCTGTGGAGCTACGTGGTCGAACGCCGTTGTCATGGGCCGCTGAGAACGGCTATGAAGGTGTTGTGAAGCAGCTACTCAAGCTGGGTACTGTTGATATCAACGCGACAGATTCTGAACTCGGTCGAAGCCCGTTGTCTTGGGCTGCGGGCAATGGGTACGCAGACATAGTCAAGGAGCTTCTGGACACAGGCAAGGCCAATGTCGATAGCCGGGATGGTATCCTTGGTCGTACCCCGCTGGCGTGGGCTGCTGCAAGTGGATACACGTTTGTGGTCGAGCAACTGCTCCTGGCAGGCAACGCTAACGTACACTCGGCGGACAGGTATGGTCAGACACCCCTTTCATTAGCCGCAGCGAACGGACAGGTATGTGTTTTCAAGGTGTTGCTTCAGGCCAGAGCCGACGTGAACTCGAAAGACTGCTTCGGTCAGACACCGGTTATATGGGCTGCTCGGAATGGACAGCAGGCAGCGACTCAAATCTTGCTCGGCACGTCTGGCACTAGCATTGAATATCAGGACAGGTATCGTCGGACGCCGCTATCGTGGGCCGCCGCCAACGGGCATGACGCTGTCGTCAAGCTGCTACTCGAGGCAGGAGCCGATGTCGGATCGTCGGATATTAACGGTCGGACACCACTCTTATGGGCTGTTAGGCAGAGTCACGAGGCTGTAGTAGAACGAGTGCTTCACGCCAATGCTGATGTTGAATCAAAGGACAGGTGGGATCAGACGCCATTACTGTCCGCCGCAGCGACTGGGCATGAGGTCATTGTCAAGCTTCTTCTCAGGGCCGGTGCTAACTCAGGGTCGAAGGATAAAAGGGGACTCGCACCGCTATCTTTCGCTGCTGCAAGCGGACATGAGGCCGTTGTCAAGCTGCTCCTGGGCGCTGGGGCCGACATTGAGATTAAAGGTCCTTCCAATAGAACGCCACTTTTAATGGCTGCGGCGAGTGGGCATGAGCAGGTGGTAAAGCTACTACTCGAAGCTGGTGCCAACGCTCAGATAAAGGATCTCGATGGTCAGACGCCGATACATGTGGCTCGAAGACATGAGCATAAAGCCGTTGCCTCGCTGTTGTCTTGTTTTTGAGACTCGATGTCCAGTCTATACTATGTTCGTAGGAGAGAATCGCAAGACAGGTTTTCGTAAGACTCCTAAGATGTGAGACTCCATGCGGTGAGAATGTGAGAATGAATCATCGGAAAGTTGTGGCTAGAAACTGAATGGCGAGGCCCGGACGAACTCTACTCCGCGTCCGTTCCTATTGGCCGGTGACGTTATCACTCCTGCGACAGTAGCCGCCATTATCTTTGAGCTATTCGAGCGTGTCCTGTGTGTGCGTATCTGCATCTGCTGTGACATTGTCGTTTTGTACGCTGATTGAGTTCTGCTCGCTGTTGGAGGTATCTATAGCTGTGTGTATTGGCTTTTGGATGCAGAGATGAATAGCAAAATCAATCTGCGCACATGGGAACAATGGTGTGAAGATATCGAGCCGGCTTGCTTGTTAACTGAGACACCGGAAACGCAGCATTTCCTCAACACAGTGTTGCATTGCTATTGTAATACTGTGTTTTGACACTGCCTGGTTTATCGCAGATGAACGAGTTTTGAGGATGTTGTTGGATGAGATGAGATCGACAAACCGGCGGTCCAAAGCGAAAAGAAGATTCAAAAGCATACAACAGCGTTGATTCGCTGGTGGCCACATATCCGACTTCTAATCCGCGTGTATCTTGCTTGTGTATGGCGGAGCGGACGGGAAGCTTAATTCTCAAGATCTTATAATCATGTGTAAATGGTAAAGCAATCTGTTAAACGATATCTAGAGAGGGTTCGAAGGGGACAACCTGAGTTCAGCACCGGATCCCTACTGCCAACATCCTAAGCGTCCCTCAGCATACTAGCAACACCAGCCCAAGTTTCCAGAACAGTCGGTCTGATCTGGTTTGCCGGAAGCGAGAAGCCATAGGTACCCTTATCCCTCAGCTCATAGGTGTACGAGTAGGTAGCATTACCCTGCACATCAGTATAATCAGTCGAAGAGCCAGTGGTAGCATACAACGTCGAGCAGCTGGGACCAATGGTGTACGCAGTGCCGGAGACAGCGCGGATAGCCGACTGAGCACGGGTTGCAATGGAACGGTGCTGTGCGTCATTCTCGGCGCGTAGGCTGCAGTCGTAGCCGTAAGGCCACAGGATGTATTGACCGTAGGAGCTGGAGTTGGGGTTAGCGACCTGCTTCGGAGTTTCCGAAGATCAAGATAGTGAGGACTTACTGCACATCGAGGTAAAGGCGAATACCACGCGACGCCTTGAGCGAATCAATTTGCGCTTTGAGGCCACGGTTCTCGGGCGCGTCGCCAGCCGCTACACCCTTGTATGTCTCTGAGCAAGGGTTTGTGGAAGCTCCACCTGCTACTTCCCACTTGTATGGCCAGTTGCCTATGAAGGATGTCAGAGGCTTCAGTCAAGATTCTGTCGCAAGACTTACGGTTGATATCGCGACCAACACATGTGTTACCACTGACGGTCTGTCTGTTCTTGCGCCAAAGACGATCGGTCGTCTGGGAATAGACAAAACCGTCCGGGTTCACAATGGGTGTGATGTAGAAGTCGAACTTATCGACAAGCGACTTGATGCTCGCGTCTGAGCCGTATTTGGTAAGCAGTTGCCATGCAAAGTACCTGAGAGTCTAGAATCAGCATATAGATATTGCACTGATTGTACGAACAAACTACATACTCGGTAGTCATGGAGGTGATCCACTCCCTTGCGTGAACATTGCCGTGAATGACGACAGCAGGCTTTGAGCCCTTTCCACCGCTACCCCAGATGTGGATACCAGTCAAGGCTCGTCCTTGAACAGAGGTGCCAACAGTGTAGATCTCGGACTGTCCAGTGTATCCGGCTTGCAGATCCCGAAGGAACTGAAGGTGGTCGGCATATGGGTGATAGGCTGTGAACCAAGTCTCACTGGGAACTGCGGATGGTCAATCGATGTCATCACAACTGCTTGGTCGTTACAAACCAGCGTAAACGCTCATCTCGCCTTCCTCTGCAAGAGCTGCGCCGACGTCCTCGTTCAGCACTTTGCTCTCAGCGACCAATGCAGTCAGGGCGTCGACATTCTCGGGCGAAACGACAACGTCTAATTCGGCGGACGTGCCGGGGTTAAGGACATGCGCAGCCAAGTTCTCGATTTCTCCCTTGACAGCATCAGTGCTAGACACGCGTAAGACCTTGAAGCCACTGTAATCGACCTTCTTGCCTGCCCTGGGGACGACAGTGCCAAGCGCCGTAGAAGAAAGAAGAAGTGCTGAAGTAAGGATGGTGGTCTTCATGATGGATGGTGGATGCGATGACTCCTGGGCAGTGCAGGATGGCATGGGGAAAGCACTTCCTTTTAAGCAATGTAGTAGTCATACCAGTCCCTAACCGACCTTCCCATCCAGTATCTAGCACCACCGATACCTTCGTTCTTGTCATCCTCGAGTGTCGCATCGATTAGGCAGGTAGTCGCCCCATGTTCCCGGTCGATCTGCTGCAAGCACGGGAGATGTACGCTCGAAAGAGCCCAACGTAGATGATGCAAGCGCCGGAGATCAGTATGTGAAGGCTCTCGGAGGTCTACTCGAGAATCTGGACGGCGGATTAATATACTGAGCTACTTGGCATATTTTCTTGACGTCGTAGGCACGCAAGCGTGATTGGTGCGGGCGGTTTTAGTCTGTCGCATTAGGCAGGTGCACGTTTCGGAGACTATGCTGGCTGGTCTTGGCTACTAGATAGGCCAAATACGGGGCTTGGATAGTGCCAGGTACGTGATCTCGTGGTGTTTGTTAGTAAGTTGACGTGCTCCAGTATGGTGAGTATCTGGTGCGAAGCGAACGTCTGGAATCGGAAGGAGGATGCATATTGAGCAGCCACAGTATGGTCTGCATGCGCCTCGACAACAACTTGTTTGGATATACGAGATGCAAGTGATACTATGGCGTTCTCTTAGGAACGTGGAACGCCCAACTCCCTCAACACGTTCGCATAGCCGACCCTAGACCATTTATCCACATGCTCTTTGCCGGTTACCCATACACTTCCCAGCATTCCTCCAGCATTCGCACTTGCTCCTTCTGTGGTACCTGCCCGACGTGGAACGACCACGAGACGATCAGCCCACATGACGACGTTGTGTGGAGGAGTATCATCTTCTTCAGTTCCCATAGATGACCGACACTGTGAGAGAAGCTTTTTGTACGCATCAACAACGGTTGAGGCTGAAGTGTCCTTGAACCCATGCTTGAACTCATGAACGAAGAATTGATAAGGTACCTTCTTGGACGAATCGTGAAGAGAGGAGATGATATAGTCGAAAGCATGTGGTGGCCCTTTCAAGCCCTGGAGATGTTTGTGCACCCTACTGCATCCACCTCTCTCCCCACAGTTGAAGATGACGTACATGTTTGGAAGCTTTCGCAAAACTTCAAGCATGACTGTAAAATCTTCTGCGTCAAGAGCCTCGTGTTGACGCTTGTACGAGTCCAAGGTCGTCATCAGTAACTGCGGCCTATCCACACAGAATAGGTTCAGTGCTAGGTCGTGCGTTCCGTTGATCTGCTTGATCATGATTCGCTCGTCCGGGCAAAACATGTCGCTTCCTGGACCCAATTTTCGCGATTGATTGAAGGCATGGTTGGTAGCACCCACTGTGTGAGGTTTTGTAGCTAGTGCTGGGCAGATGCGAAACTCCATCTTGACATGGCATGAGTACGGGTTCAGCTTCTCTGAGGATACTAGACTAGCTTACAGGGTACCCTTCATCTTCCACTTCGATCGACTCATAGGGCCCGTATAAAATGACATGTTCTGATGCAAGTTTGTCGAACGTTTTGATCAGGGCAGCCTCGGTTACGTCGTCCATATTGCAGGCCTGGTGAGATTGCGACGCAGAAGATGCATGTGTCGGTGAGTCTGCTACGAGGCTACCAGGCCTGTGCTCAAAGCTACGGAGTTAGTGGCGTATAACCGAAACAGAGCAGAACACCACAAGGAAACGGTTAAAGGTCATGGAGGTTATGTAGCATTTGCAGCTAAACAATCCAAAGAGAGACATGCAGCACACAAGCGCCCCGAAACTGAGGGACTAGTAACAAGATGTCACCAGCCAGAAATGAAAATGCCATCGTCGATTATAAAACATATATGCCCCTTTCCAAGATGCAGTCTCCCAGGCACAGAGATGAAGCAGTGTATTGGATGTGGGTGCAGTGCCGGGGTATCGTGGTATCGTAGTGAATGAGGTAGAACTATGCCGTCTCAGGCTTGGCAGAAAGTGGCCGCTCTACCAGGACATAGTCAGCACTGGTAGTCGATGTAGGAGTCGGTGTCTCTGGTAGCGCACCTGGCATGTTTTGGGTCTTTTGGGCAAGGGGGCTGGCGGCCCCTTGTAACCGAGCGTTGTCTTGTTCGCGGTGCGTGTCCCGCTTCGCTGGTGGAGAGTTGCTCTTTGCCTGGTTCAGGCGCTCTTCGGCGGCCTTGAGCCTTGCCTCGAGGGCTTCAAGCTCCTTGGTCTGGGTGGTGACTGCCTGCTTCCTGCGCGCCTGTCAGCCGGCTCCAAGTAGCGGTCAAGATGGCGAAAGCGTACTTCTCAAGGACAGTCTTATCCAGGTTCTCGAGACCGCCGTCCAGGTTGAAGAGGCTGTCGAGCTCTGACATGAAGTTGCGCGCTACCGTGCTACAGGGCGTGGTCAGTCTCAGACAGGCGGGAGCTATGCTAGCGCCGGGAGAGCTCACGATTGAGGGCGGTTGTTTGGCTTCCAGCCTTGGTCTGGATCCTCCATGGTGACGGACTGTGCAGGGTAGGAAGAAGTCATGATGGAGGGATGGGGGTGGACAGGAACAGGTTATGCAGGATGCAGGCGGCGTGGAGAGGCTCGGGGATGAGTGGATATATTTATGGGCTGGAACAAGATGGGACAAGAGTCGGCAGGTGGCTCAGCGGATCAAAGATGTTTCATTTGACTCAGCCAGACCTGGAATGGGAGGGAGGCAGCATAATATGGCTGCCCTGGACTGGAGATGGAAGGACGATTGCAATGTCAGGAAAAGGGGATGCCTATGCCCCCAAACTAATTTGGGCGTAGATCGCATGTGGAGCTTAGAGGAAGGAGAGTTTGGATGCGCCGCAGCTCCCGAGAGCCCGACGAAGAATGGCCGACGAGATACAGGTGCACAACGACGGCGAGAAGTCACAATTGCATGTACAGATGCGGGTTCGAGCTATAACGAAGCTTGCCGAAAGTATCGCAGTACGCGTGGTAAAGGTCCCGCCGTCTGCTCGAGTCTGGCCCCGCGCTCGCGTGAAGGCGACGTGACGCCGGGCGCCGCTGATTGGCCCAGGTCAGGGGCAGCCCGATGTAGGCGTCAGGTTCAGGCGGCTGGGCTACGAAACCACCGACGACAATTTGCGACATTGCGACAATCTCCCCCATCCACACCAAGCGCCCATCCATCTCGCACAATTTCCCCGCCCGACGCGCCCATTTCCTCGAGTCGCATGCGATGCCCGTCGGCCTGCCCCAGTAGACTGTCTCCCCCGACACAGCAGCCGTGGCTCCCCTTCCGCCCCGAGCCCATCGCCCTCGCGCTGCAGACGCCTGGGGGATGAATCCTAGCCTCTCCGCCTACACCAACCTCGAGTCGCTGCTGCTGTTCCAGTGCCTCCATGCCTACGGCGTAGCGCCCGCCGTCTTCGGCAGGATATCCGACCTGCTGAAGAAACACCCGGACATCACCGCCCACAAGTACTTCCAGCCCGGCCGCCTCAGTCCCGATGCACTGCGCAACTTCTACCTGGAGCGTCTGAAGAGGGAGATTGAGTACGAGCAGGGCGCCGACAGCGATGGCCACCAGAATGGGGAAGTCGCCAGCTCGGGCAAGAGAAAGAGGCATAGCCCAAGCCTGCCAACCGTCCAGGAGTCGCTGCAACACCAACACCTGATACCGAAGCTCGTCACGAAGCTCTACGCGTCGTACCGCTACGAGATCACGGAGCAGATTCGACTAGAGGAGGAGCGCTACGAGAGGCTGCAGCGCGAGATCAATGGCATCGAGCGTGGGGAGTGGGACGACCAGCTGAGAGAGAGGGAGCGGGAGCGGGAGCGGTCGAGCGGTCGCACACCATCGTCGCGAAGCCCTCAGCTGCCTACGGAGTCGCCACAGTCTGCGCCAAAAGCTTTGCAGCCCACTGCCAGCCCGACGCCTGTTCAGAATGGCTCGCGAGGTGGACCCTCCATCGCGCCTTCCCCAGATTCTACCCAACAACAACAACCGGGATCCGCGCCACCACTTCAGAACGGACAGCCCTCACCATCTCCTCGCAAGAAACACCCTTCTTCTGATGGACGGCGTACACCTTCCACTCCGCAACCAAATTCCAACCAGCCGCTAGCACCACCACAGCGATTCCAGCAAACACCACAGCCTCAACCGAATCATAACGGCGCGCCCCATCCGAATGGCCCTCCGTACCCTCAAAACATACAACCTCAGCCAGCGAGCCACCCGCAGCAACCACCGTCGCCAGGTCCCCAATTGCAGCCCCAGCCAGTCCAGAATTATGCGCCGAATGGAATACCTCAGTATGGCCACCCAGGGTCGCAGTTGCCGTATCCTGGACAACCCCAGCAATACCCTCTACAGCAACCCTCAGGGTCTCACTCTCCTGGATTCCATCCTGGACAGCAGCAGCAGCAGAAACCTCATCAACCTCCTCCCGGACACCAGCCATATCCCCCATTGCAACCTCAGATGCCTCAGCCACCACCTCAAGCAGGCTTCATGCTTCCACCGTTCCAGGTTGCACCCCAGGACCCGTCGCGCGTCCACCATCAAGCCGCCGTGCCCCAGCAGCATCCTCAGGTATCTACACCTGTTGGCAACAGACAACTGTCGAGAGCAAGTGTACAAACTCCTGGTACCGGCAAATCAGGCGCACCGCAGATGCATCCTCTTGTTGTCCAGGCGAGACAGTCTGTCTCCACACCGATCAATGCACGCTCACCACAGAGCGCTCTAGCGACTCCAGTATCTGCCAAGAGTCTCTGGAAGCGATCAAGCTTCACTGGACCGCCTGGCACTCCTGCAAGCCCACGCCCCGAGGTGTTGCCTCTCGACGATGTTCCCCCTCTTCTTCGACCGAAACAGACACCACCGAAGTCAAAGACGCAGCGCAAGTCGCGAGTAAAGGGCAAGGGGAAAGAGGTAGAACAGGATCCTGCAACAGACACGAAGACACCGCAAAACTCCAAGCAGTCCCACGACCAAGAAGAAGAATCTTTGCTCGAGCCAGAATCCCGTTCTGGTCGCTCACGGAGGAAAGCACCAGCGAAACGGACAAGACCTGGTAGCATTGCATCCTCTCGAGCAGGTGGCTCTGTGCGAGATCGGAGTAGAAGCCAGTCCATTCTCTCACACACAGACACAATAGCGGCGGACAATGAATCGCAAGCCGGTCATCGGATCAAGTCAGAGCGCGGAACCTCTGTGGAGCCTGTTGACGAGGAAGGTTCCTTCGAGACACCATCGCACATGTCCACGCGCCGACGAGGAGCAGCTCCTACCTCAGCATCATTTTCCACGCGCCGAAAACGAAATGCCCGCGAGGCTTCTCTCGAGGAGACTGAAGAGACGTCCTTTAGCACGCCAGGCCCGCCCAAGACTCTGGTCGCACCACGGAACTTTGCCCGCACGACGGCCCCCATGATGTATGATATTAATTCACACAAACACGCTTCAACTTTCAATACAGCAGTGCGCGCAAAAGATGCCGAAGGCTACTATGACATAATAAAGCGTCCCACGGATCTCTCCTCCATAAAGAAAGCTATAGCAACAGGGTCAAAGCAAGTTGCGGCTGCCGCGGCAGCGTCCGATAATCCCACTGGTAGTCCTGGTGGCGCGACAGGAGGCGTTGTCGAGTTGCCGATTACGGCAGACAATGTGCCTCCAAAGGCAATTGTCAATGCTGCGCAGCTAGAGAAGGAATTGATGCGCATGTTTGTCAACGCAGTCATGTTCAATCCTGGAGAAGAGGGTGTGGTGAGCGATGCGAGGGATATGTTTCAGACTGTCCAAGGTCTAGTCAGTACATGGAGGGACGTAGAGAGGGACAGTGGACGCGTCGGAAATGAAGGGACGCCGTCAGTGGAGGAAGAGGATCAACCCACGGCGAGCAAGCGAAGGAAGATATAGTATGCTTTTCGAAAGGCCAAGGATACGCACGACTGATCATGGCATGGGTAAGGAGTAAGCGTTGACTTTGAGTACACTTTGATACCATTACATGCATTATCAAGGCGAGTCACCGCCAATTATTGAACATTCACATCCCATCCCATCCAGTTCATTAAGCAGAGTGATATCCAAGGTGACGCTGAAGACACTCCTACCTCTGGCCCGCTTTTGGCGGACCCTTCGCTGAACTGCTCTTGTGTTGAGGTGAGAGACGATCTCCTCGAACAGCTCTATTCAGCCTATACAACTCCAATAAAGCTGTTGTTTTTGTCTCTCCGTCTCTTTACCTTACCACCTTCTCACTCTGCTGCAATAACCAATTCGCTGTCTACGGCAATGCCTGATGATTCTGAGGTGGATCGATCCACGACTACAACTCCACTAGCTACCCCGTCTCGTGCTTCGACCTTGCCCACCAGCAGTATTGGTCGCTCGAGCATCTCCATGGAGCCACCTAGGATGGACAACGCCGCGGACTTCAAGTCATACCCGCATACACCGGGTACTGTCGACTTCACCCCACCCCAGTAAAATGCCATCAAAATTTTGCATGTTATCAGACTAACGTAGTCCACTAGAATGCTCATGCAAACCCCCATCACCATCGAATGTGAGCTTGACCTCAAGACCAAGCTCACTGTGCACGAGGAGCTTCTGTGCGTTCACAGCAAGCAACTCCTAGGTCAATTCGAGAAGGCAAAGTCGGCTAGGACGCAGTTCGCAAAGGCCGACGCGTTTCGTGAGAAAGTCGCAGCATACGTATTTCCGGAGTGTTCTCAGAAGGAGTTTGAAGACAGGCATTTGGAACAACAGGTACGTTATGTGAGCACAACTTGGATGTATACGACAATTCCCATTGTCAACGCGCTCAGTCATGTGCGCACCTCTAACTGAACTCAGCTAACATGTATCAGGTCAAACCACTGATTAAGCAGGCATCTGAGAACTACCCGCTGGTTGGGTACTCCACCGGCGTCAAGAAACTCATTATGGACGAAGTCACCTCCCAAATATCTGCCAGAAACGTCAAGAAGTCGGCCCCGAAGCCTTCACAGATCGCTTCAGACCTGAGCCTATCGGGTAGATTGGATCTCCTCAAGCCCCATGCCCTACAAGATGTAGCCTCTGCACTCTTCAAAAGACTCCACGACATCCAAAAGACCGAAGTCAAGAGAGCCGAGAAGGATCCTTTCAAAGCCGCCGCGCAACACCGTCTCATACTTCCTGACGTAAAGGAAGCGACTGTAAGATGTTTCATACAGTGGGTCTATCGAGCGCAGTGTTCATACGAGGGTTCTGAACAGCTCTACTCTGTTCTCAAGCTTGCTACACGACTTGGTGTTGATGAACTCGCTAGTATCTGTTTGAAACAATTGTACAGGGCCGCGAACGACAGTCTCATGCATGCTGAGAATCACGGTGTTCTCATCCAGACGCTTCTGGGATACGGTCCAGGTGTTGCAGCCGATGACAGTTTTGGGGTTGTCTTCAAGCACGCTGTCAAGGAAGACGATACTCCAAAGCAACTCAAGAGTCTGGTTATTGATACTTTGGCGGCAACACTCGATCCTGAGCTATGGCAGCATGTGAAGGGTTCGATTAATCACAGCATGGCTCTACAGGTCATTGAAGCTATGGTCGAGCTGCGTCAGCATGTCAAGTTGGAGACGGATGATCAAGGAGAAGGCGTCAAGTCTGAGCGCGATGATGTTATTAGTGCCTTCACGCAGTCAAACATCCCTGTTGACCACGGAGAGTTATCCCACGGTGGTGAGCACAATGGCAAATAGGTTTGAAGGCTTGCGACGTATGAGTGGGCGCTAAATTTGGTGGCGAGGGCACATATTTGATGTCTTCATGGATCGGAGACCCTTCACATGTCATGGCATCTGTTTTGCGTTCTTGTTTCTGCACCCTCGGATTGATTGGACTTCGATGTCACCAGCAGATATGTAATCTGATCATCGTCACTCTGCATCTTGTGTAGTACCTGTGACCAATCGGACATTAGTAGACTGTCGATCGACGCTAAGGGCGCGTACGAGGAAGGACGTTTTACTCGAGTCGTGGGCGACACCAAAAGATACCCTGGTATTATTCGCCTGCTTTGGTGTTACATTTTTCGTCATCCAAACCACAACAATCATGTTTACTATGTATGATGCGTGCAACACAAGAGTTGAGCTTCTTCGTACAGCAACTCCAGATCGACTTGTCCGGATTGTGATTTGCTCGATTCGTGTATGCGTAGGGTGATACTACGTACCCCGGCGCGCATGCCGAAGGCCATTCGGTCCCGTAGCCGTCCGAAACCGACATTCTTGTATCCCTTGAGTACCTCGTCTTGGACGAGTCATTTTTCACATACTAGGCTAACCAAGAGTATGGTGCGTCAATATGCAAAAGGACTCAGAAGGTATGATCATTACGGATGAATCAATTTAATAGATCTCAGTTTGACGTTTACTCGCTAAGACGGCTTTTCGCTGAGGTACACACATCAAGGCTCTTGCAAACCTCCACGCTCAATTCATCCACTGGCGTGCCTGCATCTCTTGACTGCTCCCTTCATAATGAGTGTTTTGTTGTCGATTATGCGTGGCTCATCACGTCCATATGTCATGATGAACTAGAGCATAGCTGTTGTCTGTCCACCATGCGTCATTTGCGTCCCGTATCGCAGTACTCGAAAATACTCCTTGGTCGTATCGCGCATTGTGCGTTGACTAGCAACAGTGGCGTCTATTGGGGTACCGTTTCGGTAAACGAACCACCCGTTGAATCTGGAGATGAGTACACCGCGCTATTTGCCCGATCGTGCGGTTTGCGCAACTAATATCCAGTCCAAGCTCTTCCTACTGCCTTCTTATGGGCGGATAACAGGTGGCGATTTCTGGTGTTTGTCACCTTGTCGCCTGAGTAGGGATTTTGCTCGTGTTTTCTCAAAGATAGTGGAGTTGTATTGATCTTGAAGATCATAGACGATCGATCGATTGTGAATGAACTTTCATAGATATTGCAAGTCAGGTCTACTCAAGAAGTCCCCTTGAGGCTAGAACGTCTGGCTCTTTATGGAGTCTTCTCATTGGCAGGAACCAGCTGCATCACCATATCAAACTTTTGGTTGCGAACAATGCCCCAAAGGGGAACAGGGCCGACCCGTATAGGGAGCGGCAAGCTGATGCTGATCCGACGCGTTTACCCGTGATCAATTCCACGTGGGAAGTAAATCCATACAGAATCAGTAACTTCCCCATGAAGCTCGTGCATGACAAGTTTATATTAAGTTATGAACAGTGCTCTTGTCTGCGCTGTATGTCTCAAGTTTCAATTCTTCTTCTTTGCAACAGCTACTATCTCTTAGATACAACTTCAAGTCATCCCAACAACTCCCTCTGACGTATTGTGTTCACCGTATTTATCGTGATTGGATGTGTGCAGATTTTGCTTCGAGCAACCGTCACGGCTTGTATGCTGGTTTCCACAGAATTCGACATTTTGTACAACATAACCCAGGTAGCCTACGTAGCTCCCGCAGGCTTGCTACATGACACAACGTGATACGTCAAACGGGAGTTGGACAATCGACGTAAAAAATTATCATAGCGTGTACGAAGACTGACGAAAAGGACTAGTAGAGAGCACTGTCGAAAGCTAGAATGAAAATTATCATCAGCTTCCTTACCAGCGTTAGCCGCGCATAGGAAGTCTCATCCTCACTACCGTCGTCCTACAAGGAAGACCTTGAGCTTGAAAAGGCGACGCATTCTCCGCAACATTTGTCATGGAGCAACAATCATGTTTCGATTTTCAGAGCTTCTACAATTTCACCAATTACTCCACAAGGGCGAAGTACAATCAATCGAACCACGGCAACGCCAAGAGGATGCTTTCGAGCTGTCTGATATGTCAGATAAGGCGTCTGTATCACGTAATGACATCTCTCCACGTTCGTCTTTGGACTCAACGCGGTCAGCGTCTTCTTCAGCTTCCTATACCACTTCAACAGCAGAGACAAGAGCGTCCAATTCACTTCGACGACAACCCCCACCTCTTCCAACTTCATCATCGCTGTATTCTCATGAGAAAACGACCTCGTTTTCTTCACCGCGTGGCTGGTCTGGCATGCATCGCTAAGCGTTTGGACGATGGCCCTGCATCACAGTCGCTAGGCCGGCGCGTCGGTAACTATTTTTGGAACAGCGGTCCATGGCTCCGGCTATTGCGGTCACTTCGATGGTCGCGTCTTCAGTTTTGTAATCCGTACCAGTATCGTCAGCCCGCTCTCTTCGCTTTCTCGACTGTGCATTAAGTCGACCAACATACCTGATCTGGTCACATCAACTCGTCTCAAAGTGCAAAAGATCACAAAAGCGTGTGGAAGTTGAAACCTTGTTTGTGTTAAAGAGGAAAGTTGTAGAACGATTACGATGGTTCGGGAACAGAAGAGACCTGCTTTCTGGCATCAAGATCGGGCCCTTCCAGTGTATCGATGGTAGCTGTCGAGGGTTCTGATCTGGCGGATGCTTTGCAAGCATTAGAATTTATCATGGTCAAACACTTACAACGCTGACCGGCTGCATCAAGTCAGAATACATCATATATTGATATCTTTCGAAATGCATACTGTCCCTGTTCGTTCTCCTTGATACACTACAAGTAGATGTAGCACAGAGGCTCTCCGCTGAGAGTGCTCATAATATCACTAATCTTGACATCGGGAGTGTTCAGCCAGTTGGTCTCGATGGCATCATTAAGCGTAGTCCTTGGGCCGTTCGGGTCTAACATAGAGCGCGATCCCTCAACAGACTTGGCCTGGTCTAGGTGCAGCGCTTGCCAGATCCACCATACTCTGTCAAGCATTGCATGATGCATGAAGAAAACGGGGTCGTTGACACTACTGTAGAGGTCACCGCTGTCGCCACCTATGGCAAAATGACCCGAAGCGTGAAGACCTGAAGGTAAGTGAACAAAGTCAGTACAAAGTCCAACCACAGTCCATACAGAATACTACTGACCAAGGAAGCCATCGGTAAAACGACCCTGAAGTTCATTTTGAAAGGATGAAATGTCCTTAGATGCGGCACCAAGCGTGATGTTGTACAGGTTCTCGAAAGTAAACCATGTCTTAGATGCGAAATTGGTAAGATCCCTCTTCGCACAGCGCGGGTTCCAGGCCAGCGCTGATGCTGACTTGTTTGCTCCGGCCATGGTAGGGCTAATGGGTCCAAGGTTAAGTTGCACGCTGACGTTGTCAGTAAACGACACTTCAGTTGCGCAAGGCCAGAGACCTTGTAGTAGCTTACTTTTTGAACGGTCCGCTTTCGATGCAGCCACCACCATTGCCAGACGGTAGATAAATTCTGCCACCGCCACCAGTACTTCCATTGTGCTTGACATAGTAGCCATCACCACCCATGCTTGTAGCAGAACCATCGAAAACCGGGGACTTGCTCAGATCATCCTGGTAACTAAACCAGTTCCAGTACGGTTGGTAGCCAGTATAGCCACACTCTTCCCTTAGTGCATTCTCAAAGGAATGCACAAAGTACCTATGCCAGCTTAAGAAGTTTCCGGTACCATGAATGGTTCTGGTTTGATTGATGTGCTGTCCAACAAAGTCGTCGTATCGGGATCGAGCTCCAGGAACCAATGTCGGATCAGACTTAGAAGGTGAAGTGTACATACACTTGACAGCGCTACTATACGCTTTGCGCTCCTTTGCGGACATGAAATCCCTGTGGTTGTTAATCTTCACTATGTCGAAGTTGTATCGTGGTGCTGTCTACCAGTTTCGCCTGACGGGCGCTGTGGAAATATTGCACCCAGCTCTCCTCTCAAGCGTACCATTCCTCTCCGCCTCTTTAAGTGCTGCCAATGCTTGATCTTGTAGGTCCTGAAGAAGGTCACGGGGCTGCAACGCAGCAGACTCAACTAAGCTGGCCAATGCCAGGATAGCGGTGGGAAGACTGCAGAAACGCATTCTGTGAACAAGGTTGACCAAGGAAGACAAGTAGCTGCGAGAAGGCTGTCCAGCATCGAGTGCGTGCAAATCGTCTAATATGAATTCCTACGGCCCCCTACTAATCTACGTTTGCATGTGGCGACATGGGTCGGGCCCTTGCATCCGATTAGACCGCCTTACACGGACGACTCCTGCTACTTGTGGCAATGGATCGTATGCAGCAAGTAGCTTGAGATAGGTCACTCTTTGCTGGGCCGTCCTGCCTGCATGTAACCATGCCATTCCAGATGCCGGATGCGACGTTCAAGGACTAGACGCAGAACATTTTGCCGCAGATGGACCTGTCAACTGCACTGGTAAAGTTCATATACGGGAATGGAGAATTATTGTCGGAAAGCATGTGTTCATCAGCATCCATGTATGCTTGCAGTCACTTTTTGGGCAAGAATACGTCCGAATGGAAATATTTTCGATCGCAATGTGCTTGAGGATGCCGAAATTCAGGGTTCTCAGGGCGTGGACGGGCCGCTCCAAGGACAACTACACCGCAGCCACGCAGGAACGGCAAATCTTATTCACCCATCGGACGGTAGCTGTAGGATTTAAAACGGGCTTCCGTTCATGGGTTCTCGCATCGTTCGAGCGTCGAGCTGATCGCGATCTCCAGGTTCCTGATAAATAAAAGAGGATGTGGGCGCTGAAGTGTTCTTGTTGCGAACGGGAATCGAATGATAGGTATCTAGGCAGTGCGGAAAGCTTCCGTTCCCGACCGGCCGCGAAATATCGGTCTTGATGAACTTGTCCTTGTCAAACATCACTGCGTCCCATAGCCTCTTGTCCTTCACGCTACTCAGCCACCCCATATTGTTGTTTTCCTTTCGTTCGCATCGCGTCTCGTACTACTTCTGCACCCAAACGTTACGAGCGATCTGATGCCATGGTCTTTGACGAGCGGAGCTTGGTCTAAAGCACCATGACGCTTCTCAGCCACTAAGACTTCCTCTCTCCTGTGATCCTCTGCGATTCATCGTAGACGTCCATAAGTAACAAGTATCAATCCCTATCTCACTGAGTGTTGTCTTCGGCCTCATTCCAGTGCTCTTTCCGGAAGTGCGCGATGAACGCCATGCCGAGGTCCTTGAGGTCCACGTTGCAGACTGGACATTCTTCAAAGTCTTGGTTCTGCACAGCGAAGTTCCAAAGTCGTGGGACATTCTTCAGGATTTTATCTTTCAACGGCTGGGAGACATACCCCTCTATCAGAGCCCGGAAACGAGTATGGTTGTCTTTCCAAGCAGCTCCCAAGGCCAATGACCGTCTCCGGGCAGGAGTGCTCGGCTCCGATGCTCTAAAAACTGTAGATACGTCTTTGTACAGCTGTACAGTGTGGTATTCCAACGATGTGTCCGCTGTCTCTTGACACACGTGCTGTACAGCCCTGATCTGATCTACTATAAGCTCCACTTGTGTTAGTCGCATTGACACATCGTTGTGGCAACGCGAGCGGACGATGACCCTTGCACTGGTTGTTGTAGAGAAAATCATTGTTGGACAGAACGGTGGTATGGTTGCAGTCTGACCAGCGCGCTGAACGAAGGTGATGCCTTCTTGTAAGTCATTGCATACGTTTGCATGCTTTGGCGCAGGAAATTTGGTGAGGTCTAGCAAATACTTGTGCATAGTCGTCATGTTATGTGGCGTCGGAGGATACACGATGTAGATGCGCACACCGGTAATGAGGTGTATCGTACTGCTGCTTGTCATAGCTGACGCTTCTAGAGGAAGAAGAGCACCGCAATGCATGATCGAAGTAATGTTCGCCGACAGCTGTGGGAGAGTGTTCGAAGCCTCGTTGCCACCTACGAAGTGCCTGAGACATCAGTCTACGGCAGACGATCGGAAGGTGAGTGTCGTCGCATACTCGGTATACTGTGAATTATCTAAATGCTGCAGCAGTCTCCCCACTGTTGCTTCGCGATGTGCTTGGCTTAGCAGTGGAAGGCATAAAGGAGGAATTAGAGGAGGGTAGAATTGCGCGTCACCAATCCACGATTGATCCATCTTGAGGATCTTTGACAGTGAACGCGGGTGCAATCGTCGAGCACCCGTATCGTGCAGAGCTGATATTGTGGAGCAATCCCATTCAGAAGGTCCATAGCCCTTTTTGAACTCGTGGACCACAGTCCCACTGCTGGAATCGAGAAACCTCATACGAGTCGGAACCATGAGCTCGGCAATCTCCTCCACACTTATAACTGGACATGACTGGAGTTCGATAACGACAGGGTCGAGAAACCACAGATTCTGATTAGCCGATGTGATTTTGCAATTGGCAGCCATGGTGGGGCAGCGGTCGCTTTCTGTGCCTGCAAAGTGTGCGTTGATTGTGCCACAAGAGAAATGGAAGTGAGTGGATTAAAGGGCTTGAATGTGCAGACAGATTCACAGAAGAAGGAAACTCTCGCGCTAATCCGGACGTGACTGCGGCCATGACCCACTGTCTCAACGGCAACCTCAAACCTGATCTGTTCTCATCGTACGCGATGGTTTCCGCTCCAGACTCAGCTTTCTGTTCGTGATAGGCTCATACCGTTTCTCCCTGTCTCCCATCTCCCTCCCCTCCCCCATTCACCAAGATCACCATCACTGTCTTCCCCATCTGTACCAACGTCCCACTGGCTTTCCCCGTCCCAACTCTCACTCTCACTACGCTGCTCTTCTTCGATAACTATCTCAACTCTGCTCTCGAGTACCATGTTCTCCTTGCTTTCGCTTGCCGTGGATTCCTTCAGCTCAGTTCCATCGTCCACTTCATCGATCGCTCGTTCTAAGTCGCGATCCCGTCGTTTTCGTCGAAGATAGGTGTACTCGAGTACGAGTAGAAGTAGAATGACGAAAACAGCAATGGAGGCAGCGATAATGCCAGCCTTTGCTGTAGCGGTGAGCTGGGGTGAGGGTCTAGGTGAGTGCTTTGTTGGAGCAGAAGGCGTGTAAGCGATTTCTTCGAGCGGCAGATGACCGGAAGAGACGCCTTGGTCTACGATGATGCTGGTTGCTGAAGCTATTGTTCGCACACCGATCGTATTCGTAGGTGGGGAGTCAGAATTACAGGTCTATGCAAGCATATCAGTTACCTATCCATCACAGAGCTCCTGGGCTAACACTTACAATGCATCCTGTTTCCATAACATCTCGTCCAACATCGATGGCATATGCCCTACGAACGTCTGCAATACCCATGACAGCAACGGCGACGACAGAAAGCATGTTCACAACGCGAACAGGTCGCTAACAACCAAGCGTGAGTAGGAAGATATCAAGAAGCAGGTGTACAAGTAGAGGGGAACGCAATTTCGTTGCTCCCAAGTCAAACAATTGCAACAGTCCTGTCATGCATATGTGCGGCAGTATACCTGCAGTAGCACTCTAACGTGTCGCTGTCTCGAACCTCGACAAGTCGTTTTCGCAGCCTCAGTTACGCGGCGGCGCTCTACTCAGACCACATAGGAACCCGCAAAAGGCGAAGTCAGGGACAACAAGAGTATAGGATTATTAGTTCGGCTATCGCGAAGCATCATTCATGCAAACATCGAGGTTGCATGCATTTTTTCACCGACACCTACCGGCCAAAGTCATTCTAACGGGAGAGGAAGAGCATGGAGATTTTGAAACACGCCACTCCCGCCCCACTACATACAACATACACGCTGTGAGACATACGACCAAAACAAAGCTTCTCCAGCCGACTCTGTCGCCGACATACCGCTGGTCTCCATTAATCATCGCCATTATCCGGCTTTGGACATTTGCCTCGTTACCTCTTCGCTTCGGTCTTTGACAGATCTGCTTATTTCGCGCCATTCTCAGATGCTTAGGCAGCTGACCCTTCAATGACAAGCTCTTTGTTTACACTCAGATAGCTCTTGATCTTACATCTCAATCCGTCGTGCGGTTTACCCTGAAGACACGTAAGATAACTGGTCGGTTCCTTCGCGTCGTTTGCTGTGATAGCTGTGTGGCCTGAGAACGTCGGGAAAAGCAGGTCACCGTCTTGTCTACACGGTAATCAGCGTCAGTGTATGTCGACATATGCATGATCGTGGGGATATCGTAAAAAGCCAAGAAAGCATACCTGTTCCTGTACAGCCACAGCGAAAAGCTCAACTCAGCTCTTCGTTCTCCAAGCCCATCATACTTCTGCATCCCAAACATCAAGCCGCCTTCTCCGTCTTCCTCATATCTTACACAATCGATCAGCCGCTCCATGATAGTACCATTTGCCATGGCACCCTGACAATTCCACTTTGCCAGTTCTGTCGCAGCTGGAACCATCACGTCAAAGTCGATGGTAGAATCGGACTTTGAATCTTCAGGCCAAGGTGGGTTACCCGGGATACCGGTGCCGATGCTCATCATATGCATGTCTAGACGAAGATTTTGCCATGTTTCTGTCGTAATGGTGTTGAGAACAGGTAGACTGTTTGGCAGAGCGTTCGTAAGAGGTGAAAGAAGTGTGAAGGCGAAGAATATAGTGTAAAGTGCCATGTTGCCGAAGTCGTTCGATACTGTTGTTGCTCTGGAAGGCAGTTGTTTCCTCAGTTGTTCTCGTATAGTGATGAACTGAACGTAGGCATTTATCCAGTATACACACAAGGAAAAAGGCTCTCTCATATTCCCGTTTCGTTTGCGCCTCTCTTGGGTCGCCTTCTGCGATGCAACCCTTCCAAGGTATTCTGTACCATGACGCAGCCCTGGCACCAACTGTAGCGAGCCATAGCACCACCCCAACCTATAATACAGGTGAGCAGTACCAGGGTACCCGCTTACCTCGTACAAACTTTTCAGCTTTCGAGCTTCCACATCCAGTGGAGAGTGTTGGGATCGACCTACAGCTGAGTATTGGCGAGGTGTCTGCAGAATAAGGTAGTTGTTGCTGCACAAAGGTACCACGCCGCGTCGCACGAACACGATATGTCAAAGGAAATGGTTACATAGCCACGTACGGATACGGGTACCTCAATATATTCTCCGCGCACGCCATGCGATAGCGCTGATAAGAAGGGCGCTAAGAATGTTCGATGCGCGATCGATATCGCGCGTTTGCTAAGCCGTAGCACTGGTATCATTATGCACCTGCGCCATTGCCAATGCCAATACCCTCCGCCGTTAAACATGTCGAACCGTAAACGCCTCCTGATTACCATGGCAGCAGTGTCACATCTTACACGAGATGCTTTCGTCTACCCTTGGGCAGCACTTATACAGTTTTACATCTTCAAGCGACAGCAACGCTCCGCCGAACTGCCAGGGCGATCTCTGCCATACTTGACAAATTCCACTCACCCGTTTTTCCTGTTGCAACCGGGACATGTTCTCCAGAGTTGATGATATGCACTTTCATCTTCTCGTGATACTTGAGACCAGGCAGAAGTTTGGGTGTCACAAGAAAGTATTGACTCGTGTTCTCCTGGCACGCAATATCCACCATGCGTCCATGTACCATACGTTCGTTGCGAGGATCCATACCCTGATTGATTTCGTCGACGACGCGGAAGGGCGATTGGGCGAGGTCTTGTAGCGCCATGAGGTAGAAGACGGTTGAGACGGAGCGCTCGCCACCGGATTGGCGGTGGGAGTCTAGGACGCTGAGACTTTCATTTTCTCTATTAGGATCATTAGCGTCGTTTCATTCACGGACCAGGAAAAAACTGACCGGAAGCGGACGGAGATCTGGATGGACCATTTGTCAAAATCTGCTTCGTGTTTGTTCACCTGGACGTCTCCTGCGCATCCGATCATCTCAAATTGTTGCGCGAAGGCTGCGCTGATTTTGCGGACAAGACGATCGAGCTCAGGCTCCCACTTGCCGCGGATCTCGTTGATCTCATCCTTGATTTGCTCGAGATCACGGGCGTACTCGTCCAGCTTGATTCGTGCTGTTCTGATTTCCTCTTCGCGCTTCTCGTAAGCTTTGATCGCCCCAGGATTGCCTTCAGCCATCATTCCCAATCGCGCAGTGACAGACTGTATCTCTATGTCCAAGTCATCGATGCTGGGGATAGATTCTTTGTATGCGAGTATCATCCGATTCTCCTCCTCGGTGCAGGTGCTAATTTCTTCCTGCGTGACGTTGAAAATCCTCCTGTAGTCACGCCGAAGGGCTTGATGGCGTTGATCAAGCTCGGCGATCCTGTGCTGTTGTGCTTGCTGTTTCTGCAATATTTCGCTGTTCTCCTGTATTAAGCCCCTGAGTTCAGACTTGGCTTCGATGAATCTAATCTCAGCCTCCACGTGCGATTCATGAAATGCTCTCATCTGCGTGACAGCTTTCTGTAAAGCAGATCAGCAAATGCTATACGAAAGAATAAGCGTAACTTACAGCATATTCGAGCGTCAGACTAGCCGCCTTCAGAGATGCGACACGAGCGTCAGCTTTGATTGCTCGAATGCGGTCGGCCGTTTCCGCAATCTTCTGTTTATGACTGTCCAGGTCCATTTGTTTCATTGCTATATGGAATCAGCAAACATGCTCTTTCTCTCGTAATTGAAACACACACCGATCTTTCCAGGAAGGGCTTCCCATTCGGCCAGAGCTTTCCTGATGCCGTTTTGCTCAGCTTGGACGATTTCCTACCTCCTTATTAGTAAATAGAGACCGCATATACCAGCAGGAACCTATACCATTTCTTGTCTGAATTCTGCAATCTCCTCGTTGAGGGTCTTCATTTCATTCTTGACTACAGTGTTTTCCTCTTGCAGCTCTTGTTTTGTTCGCACTAGCTCACGTTGTTTTTGTTCAAGCTCCCGCATCTCATCCGCGTTGGCTGGCTGGTCAACGAAAAATTGTGCCGGTCTAAGTTTTGTGACAGATGTTGAAGCTTGGCCGTAACGTCGAACAACGCGATTCGTGAGCACACCACTGACCCAGCTGTGGATCGGGCTGTTTGTTACAGCCTCATGTTGCTCGTCCGAGATTGGATTTGCAGCATAGGCGATCTGGTGTAATCTGTTGTTGTCGCAAAGCATTGCCAAGACTTCATCCGGCCCTTGAAGGTAGTCTAACATATATCCCTCAAACCCGTAACGAGTCAGTTCTGCTTCAGAGACAGGCTTTTGATACGCAGAGAGAGGCTTCGGCGATGTTCGAAGATGGACGTCGTGAAGTCCTTGCCCGCCGTTCTCTTTCTTGGTTAGGAGTTTGTTCATAAGTAGCTTTTGATCATCTTTGTGGGTACAGGTAATGGCAACGACATCACCCCTTCTCAACTGCCCTTCGACGGCCTGAGCATACCTAGGATCTATGACGGAACATTCTAGAATCGGCGGACCGCACACTTTGCCTTTCAGATTTAGAGAATCTTTGTGCTTCTGAACCCAGTCCCATGCAGCAGCTGTGTCGTGAGAAAGTCTCTGTAAGAGACTGGCCTGTTTCCCGCTTTGAGTATTCAGCCTTGCGCGGTCTGCTTTCAGCTTTTCATTCTGCCTCGAGATGTCAGGCACGCGACGGTTCCTCATATCGAGTAATATGTTTTCCTTTTCCACGACAAGGCCCGCCCTAGTTGATATCTCATTACGTAGAGCTGCCTTGCGTTGCTCGTAAGACTCTGCGTCGTAATGCTCGGGCTCACTGTTTTGCTGTTGCTTCAGCTTGACGATCTCATGATTTAGACGGACCATGTCTTGCTCGCTCGTCTTCTTCGATGCTAGTTCAGCACTAATCATCGCCGTAGATTCTGCTGCCTTCGTCTTTTCAGCGTCGACCTTTCTCGCAATGTTGTCGGCTTGAGTCTTGATCATATCGACGCGGTTCTTGCGAAGGCGCACAACCTGCTGTATTTGATCCTGATATGCTTCAACCGCCGACTGAGCTTGACGCGCTGGCTCTATGTCGACGTTGATCTGATCGAGCTCCAGTCTTGCTTCTCGGATTTCCGCCTTGATATTATTAATGTTTGTCTTGAGGTCCTTCATCTCGATCATAGGCCTGACCATCTCTAGACATTTTGCTTCTCGCTGTAGATTTTCGCGCTGGTGGTGACGGTCCACATCGCCTCTTAATGAGGTCTGTTGTTTTTCCGACTTCTCAAGACTCTCGCGTTGCTTGGTCTGCTCATCCTCCTTCGATCGCTCGCTTACACGCAGGGCCTTTAGCTGATCATGCCACTCTACCATGTAAGGAGGCGCTGCAGCGCGTTGAGTTTCTCGTAGACGGTCGACGTCGCTCATCATGGAGAATGCAACAACACGGTCCTGCGGCAAGAACTGGCACAGGTTGTCGATTTGAATGGAGTATCCTTTGGCCATCGCTACGACATCTTTCTGGGTGACGCGCCTATCTTCTAGGAAGAAGACAGACTTGTTGTCTTCTTTACGAATGAGGCGCTTGACTATTCGATTTGGGCCCTTGCCAGAGCCCGTTGCAAGCTCGATCTCAATGACGGCTTCTGTCGCGCCGTGTTTGACGAATTGGCCCAGCTCTTTAGCTCTGCCCAAATGTTCACTGTTCCATCCGAGACCCAGGCAGATTGCGCAGACCAAGGTGCTCTTTCCTGTACCGTTCGGACCGATGATCATGTTCAGGCTTGGTCCCAAATGAAACTCGGCGGCCGTGTATGTGACGAAGTTTGTGAGCTTCACTCTGACGAGCGAACCCGGTTTGAAATCGTCTTGAGCGTGTGCGGTCGAGCCGTTCCGGTGGCCATTTGTTCGGAGGGAGCCGTTGGGCGCGTTCTGTTCGTAGCGTGCGCGTTTGCTGGCGGAGGACGGTGGAGAGGAGGAGGCGGAAGATTCTTCGTCTTCATCTTCGCTGACCGCGCGCGACGGGCGTTTTCGACCTCGCTGAACGATACCAGGCATGGTCGCGATTTGTTTGTGTGGGTCGCCGTATGTGGAGTATGCAGTATGAGGGAGGGGATGGAATGACGGGAACTATCCATTAGCGTGACGCGATGGCTCCGTGCGCCGAACGCGATCACGTGCTGTCGTGTGGACACCTCCATGCTAGCTCTAGTCGGTTGTCTTTCATTGTACAATCACTTGCATATCGCAGGATGAAGAAGCACCGCTCTCACTCTTATACTCATTGTCTACTAATACACGACAACTCAATGCACGCAAATCACTTGCCCACCCAATAAACTATGCTTAGACCAAACTGAACGCCAAATCTAACAAATCATGTCACAACGTGGAACCTAGAAACTGGCCTTTCCACGCACGCACCTCATCACTCGGCTCACGCCCACGACTTCCAGTTGCTGTGGTTGATGCCTGAAAACGGGTGTACGAATGAGAGAAAGTGCCGACGCAACCAGTGCTACGACACGTAAAGCAGAATGATAGCTCTTAGAATATGGTGCCAAAGTTCTCCTCAACCATTGGAAGCGGCTTCCTAGGGCTTGACGGCTTGCCGTTCTCGTCGGCCGTCTTCTTGTGGCGGAAGGTGACTGCAATACAGATTAGCGATTTGACGAAACACTAGTATTCGTCAAGACTTACATCCAACAAATAGACCCTTGCCCATCTGAACGTTGCGGTCTTGCATAGCCTCCAAAGCAGCCTGCTTCTCGTGTACTTCCTTGTATTTCGCCATGTCGGCTTCATTGCCGAAATCGTCAAAGTATCCAGCGTCGGTCTCGCTGTCCAACTCCGGTACGAACGGTGCCTTCTGCTCCCTCAACCTCGTCCAGTCGACCTCAGCAAAGTACTGATGGGCATGAATCTCAGAAATGTTGCGGAAGCGGGTAGACTTGGATGCTACGAGACGGACGATGAGGTCCCAGGTGCGCTTCGACAGGAAATAGGAAGGATCTTCGTAGACGGGTTTCCGCAGGACCTTCTTCCATTGTTTCAAGTTTTGCCAGGTTTCGTCAACCGTGGCACCAGCGAAGGGTGGATATCCGGCTAGGGCCTCGAACAACATACATCCCAGGCTCCAGTAGTCGACTGTGAAATCGTACTCGTCACCCTTCAACACTTCAGGCGCCATGTAGTCAGGGCTTCCAACGATACTCTTGGCGTAGTTGACGTCCCGTTCGCGAAGAGAGCGGTAGTTTTCCCGACGCTGTGCTGCCGATCGGTCTTCGATAGGACGGCCAAATGGCGACACAACGTCACTGACAGATTCGAGCTTGATACGCATAGACTCAATCTTTGAAGGCGCAAGGATACCGGCTGCAAGGCCAAAGTCTGTTAGCTTGACGTGTCCAGTGCTGTCGATCAAGAAGTTCTCAGGCTTCAAGTCGCGATGAATGTAGCCCAGCTGATGCAGCGAATCGATACACGAGAACATTTCGGCAATGTAGAAGCGGGCATGTCGGTTGTGCAAGACACCAGTGTTGTTGAGCAAGGTTCGGAAGTCACCTCCGGGGACGTATTCCTAGCAGTCGTCAGTTCATTACGCAATGCTTGCTCTTGTTGCAACTCACCATGGCGAGGTAGATGCTCTTATCGTCTTGGAAGGCGTAGAGTAGGCGGACAAGCCACTCGCTCTTAGCAGTGGTCAAGATATCGCGCTCTGTCAAGACGTGGCGAACTTCATCCAGCTTGAAGAGCAGCTTCTTGCTCATGACCTTGAGGGCGCACACCTCGCGTGAGTCCTTTTTCTGGGCCAAGTATACCTGTCCATAGCCACCCTGACCGACTTGTGTGAGGATCTGGAAATCACCCTGCCGTAACCGAGTACGTCGCTTGCGGAGGTTGGCGCGCTCGCGGCCGAGATATTGTGTAAGGGCATCGTTGTATTCCTCTTCTGGTGTATCTGGCGGTGGAGGGTTCTGGGCCTTGAACTGAGACAGACGGCTCTGGCGACTGTGCACGTAAGTGAGCAGATCGTAGTAGTAATCGAGGAAGTCTGCAGGTTCCATTAGCACTGGCTCGAGATGGTTTGATCCAGACCTTACACAGCTGAGTCACGTTGGCCAGGCGCTTGACGGCCGGCTTCCTTGCCTTCTCCAATTCCTCTGGTGACAAGCGCTGTGGGCCGTTGATGTAGCGCGTGGACTGCTGGCCTTCCTCGCGTGTCCTGTAAGGCTCCTGCCGCGACTGTGCTGCGTGCGTGAGATAGCTCGACTCCTTCTGCAGGCCCGGGCGACCACTGAGGGGCGTGTTCTCTTGATTCGACTTGCGTGTGGGGCTGCCCGGTGCATGACTTGGGCTGTCCGGTGCGCTGTAGTCACCTAGCTGCAGTTTGTTGGGCAGTGTTGGTGTTGCGGGCTTCGTCTTGGAGGGCGAGCCCATGGTGGGTAGCAGCCTCATGGCATTTTCGAAGACGTGTGGCAGATCGAATGCGCCGGGCGGCTGGTGGTGTTTGCTTGGACTGCCCTGGGGCGTCTGCTGCGGGCTCATGAAGGCCTCGGTCGGCGTGCCTGGGCGATCCATTGCGTTGTCGCGGGTCTGCAGTGGGGGTGGAGGGGCGGGCAGCTGGAAGTTGTCTCTATTGCCGTCTTCCATGATGGGCTACTGGGCGATAGGGCAGGAAGGAGCGGTGGATGGGCAGCAGCGAATAGCCGCGGGGGACAGGCAGGCAAGCGCGAAGAAGCAAAAGGCTAGCAATGTGGGCGCAGGCAATCGGCGACTGTGGTTTTACAACGCAACACTTTACACGCCTTCGTAGTTTGACGGGCGCAGGGTGTAGAGGGTCAAGTTTGTGTTGATGGCGGGGTGCATGTTTTGGGCTAAGTGTGGCTCCGGGCAACGATGAATTCCAGGCATCCCGGCAAGTGGAGCCCATCTGCGATCGACGCAAGGTCCTGACATGCAAATTCGGTAGCCACGAAGATGCTGATGTTGATCTCATGCTCGGCACGTATTATGTACATATCCAATCTGACGCCCTCTGTTTCCCAATTACCCACATCCTGTGCAACCGTCAGTAAATACCACCGCCAAACAATAACGCCCTGAGTAGCCGACCAAGATTACCCGTCCGAAACAATGATATCACAGCTCTAAGAACAGTATCCTCGCTCCCATCTCGCTTCCCAACCCTCATGTCTGGTAAAAATGGCTCTGAAACTCCTGGGCCTGCATTTCTGCGCGAGCAAGTAGTTCTTGTTCGCGGGCAAGAAGTTCGATAAATGCCTGCCCACGCGAAGATGCGTGTAGCAAGGGTGGGATCCATCGGGGCTCTTCTATCAGCTGTGCCCGGCACATGGGACAAGTAACTTTGTTCTTATGTTCTCTGCACGTATCAAACTGGGCTGTGTTAGCAGGCAAACAGCCTCTTCTAGGTACTTATACTGACCCATTGGTTTATGCAAAACTCTCCAAATCTGTGTCCGCAAACTAGCTGCACAGCATTCTCCTCGTCTTCTGTGGGTGCTACAAGTGTCGTGGCGTAGTCTTTCTGACAGATATCACAAGTTTTGGACGCATCCTCTGGAAGCGCGCTTGGTAGATGCCGATTCAGGCTGAGCTTCAGTATATTGATCTGGCGAGCAGTGGAAACATTGGGGTCACTAAAAGTCTGGCGGCCTGGCGGCCGTGGTAGTACTTCTCTTGGTCGGTGCCTCATGCGGTTCGATGGTGGCGCACGGGCAGCCGCTTCTTCTGCGTCAGACGACGTGCTCGACTGTGAGAGGTCGACCGAGTACCGCTCGAAATTCCTACGATTCGAGGCGCGCGGGGAGGTACTACGATCCGAGCGGCGACTCGGACCCGGAAAGGATATCCATGGAGGTTGTTCGAATCCGGGATATGTTTGTTCCCTTGCTTGACTCGGTGCTTGAGGTGGTGGTCTCGGATCTCGAGCCCGGCCTCCTGGTACTGGCTCTCGATGTCTTGCATAAGGGCCACGTACAGTGTTTGCACGTGCACTGCGGGCAGTTGGTCCGACGCTCGTCCTTTGATTGCTGCGGGGTGGACTATATGAAGGTCCAGCGTTGAAAGATCCGAACAGAGGAGGATTGCTGTAACCTGCTGACATTGGGAAAGGGTAGCTCTGGACGCTGACACCATTGTTATACAACGTCTGGCCCACCAGCGGCTGATCAAACACGTTTCGCGTGGGCGACGACCTTGAGGGATTCATGACTGGATACGGTTCATATGAGTATGTGGCGGGGGGATAAAAGTGTCGACGATTGCTCCCCATAAATGGCAAAGGCGAACTTCCCGATGGATAATTGCTTGTAGGCGGCACGAGAGGCATGGAAACCGACGGATGATTTCTCTCAGGTATGAGGGGTGCTGAAGTGTTGCCACCGAGCCCATGGTAGTTTTGATATATGGGTGGAAGTTGTTGTTGAAACGGTCTCTGTGAAGAGAGAGTCGGGGCAGTCAGCTCTGCATGCGGATCTTCAGGATCAGTGGTATATTGAGGCCAAGAAGTTGCGCCGTTGTCATTGTGAGCCATGATAGATGTCTTGTAGAGGATTTGCGCTTGCGTTCACAAATGGTACCATGAGCTGTGTCAAGTGGTGGTAAGCGAGTGTCAGGATAGAGGCGGATGCCGATGTTGATGTTGATGCTGATGCTATGAAATATGGAGTTGCAACTGTTGCCAGTCAATGTTCGGCCTTGATTGAGGCAGTCGTTGGGAAGAGAGCTTCGTAGCAGAAGGCTCGATGAGCGTCATGAAAGCCTTATCTGCAGCTAAGCAAGTACGTGTGGCCAAACTGAACCCGTGCTTCACAAATGCACACACAAAGGCGAAGTGAAGTTGAAGATACAATAGCAGGCTGCGAAAGGGCAGTAGGCAGCAAAAACGGAGTGGACCGTTTGTTGAGGCTGGAGTCTGAGCCGTAGGTGAAGATGAGGGGTCATTAGCTCCATGTTACGCTGGCTCGCTCGAAGACGAGCGCCCAGCATGGATCGAAAGGATGGTGGAGACAGATCAGGTGCGCTCCGACTTGACTCGCTACGTTAATCTAATATGACCAGGCGTCGGAAGACGGAAAGCGCAGGGCACATGGTTCCAGGGCGTCACGCCGCAACCTAGCTTCCAAGTGTACTTGGTCGTTTGCCATGGTAGCTCTAGATCGTCATCAGAGGGCGGAGTCTAACATCATCACCCAATAAATTGGACCCTCAGCCGAACCCAACGCAGCGATGCAGAGAGAAGTTCGGGCGGGGACAGGCCTTAGGTACGAGGCGTGTTTCACGCAGCAGGGTGTGCCCGATAATGCCGAAGCTTTTGATCGGTGACTATGCGGAAAGTCCACTAAGGACCGACCGAAGCAGGCAAAGCAGATCTACACCGAGAGAGGGCCAGAGTCTCCACCAGAAGAAGCAGGACGAGACGTGGCATCTGAGAGTGCTGCGCGGCCTGGTCTTGGGAGAATGGGAACAGCGTGGCTGGCCAGGGCGGTGGGACATGATGGAACCGCCGCATCAGCGCAAAAAAGGAGACGGAACGCTTGACGTTGCATGCGCAGGTCATCACAGGCTAATGCTGAGCATTTGGCGCCGGGGTGCGGAAAGAGAGCGGAAGAATGACACGGTGCTGGATGGCGGGATGGCGGCATGTCGGCTTGGTGGTAAAAGTTAGCAGCGGACCTCTGGCAACAACGGCGGGCAACAACCATGAATTCGACAACGCCCTCTTCAGAGCTTCCAAGGTCCAACTGGAGGGGCATTCCACCCGTAGCTTGGCGTTTGCTGGCGAGTCACGTGCACTCCATGGAGGCCGCGGGAAAGACCGGAGGGAATTGCCGCGGACATGAGGTCAGAGCTCTGAACTGGAGCATTTTGACTCGCAGCGCAATTGTTCGTCTCGTCTTCAGATTTGCGACTTGCGCCTTGGTGTTCACTGCGCACCTCAATTAGCCAATCCGGCATCTGCCCCCCATTTCCACTCCATCCCATCCCCACAAACAGCTGCTGCAACCATGTTCCGAAGCGCAGTCAAGCTCCGCGCCGCCGAGGCCGGAGCATTGCGATCACTCGCACATGCAAAGGCCAGCCCCTCCTTCTGCTGTGCCCGCAGCACGCGTCCGCTCTCCACCACTCGATACACCCCCGTGAAGTCGCAGAGCCAGTTCCAGCGCCGCCAATTCAGCGTCACCAGCAGCATGGCCAACACACGAACCGAGAGCGATGCCTTTGGCGAGATCCAGGTCCCCTCGGACAAGTACTGGGGAGCCCAGACGGAGCGCTCGCTGGAAAACTTCAAGATCAACCAGCCCCAGGACCGCATGCCGCCGCCCATTGTGCGCGCCTTCGGCATCCTCAAGGGCGCTGCTGCCACGGTCAACATGAAGTTTGGGCTGGGTATGGCACGTTGAAGAATGCGAAGGCGACACGGCTAACGCCCATGCAGACCCCAAGCTCGGAAAGGCCATCCAGCAGGCCGCTGACGAGGTTGCCTCCCTCAAGCTCATCGACCACTTCCCGCTTGTGGTGTGGCAGACAGGCTCTGGCACCCAGTCCAACATGAACGCGAACGAAGTCATCTCCAACCGCGCCATCGAGATCCTCGGCGGCACAATGGGCAGCAAGAAGCCAGTCCACCCCAACGACCACGTCAACATGTCCGCCTCCTCCAACGACACCTTCCCCACCGTCATGCACATCGCGGCCGTGCTCGACTTCGAGGAGTCGCTCCTTCCCGCCCTCACCAGCCTCCGCGATGCGCTGCAGAAGAAGGTCGACCAGTGGGAGAACCTGATCAAGATTGGCAGGACACATCTCCAGGATGCTACCCCTCTGACTCTCGGCCAGGAGTTCTCTGGATACGTACAGCAGCTCGACTTTGGCATTGAGCGGATAAAGACCTGCCTCCCGCGCCTCAAGATGCTGGCACAGGGTGGAACAGCCGTCGGAACTGGTATCAACACATTCAAGGGCTTCGCCGAGGACATTGCCACGGAAGTCAGCAAGATGACTGGCAAGGACTTCGTCACCGCACCCAACAAGTTCGAAGCCCTCGCTGCCCACGATGCCATCGTCGAGGCCCATGGCCAACTCAACACCCTCGCAACCTCCCTCTTCAAGATCGCCCAAGACATCCGCTTCCTCGGTTCCGGACCCCGATGCGGTCTTGGTGAGCTGAAACTGCCTGAGAACGAGCCCGGTTCTTCCATCATGCCCGGCAAGGTCAACCCCACACAGTGCGAGTCCCTCACCATGGTCTGCGCCCAGGTATTCGGTAACCAGGCCGCTACTACCTTCGCTGGATCGCAGGGTAACTTTGAGCTCAACGTATTCAAGCCCGTCATGATCCGCAACCTGCTCCACAGCTCGCGTCTGCTTGCGGATGGCATGCGCAGTTTCGAGAAGAACCTCGTTGCTGGTCTGGAGGCCGATGAGAAGCGCATCAGCTCCATCATGAGCGAGAGGTAAGTCACATTACTCGAATCAAATGTCCTTCATGTAGCTAACTTGATATAGTCTCATGCTTGTTACCTGCCTTAACCCCGTCATCGGCTACGACGCTGCTAGCAAGACCGCCAAATACGCACACAAGAACAACCTCACCCTCAAGGAGGCTGCTCTCAAGCTCGAGGTCATCAGTGAGGCGGACTTTGACAAGTACGTCAGGCCTGAGTTGATGGTCAACCCCTCCGAGTACAAGCCCAAGAACTAGGTGCCGTGACGAGATTCAAATAGTAAAAATGTAAAATGTAACATACAAGTACAACACAGCATGGATATGAGCGGTAATGACTAGCACCACTGTTATCATTGCGCTGATATTTTATATAACGATATCGATTTGCGTGACACTCATGTTTTAACCACCTCCGTGTTGATGAAGACGCTGCTCGATGGTTCTGAGCTTTCTGTCATGTCCGGTTTTTACGTTTTGGAGTTGCACGCACCGGGAGCGATTGAGCAGGCTGTAAGAAAATCATTACACGATATTGATCAAATTGTTCTAGTGTTATACGCCCGCACCTTCCATCTCCGCCCATCAAACCTCTAGATGTACTTCCATCTTTCTCATATGCCTTTCCTAAGAAAGGGACTCGATGCTGATGTCGAACGTATGTTCAGTGGTCCTGAGTGACTTGTCCTCTGCTGCGTTTGTAGTCTACCATTCTAGTACCACGCAATGAGCGGATGGCAAGCAGAGTACGACTTTGCCTCCAGTAGCCGGTTGTAGTCTTCCCAAAACATCAACTCCAATTAACCTTAGCACACACTTCAATATCTAGAGGTGCCCTGCCACCAAACTCTTTGTTGCCACCTCATCAGTCCTTCCTCACTCCTACACGATCAAGCTTAGCTCAGCTCTAACTATCTGGAGTACAAGTCATAGATCCTCCCTCCTGTTGTAGCCCCCGAGCTCTTAACAACCGCGCCTCTGGATGCCCTTCGACCGTCCATCCTATATGCATGTCGTTACTCGTCAGCCGATGCGCTGCTCCCATTTACATAGAGATGTGATCCTGGCGTATGTCTTGTCTCGTGACTACTGCTCGTGGGACACCATGTCGGATTAATGGTGGAACGGGAGGTGGCATGGGGAATGATACTGGCCCGGTGGTTGAGGATTGTGGTATCCCTTGTCGATACTGTTGAGTTCGTTTTGGTGGTAGGAGATCAACTTGCTGCTGTTGTGTCTGATGTATTGCGTGTAATTGCTCTATGCTGTTCGAGCTGTCGGCTAATGGATGTACATCAGTCATCTCAACTTCAGGACGTGGATTGGCTAGGTTGGCAAGTGAATCCTTCTGCTCATCCAGGTTGTTGGCCAGTGCCGACTGTACACGATTAATCATATCTCGGCCTTTCTCCTCTAACCCAGTAAGTGTTTCCTTAATCTTAGTTGATGCCACACTTCCACTACCTTCCTCTAGTGCAACAAGTCTTTTCTTGAAGTTGGCAGATGCGACAATTTCGGTATCCGAGCGCGATCTTAGTGTGTCGACATCGAATCGAAGGTTTTTGAGTTTGGAATCAATTATCCTCAGCGTCGGGTGGATCAAATCGTCCATCTGGGAAGCGGTAGAAGCGAGTTTTACTGGTTCCACACGCTCGTACAGGGGTTCGAGCAAAGTCGTGGCGGCCTGGCAGGTCCTGGTCGTCGATTCATGTGAGTTTTGCGCAGCCTCGAGTACGCTGACTCGTTGACTGATGGAATCCAGTACTCTGACAGTCTTCAATAGTGTCTCTGTGTGCTCGTTCGCTTCTGACTGTACCATATCATGGTGGTGTCGCAGGTCCTCTTGAGCAACGATTACTGCTGTCTCGAAACGGTGCTCCACGTCCATTTCTAGCTCCATAAGATTTTGACTGTCCATATTGCTCCTACGTTCCGACCTTTGCAGCCGCTCATCTAGCTCTCGAATTTGCCGACTTGTCTTCGTGAGCTTCGCCACAGCAGTAGTCTTTTGTCCGTCAGCTTGATTGGAAAGCTCATCCATACGCTGTTTGAGTTCCATCATAGCATCTGGTTGTATGTTGCAGGATTGCGCGAGTTGTTGGACTAAGGTCCCTAGTTGAGTATTCCGTGCCTTCTGAGTTTCGAGACTGTCTTTGAGTTGTGCCATATCTTCTTCAGTCTTCTTCATGAAGGAGCTCATGAGCTGCCCCTGAATATCATTATGCTTCTCTTGCGCGTCAACCCGACAGGTAATACTTCCGATCCTTTCGCTATGGGTATCGAGTCTTTGGGAACCATTACAGACTCTTTTGTAGACAAATTCGAGGCATTTGCCCACTTCAAGCGGGATATTGAAATTCTTGACCCACGGTCAAGTCGAAACGGCAGACGCATTCGGGTAAGCCATATCGTTGATCTTTGCTTTTACACTCTCGAGTTTCGCCTAGGATTCTTTGTGTAAGTGGCGTATGAGCTGATATGAGCGCGAGGTGGGTTGGTGGAACCCGGTTGGCCTCAACTCCTTATACCCCAAGTGCCCAGAATTCACGGCTTGAGCCACGATAAACTCCACGGAAACATGCAGATGGCAGCATCAAATCGTATGAGAAGAGAAAAAACGTAATGCATGAGGCCGTGACTCATCGCCCTTACTTCAGACATCCTGTGTTATCGTACAGACGATCCGAATATGCCAAAATAGTCATCTTTGCTTGGAATGGGAGCACCTGGTCATTGTGGAGCCATTGTCCGTTATGACTACGGATTCTGAAATATCGGAATTGAACGCTTCTTCTTCTTCTACTGCTCACTGACACAGAGTGAGATGCAAAGAGGCGTTCGACGTTGCTGGAATAGAGACTGATAGGCAGCGCAAGACATTGCCACAGTAGGACAGCAGCGCTAAGGCTAGAGGTGTGCAATTTCTGACACGTCGAATTGGAAACTGTGCATGACAGTGTTGCTGCTTGGAAGTGTTTGCTTTCCGACCGTCTAAGCTTGGAAATGTAAACGGACCTTGGGAAATAGCAATGATTCGCTTCAGTGGGCACATCGCTGAGAGATCGCTAGGCGTATAGCTGCACACGGATATAGTATTGATCGAAACCCATTCACGCAGTCGTCGCCCATCAACACAGACTTGGGCGTTCCTCAATGTCGTACGAGCATGTTTCTGGTTGTAATAAACGTAAAGGAGAGGCTAGGGCGAAGCGGACCGGTGCGGCGCTACTGCACGCGCTAGCACCAGCTAGCTTCGGCTGCCGGTTCACCTGCATCTTCCCCAAATCCCCACGCCACCGGTAAACCTTTGTTTATTTCGGCTGCAGCCAGTGTCGTTGTACGACCTTACTACAGTGACACAATATCGCTTTCCCTTGTCCGCCAGACCTTGACCGCGTCGCTGTGACGTCTTCGTGGCATGCCGCTCACACCGCCGCGCTCATCTTGGTTCAGATCATCTATCATCGCCGACACCACACATGAAAACCGATAAACAAGATGTTTGTCAGTCGGGCATGTTTTGCGGAGATGTGCGCTATCGTAATCTTCTCGGGTTAACAGGATGAAACTTCAACGTCATCATGACGCTGTTGAATTCCCCGCCTAGGTATTTCAAGCTGCCTGTGGCCTGAGCGTTAAGGGGCTTAGGAAGAGCTTTGCATGCGAAGAAATTTGTATTTGCTAGACCGTTCGCTAGCTGTGATGCTTCGCCGTCCAACACCTGTAGTTTGATGAGCGGGACGAGTCTCCCAAATTACTGCACAAACGCATCCACTCCCTTATCTAAAAGTTAGAATCAAAGACATGCTATCAGGCCCCAGCGTTGGTCAACAAGTTCTTTTTACATGGTCAATCATACATAGCGGGAGAGTTCAAACGTTCCGCTGTAGCCTGTTGACGCGTGATTCGGATCCTGACCGAGAAGGAGAAGATGTATGGATGAGATGAGTCCTACTAAAGTCTGCTATTGCTCGATCACTTCGAGTATGAGAACTGAGGTATCTTCATCAAAGCCACAAAGTAACAGCTTCGCGATACATAGCTTTCATTAGTCCAAGATAGTCACGAAAATTGACGAAGTGGGTGTGAGCTACAATGAAACATTCCTGCCATGATGACTTGGAGCTGCTGAAGATCACAGAATTGAACCCTGACCAGTGGCATATATCCGCTCCACACACACGATATACGCACGCATTCGGAAGTGTCTAGCTTTCTTGGACCACATTATAGCTGCACAGCTGATGGTGGATGATTCAGTCTTGTCAGTGTGGAACACAAGCCTACCAGAGCTGATCCGGATCCCATGTTTACTAGCACCTACAAGATGAATAATCACAAAAGCATTCGTCCGTTACTGAGAGGCATCTGAGTGGCTGCTCAATCAAACTGCTTAGCGATCCAGCTACGCGGTACCCAGATCGTAACGTACTCCCGCGCCCATGGTGTGGGACCGGTCGTGCTTGAGGCGATACGTTACTCGTCTCCACGTACGGAGTATCGGAAATGGTATGCGGCCCGCTTGCTAGAAGTGGTCTACATGCTCAAGTTTCGATACTTGATGATCCTGCTTCTAGAGATTCTAGCCCATGATCATTCCGCACAGAGCCGCGGCAAGGATCACTGTTCAATACACGAGGTATCCATGTTACCTCACCGAAGCTTGACCGGACCATGGAGCGTTACTTGATCAGACAGTGTAGCGGTTACTGCACCCATGCATCTTGTCTCTACGTTCACATCCAACTCATTCTCCTCTCTCATTGTCAATCTCTTTCTTTTGTTCAACAGACACTGATAACAGAGAGGACCCGGTATTCTGCGTGTATTGCATGACACGTTTCCGAAGACCCAGACTGTTGACCCACTGGCGCTTGCCAGGACTGGCCGTAGTTCCCGATATTGGCCGCTCGCACGAGTCTAGTCATGTCATAACAGACGATCTTAGGTCAAACAAGCGTTTGGATTGTAGACTTGACACGCGATACCACGCGGCCGACTTTGCAATCCCCAGATTTCTTTCCCATGGGGTGGACGTCGATTTGGCCTCTCGCTCGAATAGAGAAGGAGCTGACTCTAGCTACCTGTTAGTCGTTTACAAACCACCCACGAATCTACCAACCTTCTCCAATTCCGAGCTCCGAGATCCTTCATTAGCAGCTCATCTGCGTCGGAGCCGCACGCGGCGCATACGAGGTCTAGCAACGTTCTACGCCCGTTATTCAGCCTCGCTAATACACAACAAGGAGCACTTCCGCAGGATGTGTACTTGACGATTTCTCTAACCGCCGTTGCACGGCAAGCTCACCTAAATAAGCTACTACTACTTGTTAGCTTTGGAATTTCGCATCAATAGGAAGTGTGCAAATGACTACGGTTTGGGCTAGACAGTCCTACGCGGCTCTGCTCGGACCCCGGCTTCTTCATACCCCAGAGACCCACCAATAAGGACCCATGAAAATGACAAGCACCCTTGAAAGCTTGTCGCGGGGCCCCGTGGGCTTGATAGCAGAGTGTATCCACACCGAGGCCGACTCCAAAAGTGCATGGAGTATATAAGCTCTCCCAAGCTCGCCATGTCTGCTTGGCTTTTAGCATCGGCTTTTGCTTATTCGTTCTTCGCTTTTCGTGGCGTCCAATCACATTGCACGCTAACCGAAAATGTCGGGCTTTACCGAAACCAAGCGAGATGCTACCGACGATGGCGTCTTGGAGAAGAGCCTGAGCCATCAAGCTGAGATCTTCGAGGACAAGGAGCTTATGACAGATGCTCAAGCAGCTGAGAACCGCGAGCATGACATGGGCATGTGGGAAGCCATCAAGGACCATCCTATGGCCTGCTTCTGGGCTTTCATCTTCTGCTTTACTATCGTAAGTTTTGACATCTTTCTACCAATCTTATCAGATCGTTACTAACGCTGTATAGGTCATGGAGTCTTTCGATATGTTCTTGAATGGTAACTTTGTTGCTCTTGGCGCATTCAAGGAGCGATACGGAGTCCAAGTCGCTGGCGAAGTCGGCAAAACCATTCCTACCAAGTGGCAGAGTTCGCTATTCCAAGCCGGCCAATGCGGTGCCTTTGTCGGAGTGTTCCTCGCTGGTCCCATTACCAACCGCCTTGGTTACAGGTGGACGACCCTCTTGGCGCTCATGCTCATGAACGCAACCATCTTCATCTCTTTCTTCGCAGATTCGCTCGCGGTTCTTGTCATCGGACAAGCTTTCGAGGGCATTCCATGGGGCATGTTCATTGCCAACTCGCCTGCTTACGCCAGTGAGGTCGTTCCCCTCGTTCTCCGTGGCGCTTGCACGGCCACTCTCCAGATGTCTTGGTCCATTGGTAGCATCATCGTCGCCGCCGCCACCTACAGCTACAACAAGCGCAACGACGAGTGGGCATGGCGAGGTCCTCTGGCGCTACAGTGGGTTTTCCCCACTCCTCTCATGGTTCTCGTCTTCTTCGCCCCCGAGTCGCCCTGGTGGCTTGTGCGCAGAGGGCGCAGAGACCAGGCGCTGAAATCTATCAAGCGTCTCGGCCGCAGGAACGGAACTCAAGCTGCCGCCGAGGATACACTTGCCATGATGGAGCGCACAGTACAGATTGAAGCTCACAAAGGTGGTGAGCCTTCTCTCCTTGACCTACTCAAGGGGACCGATCTTCGCCGAACAGTCATCACCTGTTTGATCTACGCATCGCAGAACTTTGCTGGCAACCTCATCGCCAACCAGGCAACCTTCTTTTTCGAGCAGGCGGGAATGTCTTCCGATTTCTCCTTCAAGCTCAATCTGATCAACTCGTGTCTGCAATTAGTCGCCAACATCTGCTCGTGGCCACTGAGCAACTGGTTCGGCCGTCGCACGATTTACCTTGGAGGTACCGCCGTCAACGTCTGCCTACTCTTCCTTTTGGGAATTTGCGCCTCTATTCCCCAGAACAATGCGACCAACTACGCTCAGGCGTGTCTGGGTATCGTCATCTCATTTGTCTTCGCAGGAACCATGGGTCCTATCTCATACTCCATTATTGCGGAAACATCTTCCATCCGACTCCGCGCTCTGAGCACAGGTGTTGGTCGTGCTGCATACTACGTCGCGGAAATCCCCATGATCTACCTAGCCTCGCAAATGCTCAACCCTACCGGCTGGAACATGGCTGGTAAGTGCGGATACGTCTGGGGCGGTACAGCCTGCGTCTGCTTTGTCAGCGCGTACTTCGGTCTTCCTGAGCTCAAGGGACGCTCATACCGTGAGCTCGACATTCTGTTCAACCGCAAGATCTCCGCTCGCAAGTTCAAGTCCACTGTCATCGACGTCAGGGACAACGAGTAAGCTGCCGCAGCATAAGATACCCTATGAAGTTATGCACTTTCATTTATTAGACGAAACGATGTGTCGTGGTAGATTGAAGCCTGGATGCTCGGACACGCTTCTCGAGATGGCTGGTTTAGTTAGGGTCCGTGCTCCTGCTCATGTGGGGAGACTTCCCTTGAGCTTCAGACGAAGACAACAATCAATCATATACAATGTATTCTATTCACATAATTCTATCCTGTTCAATGTTCACTTGTGATCGATATGCAGAGAAAAGTGAAATAAACACCTCGATCTTTCAGATATGTTTCCTTTCATTCCGGAAAAGCACCTATCCCAACCACCTGGATTTACCTCGGTAACAACTGCTCGACATCCAAGTTGCATGGACACTCTGCTCAACTGGTGTCCTGATCTAGATTTTGTGGCATCAAGGACATCAGTAGGGACGATCCTTGACATCAACGCCGGTTCTTTCTTTGCTTATTCATCAACTACTAGTAGTAACGAAAGATGGAGAAGCAGCACGGCTGATCGGCTGGATTTGTCCCGAAGCTTTGATGCCGCTTCTCGTCGTTTTCTGTCAGGGGACAAGCTTGTATGATCTCAAAAGATGCATTCTGTAATTTGACGTTCGACTTTTCATCAGCAGAAGCTCTGATTGATGCATCGCCGCGGAGGCCGAAGATACGGTGTCGAACGGTCCATGTCGGAGATGAGGGCCAACCGAGCTCATTTTGGACTAACCCCCGTCTTCCAAGCACTCCACACCTTGTCATGATCGCGCAAATCTTTCTCCTCTTTCCCCGGTTTCCTGTTCCTCGTCTTGGTAGAACGGAAACAATGTAGCATTTCAGCGAGGCTAACCCATCTGCGCAATCCATCCGCCTCCGATGCTAAGTCAACAACGTTTACCCGGGCCTCGGCGTACCCGGTGGAGCGTTCACAGAAGGGCATCTCAATTCCACCATTAAGACGACCTTGACATCCCCGCAACCCACGATGGATTCCATCATAGCGCTGCATTAGCGTCTTATTCGTAATTCGGGGACGACTGGGGTTCGGTACCTGCGTAGTGCTCATAAACTCTCAGCATGTCCGATACTATGATGACAGTGCTAATTGGCCTCGACGTCTCCAATCTACATCGAAAATGAAGACCATCGTAGGGCTCTCGTGGCTCTCGGCCCTGTCTTCGTTGGCTACTTCCGGTGTCAATGCTCAAAACAACACACCCAGTGCCTGGCCTCTTCACGACAACGGCCTGAACAAAGTCGTACAGTGGGACCATTACTCCTTCAAAGTCAATGGAAAGCGTCTCTTCGTTTTCTCGGGAGAGATTCACTACTGGCGTATCCCCGTCTACGAGGTCTGGGAAGATTTGCTAGAGAAGATCAAAGCAGCGGGTAAGTTAATATGTTCGCCACACATGATTAGCCGGATCTAACATTTGCCAGGCTTCACGGCTTTCGCCTTTTATGGCAACTGGGCTTATCACAGTGCAAACAACCAAACGCTGGACTTCGAAACCGGCGCGCACGACTTTACCAAGCTCTTTGAGATTGCGGAGCGCGTTGGTTTGTATGTGATTACCAGGCCAGGCCCTTATGTCAACGCTGAAGCCAATGCCGGAGGGTTCCCGCTGTGGCTCACAACCGGTGCTTACGGAGAGCTTCGGGATGATGACCCAAGATATCTTCAGGCTTTGGACCCTTACTTCTCCAAGTTTTCTGAGCTTACTTCTAAGCATCTTGTAACCAAGGGTGGCAATGCACTTGTCTACCAGATCGAGAACGAATATGGCGAGCAGTGGGAGGATCGCGAAGAGAAGGTTCCCAACACGGCTGCTGGACGATACATGCAAGCACTGGAGGACTCCGCACGAGCCAATGGTATTGACGTTCCTCTGATTCACAACGATCCCAACATGAACACCAAGAGCTGGAGCAAGGACTTTGCGCCCGGCGCTGTGGGAAATGTTGATGTTGCTGGATTGGACAGCTACCCGTCTTGCTGGTCTTGCAACCTTGACGAGTGCACTGGCACCAACGGAGAATACGTAGCCTACCAGGTCATTGACTACTACGACCATTTCGTTGAGGTTTCCCCAACCCAACCATCTTTCTTCCCAGAATTCCAGGGTGGCTCTTACAACCCCTGGGGTGGACCAGAGGGTGGCTGCCCAGGCGACATCGGAGCTGACTTCGCAAACCTCTTCTACCGCAACCTCATCTCCCAGCGTGTGACAGCCGTCTCACTCTATATGATGTTTGGAGGAACCAACTGGGGTGCCCTAGCTGCTCCAGTCACTGCTACTTCCTATGACTACAGCAGTCCGATTAGCGAGAACCGTAAAATTGACGCCAAGTATTACGAGACTAAGAACTTGGCCATGTTCACCCGCGTTGCCGACGATCTTACCGTCACCAACCGTCTCGGTAACTCCAGCTCATACACTACGAACTCAGCTGTTGAGGCTAGTGAGCTCCGCAATCCCCTGACAAATGCTGCTTTCTACGTTACGATCCACTCAACCTCTTCTTCCGCCACCAAGGAGTCGTTCAAGCTTCATGTCAGCACTTCGGTCGGAAACTTGACTATTCCTCAGCATGCCGGTTCGATTGTTCTCGATGGTCATCAGTCCAAGATCCTTGTTACTGACTTCGCCATGGGCAACAACACACTCACCTACTCTACCGCTGAGGTTCTCACATATGCCATGATCGACTCGAAGCCAGTCGTTGTACTGTCCACTGGTGTTGGAGAGTCTGTTGAGTTCCATGTCAAGGGAGCCTCCAAGGGCTCTCTAGTCAGCAATGGAACAAGCTCGAACGCGACTTTCCACTCCGAAGCCCATGGTCTTACTACTAATATCCAGAAGGTTTCTGGTATGAGCGTGTACCAGTTCGATAACGGAGTGAAGGTTGTTGTTGCTGACAAGCCCACTGCATACTTGTTCTGGGCTCCCAACCTGTCGAACGACCCATTCGCGCCGGTCGACCAATCTGTGCTTGTTCAGGGCCCATACCTCGTCCGCCACGTAGCTCTAGATGCTGGCGTTCTTGCTCTCAAGGGCGACATCATGAACAGTACGGATATCGAGGTCTTCGCCGCCGGTAGTGCGCACACACTCTCCTGGAATGGAAAGGAGTTAGCAACTTCACGAACAGCATACGGCAGCTTGAAGGCCCACATCGCTGCGTTCAACGGCACTATTAACCTTCCTTCTTTGGATAACTGGAAGATGAACGAAGGACTCCCAGAGAAGACGCCAGAATATGATGACAGCGGCGCTGCATGGGTTGTCGCTGACCATCTCACCACTCCCAACCCGACCAAGCCTGAGACTTTGCCAGTCCTCTACGTGGACGAGTACGGTTTCCACAACAGCTTCCATCTCTTCCGCGGTTACTTCGACGGGGCAGCCACTAGTGTGCAGCTTTCCGTTCAGGGCGGTCTCGCCTTTGGCTGGAGCGCATGGTTAAACGGCGAGTTGGTTGGCTCGTGGTTGGGTAACACCACCCTGGGTATCGGAAACATGACCTTGTCCTTTGCCAACGCAACTCTTCACGAGAACGGTACCAACGTGTTGCTCGTCGCACAAGACAACACCGGTCACGATCTACGTGGCGGTGCTACCGATCCCCGCGGTATCCTCGGTGCTACTTTGGAAGGCGCAAACTTCACGTCCTGGAAGATCGCTGGTGAAGCCGGTGGTGAAACTGAACTCCTCGACCCCGTACGTGGACCTCTCGCTGAGGGTGGTCTCACCGCCGAGCGTCTCGGTTGGCATCTTCCCGGCTTCGATGACTCTGAATGGGAGTCTGGTTCCCCATCTGCCGGTTTCGAGGGTGCCGACATTAAGTTCTACCGTACCACCATCGCTCTCGACGTCCCCACTGAGATCGATGCCTCTTTCGCTTTCGTCTTGAACGCTGTTGGCTCCAAGACTATCCGCGCACAGCTTTTCGTCAACGGTTACCAATACGCGCGATTCAACCCGTATGTCGGAAACGAGATCAAGTTCCCCGTTCCACCAGGTATCCTCAACTACTCAGGTGACAACGTGATTGGTCTGAGTGTGTGGGCGCAGTCTGAGGAGGGTGCGCAGGTTGACGTGCAGCTTGTGCAGGAGTACGCTATTGAGAGCAGTTGGAGCTCGAGCTTTGACTCTGAGTACTTGAGACCGGGGTGGACCGAGGAGAGGTTGGCTTATGCTTAAGCGCATGTCATGTTGATGCCAAGGTTTATGACTAAATTTACTGAAACGTCTTATTGAGCTTCACCATTCACGCCGAATTCCTATCGTGCTGTGGACGGAGTGAATTGAATGCTTTAATGCAAAGTTTGAGTTGAACATTCTGGTCAAGTTGACAATCGACTAACCTCACTTGTACTCACGAAGTCGTTTGCGAACGTATGCATAAGTATTGGTGGGATTAACTCTGGTTTCTACGTGATCAATCTGTAAAGAAGCATCTCGCAGCATGCTGCACGACCGACGTACACCGCTTGCGCCATGGCCAAAGTACTTATGGTTTAGCTGACTTTCTCATGTCGAAGGGTCCATCTATGCCTTCCATCGCAGGAGGAGTGAGACCCAGCACCACATCCCCCTCGACATCCACTAGCATATCGGCAACGCACCCAGACCCACCACCCGTGGATATAACCCCATGCTGTCTACAAGCAGTCTCCAGTTTATCCAGGCCCAACATGAGGTTACGAATAAAGCAAGAGTGTAGAGCAAGCTGTTGCACCTCAAACAGTTTGAACACCTTCAGCACCCGTCTCGTTCCGAAGCCAGGAAGATCGATCTCAGCGAGGACATCAGCGTTGTTTACGAAGGGCTGACCCATCATCGCTCTGCCTCTGCCTTCAAGGCCTTCCAGTAGCACACCAAGGCTCTCCCTTCCAGAAGGTGGTTCCGGAATTGCATTGAAAGAGAACGCGGAGGGACTATTGGGTGGTATGGGATATGGCTCTGCGATATAAGGTAGGACTTCTTCCCATCGAGCGACAATTGCGTAAAGGGTTTCAATGAGCCATTCGGCGTGTTTTGAGACTTCGGGGGAGGCGGTGTACGCGTGGTGACTTTTTAGCCAGTCTAGTTTACGGACTTGCGAGTGGTAGGCGTCGTATCCTTTGTAAACTACAGCTGTCCTTTAGTAGAGCTCCTGGGTTGATCTTTGAGGGTGCCAGATCAACTTTTCTCAAAGCGGTCGCACTCCTCAAGCCGTTCGTGAGGTGTTGAGATATCGCTACTTCGTACGGGAAAATTCATTTTTGAGTGCCAAAGGTTATCCACATCTGACAGTGGCGGCAGTAAGTAATCAGAGGTGCGCGTTGTGGTATCCGGTATAGTTGGAACATCTCGTAGCGCGGACATGCCGATAGTAGGTTTTCGAGACTAGGAATCGAGTTGAGATAGGAACAGGAATGGTGGTCTTTCGCAAGGAAATGCAGATGACTGAGCATAATGCAAAAGAAGGATGTTAGGTGGGCCGTTGCTGCTTGGAGTTGCGTTCACGTTACAAAAGAGGCAACCAGCTGTCACTACCACGTGGGCAACATAAGCAAATGGAAGGTGCCAACAACGAATTAAGATCAACGACCAATGTTAAAGTTTGCAACTTGAGCTATGGTAGAGAGCAGCGCTGGGATAGACTCTTTTTTTGTACGGTTGAGACTCGCAAAAGCATGACGCCTACAAAGACTCGCCGTATGGTACAGAAGAATCGCCCGTCGCTTTAATGTCGTTTTTATCATTCCAAACCTAGAGACAGTACCACGTGAGAAGCGTAATAGTAACACAGAACCCAGCCCCAACTGACCCTGAGAGCAAAGGGATAACGAAAAGAAACAAAGAAGGGAGAGAGACCGTTGCGCCGTCGCTGAATGTTCATATCGAAAACATGGGACTCGTCATTTGTTCGAGCGGCCAAGACCACCATCTGGCCGACAATTTATTCGTCCTTGTTTATTGCCCTTGGAGTCGCTAACGGGCGGCCGGCAAGAATGGCTTCGCGGTCTTGTCGCATGCCCTCCAGTACCCCGACAAGGCCGCCTTCGCGCATACGCTCCAGGACGACCTTCATGCCTTCGCGCGCATTGGGTTGGCTTCGCTGCGCACGCGTAAGGCCAATCTTCTCAATGTTGCGCTGCAGGGCCGCGGTGCCCCAGCTTCGCAAGAAGCCCATCTTTTGTGGCTGCTCGTCCTCGACGGCATCCTCCCTTGCGGCTTCACGCTTCTTTTTCCAAGTCTCGCCAATGTGGCTGTGCAATGTGACCGAGCTTGTGACGTCGGTAGTCTCACCCGAGTCTTCAATCTTGGCACCAGCGCCCTTGCCGCCAAAGTTGATGAAGCCATGACGTTGCGCAGCGCCTTCGGTACCCAGCCGCGTCTTCATGTCCTGGGACACTGACGGCGAGGGACGCACAAACTTCTGCCTCTCTACGACGGACAAGACACCGGTCCATTCCAGATTGCGTGACTCGGTGTCCATCCATCCCTCTTTGATATCCACGACCGATTTTTCAAGAATGTAAGTCTGGGACTCACCGCCAGCCGAGGCGCCAAGTAGAGACTTTGGCACAAGCTTGAGAACGGCAGAGGGGAGCTTTGACCGTTTCAGGTGGAGGCGAATAGTTGTTAGACGCTGCGTGTCGGGGTCGTAGTGACGGGCGATGGTGTCGGTGGAAAGCACGTGAGTGGAGTAAGGGTTCGGATAGCGGAGGAAGTAGGCGAGCGAGACGGCGGGGAAAGGATACGAGTACGTCTCGTTGGAAGAGTAGAACTTGACCATGTTGGCGTCGTAGTGGTCGGACAGACGGTGGGCGGTGGATGTAAGTAAGATGGTAGTAGGTAGGAGCTCAAGGCAGCCTGTAAAGCGCGGTCTTCTATCTTGGATGGTGAAGTCGCATCGTCAAGCGCATCCAACTGTGATGTGACAATTGGACGGGCTGAAGAGTCGCGTTGAGGTGGGGTAAGGCGGTACGTCGGTGTCGGTGGTGTGAGGATGCCGGATAGAAACGTCTGGAGCTCTCACGACCATGGTGCCATGACGAGTTTTGCTGACATGTGTCGGCACCTCTTCCCGCCAACGCCGGCGTGGCTGAGCCGTGGCGCGTGCATGTGGCGCGGTGCGGGGCAGCCCTAGGTCTAGGCAGGAACGCCAAACGAGAGTGGGGTCCTCAATTGTCGAATGGTGAGTAAGTGAGTGAGTCAACGACAACACAAAAGGACCGCATCCCACACCTCTCCCTGATTCCTTGGCCCGATTGGAATCATCCCATAATCGCGCACAATGACTGAGCCAGAGCCACCGGCCGTCGCCGCCCTTTCCCTCGCCGACACCGCGACACAGCCAGTCTCGAAAGCAACAGAGCAGAAAATCGACCCTTGGGATGTATCAGCAGGAGTCGACGAGGAGGGAAACGAGAAGGAATTCGACTATGTCGCCATCTCGAAGCAGTGGGCCACAAAGCTCATAGACGAACCACTGCTCGAGCGCTTCGAACGCATCACAGGCCACAAGCCACATCGCTGGTTACGGCGAGGCCTGTTCTTCTCACACCGCGACCTGGAGCTCATTCTGGATACATACGAGCGCGGCGACGACTTCCTGCTGTACACTGGTCGCGGCCCCAGCAGCGACGCCATGCACATTGGCCACACGATTCCCTTTGAGTTCACAAAGTGGCTCCAAGATGTCTTCGATGTCCCGCTGGTCATCATGCTGACCGACGACGAGAAGTTCTTGTTCAAGCAGAAACTGAAGCAAGAGCAAGTCTACGAGTTCTCGCGGCAGAACGCCAAGGACATCATCGCCATTGGTTTCGACCCCAAGAAGACCTTCATGTACATCGACTCCGAGTTCTTCTCGTCCGGCTATAACCGACATTTCAGTCTCAACGCTACCGAGTTCGAAAAGCTGATTACCAACAATCAAGTCCGAGGCGCCTTCGGTTTTGATGGCTCAACCAACATTGGTAGCAACGCATTCGCAGCCAAGCAATGTGTTGCCGCCTTTGCTTCATCATACCCCTTCATCTGGGGCGAGGATTACAAGACCTACAAACGCTCCAAGAAACTCGCTGCCTTGCCCTGCCTGATCCCCTGTGCCATCGATCAAGATCCCTACTTCCGCTTGGTTCGTGAGAACTGCAACAGGATGGACCTCCCCTCGCCAAAACCAGCCCTCATTCACTCCAAGTTTCTCACTTCGTTGCAAGGTGCTGGTGGAAAGATGAGTGCATCTGATGCCAACTCCGCTATATACATGAGCGATACGCCAAAGCAGATCAAGACAAAGATCAACACCAAGGCCTTTTCTGGCGGCCAAGAGACGCTAGAACTTCACCGCGAGAAGGGTGGAAACCCTGACATTGACGTGCCCTATCAATACATCTCTTACTTTGAAGACGATGACGCCAAACTCACAAAACTAGCTGAGGATTACCGTAAAGGCGAGCTGTTGACCGGCGAGATGAAGAAGGAATGCGTAGACATCATGACTATGTACGTCAAGCAGTTCCAAGAAGCAAGAGCAAAGGTCACAGACGAGGTGCTAGACGAATTCCTTCGTCCACGGAAGCTGGAGTGGAAGGGTAACCCCAACCCCACTAAGCCCAAGCTCGAACAGCCGGCCCAGGATACTGAGAGTGGGGGGCCTATGCTTGACGCCGACGGAAAGCCTATGACCAAGAACGCCATGAAGAAGGCGGCTAAGATGGCCGAGGTTGAGCGCAAGAAGAAAGAGAAGGAAGCCGCTGCTGCGGCCAAGCAGTGAAGCAGGTCAAAAACTTGAAATTCTATTGAAGAAGTAGTTGCACGATACCAATGTACCTATGTCGATATCACCTGCAGCCTATTGATAGCGTTCCGCGGGCACATTGATTACAATGTTTTCCAAGGGGTACTTTCTGATCAATTACGCGATGTAACATCATGCATCACATCGAGATAGTATGCTAACGTGATCCAGACATTGGCAGGCAGGACTGACCGTATTTATTGGGTCCGAATGCGAGATGTATCAGGCGGTTCCAACAAACTTGCTCGTCGCTCCGAGCACTTGGAATGGACGATACAGGGACGGGTCATACTGTGGAGTCTACCGTTCTCTGGCTTTACCAACAATGGTACGCCACTCGCGTGTTCCCGTCCGGCCCGCAACGGGCGATCGTAAAGCTTGAATCTGCCTCGGGATCAACCTGGACTGGCATCACTTGACTATTGGCAACTGGTTATGCGTCGAACTGCCAAGTATTCTTCAAATCACAACGTCTTCAAGACTTGACCGGCTCTCTTTTTGACCGGCTAACACCTTAGTCGGAGGACTCATCGTTCGCTCACTTGACTCTTTGTAGTATCCTATGCCGTTGCCTATCGCCAATGTCCACTAGAGGTACTCATTATGGGGTTCTGCTTAAAATGGCTCGCTCATCTGAGGTCATGAGGATGTCATGCTCTCCGCTCCCTACCCAGGTCGTCAACCTGCGTCACAATGCCTCGTGACCCCACGGTCTTCCTATCTCCGCATCCCCGCGTGTACAATATAACTGGGGTATGACAGTCTGCATGTCTTTTTTTGACTGACTTACACTTCCTCCCCCCACTTCCGGTCTCCGTCAAGTCGCACCGTTGCTTGAGCCTCCAACTAAGACAACCTCAGACGACGGTATCATGGTATCGGCCATGGATCGGAAGCGACACGGTGTCGCCGATTTTGATCAGCAGCTGATGTGGCGAGGACACTCAGATCCACTAAATTTCCCCAGCAGAGCGGAAAGTCCGACCCTCCTACCAGCGATATCGAGACTGGAGGTCGCAGATCCAATACTAGAGAGATCGAATACTATAATCGAGACTAACAACGAAACGGAGCGCTCCATGTCGCTCCGCGAAGGCATACACCTCTACCCCAAAGCCATAACATGGTCAGTGCTACTATCGATGACGCTTATCATGGAGGGCTTTTCGACCATCCTCGTCCCGAATCTATTTTCGATGCAAGCGTTTAGGAAACAGTTCGGTAGTTTGCAGGCGAATGGAAGGTACGAAATCAGCGCTGACTGGCAAAGCGCACTCGTGAATGGTGGCTTGGCGGGGCAGATTGTAGGGCTCTTTGCTACAGGAACACTAGCAGAGCGTATCGGGTACCGCTACACACTCATGGTAGGATTGGTGGCGATGAGTCTGTTTATACTTGTACCTTTCTTCGCCACAAGTAAGGAGGTTCTGTTGATAGGACAGTGTCTACTAGGCATGCCCTGGGGTATGTTCCAGTGCATATGTACTGCATATGCTGCAGATGTCTGCCCAGTGGCCTTGAGGGCTTATCTGACAACGTGAGTATCAGCTGGACCCCACCTTTCGAGATTTGGCGACCATGAAAATTCGGTGTCGCTAACGACTTCAAGTTATGTCAACGCATGTTGGGTACTCGGACAACTGATAGCATCCGTCGTTATGCGCGGCATGATTGACAACACTACGACCTGGTCTTACCGCATACCCTTCGGCCTCCAGTGGATATTTCCAATCCCAATATTCTTCGCCGTCTGCTCTGCGCCTGAATCACCTTGGTGGCTCATTCGTCAAAATCGCCTTGAAGATGCGAGAGCGACTCTGCGCCGACTGCGCACAAAACCAGCAACGAGTTCGGACGACGAGTTTGAGACAACACTAACCGGCGCCATGGAGACGATGATACAGACAAACAAGAGAGAAGAACAGATGCAAAGTGGCACAAGTTACAAAGACTGCTTCAAAGGGGTGGATAAGCGTAGGACCGAGATAACGTGCATGGTCTGGATCATCCAGACACTGTGTGGTGGTACATTCATGGGGTTTTCTACGTACTTCTGTAAGGCACTCAACCTGTGTACAAAACTACCCGGCTTCTGCATGCTGACTATTATTAGACGAACAAGCTGGCCTTGGCTCCACCCACGCTTTCACTCTCTCACTAGGCCAGTTCGCTCTCGGCCTCATTGGCGTTTTTATCTCCTGGGCACTAATGGCACACTTCGGGCGGCGTACACTATATCTATCCGGTCAAGCGATAACATTCATCTTCGTGCTGCTCATCGGTGTCCTATCCTGTGTGAACGACTTTGTCGCCGCCCACTCAAAAACGAAAAAGAATCCCTCAGAGATCATCGACCCTCATCCTTCACCGCTAAACTGGACCATCGCAGCACTACTACTGGCCTTCACACTGGCATACGATGCGACTCTTGGCCCCATCTGCTACTCACTCGTTTCTGAGATCCCGTCTACACGACTCAGGAGCAAAACAATCGTTCTAGCGCGAAACTGCTACAACATCTCTGGTATCATCACAAACATTATCACTCCGCGCATGTTAAATCCGACAGCGTGGGGCTGGGGCGCCAAAGCCGGCTTCTTTTGGGCAGGCACAAGCGTACTTGGTATCTTGTGGAGCTGGTGGCGGCTTCCTGAACCCAAGGGTCGGACTTTTGGAGAGCTCGATGAGCTTTTTGAGAAGAGGGTATGCGCACGGAAATTCAAAAGTACGAATTTCGCGATTGCCGGATTACACGCTATAGAAGGAGAAAAGAACAGAGTGTAGAGAGAATGCCCAGTACAAGCCAGATGGAAGAGAGCCAGGAACACACGATATGACGACTCTACGAATGTTTTTTGTTTTCGTTAATCAACCGCCAGAGCTTATAAAGTCGCAACCAGGAGTCATGTTACAACCACCAATATCAGAAAATTGGGTTCATTTTACATGTATAGTTTGATTGCAATTCTCACAAAGATATGAATACATTCTCAGTAAGCACCTCTTCATGTCCATATAGCTACGAAATTCTCAACTTTGTCTCCACTAGCCCCGGCCTTGCCTTATGGTGATGACAGTGTCAACAATGCTCACCAATTTTTTTCTTACATCCTCAGCAGCCTCCGATAAGCCCAGCCTCCCAGCTCGCCTATCAGATTTTTTGTATTGAGTAATCGGGTATGGCGAATTGTACCTGAATAGATCATTCCAGCATCACCGTGCACTGCCATATCCGGAATAAAGTCGTAGGGAAGAAAGACGGTAATCTCTTGCCTGACGGAGGCGATATCCAAAGCTCGTAGGGGAGTTCATCTTTCTTCGGAAGATTCTAGCATGACCTGCCGTCTCCATCTTTCCAAATAAGCAATATCTCGCCGCCCCACCTCTGTCCATTCTGCTACTTTCCTTTCTTCCTTCCTCTTCTTCCTCTCCTCAGTGTCTCTCACAACTTTCTCTCCCAGATCTGCGATCATGTTTTCCATGCCTGCTACCACCGTTCTTCCTTGTGGATACCTTTTCTTCACCTCATCCAGTAATGTGAACATCTGAACAAAGAGATCCGGAAGTTCTTGAAGCTCTTTCGATATCTGTTCTGGCTTCGTGGGGAAGAAGTCTTTGCGGCATAGTGGGCAGGTACTTGCTCTGTCGAACCAAGATTCGATGCAGGATGCGCCGAAGACGTGAGAGCACAATGGCATTTGTAGAGCATGGTGTGTTGATCCCATGAAAGCCAGGGTACAGGGCTCTGTACAGATCGAGCAAGATGGAAGGGGTTCGTCTTTGGATGCGCAAAGGCGAGGTTTTCTGGTATAGAGGTGAGTCTTACTGAAAGTTTCGCGCGTGTTACAGAGTGATGCCATTTTGAATAGTTGTGCAAAAGTACGTCGGTGCATATTCTTAAAAATTGTTGTAGGTACTTGCGGCGACTTGAAGGCGTAAGAGGACATGGCTTGTGAGACGTTTTGTATCTCCTGGCCATATTCGTCCCATGGTTTGGACAGCATAGACTGATGGTCCAAGCTACTTATGTTCGCAATGAATTTCATTTGGGGATGTAGTTTTTGCGCCAAAACTTCAAGTTACGAGCGATGTCACTGGCTCGTCTGCTGTGCGTCATCGTACTACCAGTGGATGAAGTGGATCAATGATCCAAGGTTGGCTTTTCTTTATGTTGCCACTCCATTTCCAGACCAGCCCTGCAACGCGCAGCTGATACATCAAAGCAACCAACGCACCTCTACCCAACAACCCTTCCAAAACCAAAGCCCCTAACCCCATTACTAACCCACACTCCCTCCCCCACCTCGACCGTTTCAATTCCCACCGGCTCCTCCATACAATACCCGCTCCCCAACGCCCACCTTCGACTCGTTCCCCTCTGCCCACCCGCGCCGACTTTCGCACTCCTCGTACTATGCCCCCAACGCCCCGCAAATGGCTTCCTCAACTCCCCCTCATCAGCCCCGTCATTCTTCAAGGTCTTACTCGTGAACTCGCCAGATGGCACGCCAACAGGTGGTGTCACCCACCGTCCGCCACGGAAGAGGTAGAGAGATGTTAGTGTGCCTTCTGTAAGTTCGTTGACTTCGTTGTAGAGCATTACTTCGCGATAGGCCGGGCCGGCGGGGTTATCAGGTAAGGCGCGTTGACGAGATTGATCGTACATTTCGCGCTTTGTAGTCTTCAATAATGTGAACGGTGAGGAAGGTGTTGGCTCGGTGTCCAGCTTGATCTTCCATTCTGGTGGAGCAGGTGGTGTTGATGTGGCGGCTGGAAGGGTGTCTGAGGGTCCGAGGTTGAGGGCGCCGCCTGTCAAGGGAGAGGGCTTAAAGGTGTCGGCGGGGTGTTGTTGGGTTCCTGATTTTGGTGGATCTAATGATGGGGGGTATAGTGTGGAGAGTGGTACAGCGGGTATGGGAGTGAACTCCACAGTCAGGTTGGCGGCTTTGTCGAACAGAAGTCGAAGCTACATAATCTTAGTCCTATCGCATAATGTCTTGGTGCTATCTATACCTTCATTGCTTCATCCTTTCCTGTCTTCCTGATCTCTTCTTGTACCTGTCTGGATAATTCGTCGTGTAAAGCTTTCCCATCTTTAAGTCGTTTTTCGACCTCGAAGAAATCAAAGTGCTGGGCGGCTTCAACCATGCGATCTCGATGGTACGCAAGCATATAAAAAGGCGAAGGTGTTACGAAGTTCAAGATCGTCCTTGAGTTCTCGTCCGATCTGAGAAGCAACGGATCATATCGCAAGGATGTGAAGAGCTGGAACTCGTTATTTTCGGAATCCATGATGCGTGACTGGTGAGGGGAATGATTCTTTGTCAATGTTACGACGCTGCCCAGATGGTGGACCTAGTTTGGAAATAGAGTTTGATTTGGATACCCGAACTTGATATACACTTGCCCTGGATATGTACTTTGGATGTAGGACAGATGTGCTGTCATCGATTGTGGGTCATGCAATCGATCAACCAATCCTTTGTGGGCGGAGGCTGACCCGCATTCGACGCCGAAGCTAGCTCATTGGTTGACTCAGCTACTTCACAGCAGCATGTATTGTGTACTTCATATTCATGCTTGCCACGAGTAGCTTCTTCTAGTGTCTATTCAGTCGAAGTGTCTACAAAAGATCATATCGTTTCTAGATGGCTGTGTTTAGAAATGATCTAGGTATACGAGCAGGCATGCTGGACTTTGATCGTCCATATCGAAAACAACTCATTAGCAGACCCAAGATACCCAATTACACAGAACAGGAGCCAGAGAGAAGCTGAGGACTAATAACCATTGGCCCGGTGGAGACTCCGCTGCAATCCACGAAGGACTGCTAACTACCAGAAAAGGGAATCGAGTATCTGTATGGAAGGTGTGTTTCGGGACTTTGTACCGAAACCGTTGTGAAAGACAGGTTTAGAGGAGGGGTGATGTTAGGCAGATATTGCGCTGATTTAGGTCAAGGTGCAATGCTACTTTATGGATCTGGGCGCTGTGTATCCATAGGACGCTTAACCTCCTTTCTTCTCAACGCACAAAATACTGTTGCAGGCCCGTATAGAGGTTGGGATGGCGAGGAACGATACATGACTACATACGCCAAGGCATTGTCGATTCGCAAGATCATCCCGGCCCTCACCGATCAATGCGACAGACTATGAATGCTAGCTGTACCCTACAAGTTCAATCGGAGTGCAGAACCAGTCGTCACCTCTGGCGTGACTTCACGACGGGTCTTTGTGTCCGATACGGAGATGGCTGCGCAGATGCAGCAAGTGGATTGTAGAATGACCGACCCTTGGCTGACCTCTCTGATGCATACTCGCGTGGCGCGTCTTTGGTTGCAGCAAGTGGATTGTGAAATGGCCGATTCGTAGCAGATTCGAGAGCATCAATGAGAGCCCCAGCCTCTGCACGTATGTCTAGGTATTTGGCAGGGATCAGAGGGGGTTGTACATGTAATCTCAAGCTTCCCTTCAGATCTAGTGTCCGACCTGCGCCTACCCTGGCCATCAAATCTGCCCGTTGCGGCACATCCTTGGGTTTGGCGAACTTGCCAGTCTCGTCGTATCCGCGGGCCTTGAGTTCGTCGACTACAGCATTGCGTAGCCGCCGTCTAGCCCATGTTCTTATACAACTAGACTTGGCCGAGTCAGCGCCCGCTGTGGCATGCCACCATAGTCCCTCCTTCTTCTTCTCGGCTTGTCTGCGGCGCTGCGTCTCGTAGAGGGGATGTGCGGGGTCGGTTGCAACGTGGTTGGTGAAGAGGCTTTTGTACACTGTGGTGTAGTAGACTCTGAACGTCTTGGGCGGCTGCTTGGCGACGAGTGACAAGACACTCATGGCTTTCCCATGCCTCGTATGCACGGTGACGTAGGGTGAAAGAAAGAAAGACAGGTGGGGGTGAAATTGGAAGCACTCGAACCGCAGATGGATTAATTCGGGTGAGCGACGACGTGCTAGGCCACACCGGGACTAGGGTGCGCTGTTAGCGCTTAATGTCGAAGGCTCCCACAGTGAGTCGGAATCCACCTGTGCAAACAACCGGGTCCGCCACTACATAAAGACTTGCGCCCTGCGAAGCTCCTACCGCAATCACAACCCACTCCTCCACCAACACACCACCAAACTTCGACTACCGCCAAAATGCCCAAGAACAAGGGAAAGGTACGTCAACACTCTATTTGGAGGGGGCGACACACCCCACCACGACTCTCACCGCGATGACGCCCAAACCTCAACACGCGCTAACGTATATCTCAGGGAGGTAAAAACCGACGTAGGGGTAAGAACGAGAACGACAACGAAAAGCGCGAACTCGTCTTCAAGGAGGAAGGCCAAGAATACGCCCAAGTCGTCAAGATGCTTGGAAACGGTCGTCTAGAAGCCCAGTGCTTCGACGGCGCCCGTCGTCTCGCCCATATCCGCGGCAAACTGAGGAAGAAGGTCTGGATCAACCAGGGTGACATCATTCTCCTGTCGCTCCGAGACTACCAAGACGAGAAGGGTGATGTGATCATGAAGTACTCTGGTAAGTCGCATACTACACACGCAGCAAACACTGCGAGATACGGCTACTAACACGCGCACAGCCGACGAAGCCCGTTCATTAAAAGCCTACGGCGAGCTCCCGGAAAACGCAAAGATCAACGAGACAGACACCTACGGCGACCAAGGCGACGAGGGTATCGGTTTCGAGTTCGACGAGGATCGCGACGACAGCGACTCGGACGAGGCCGACGGTACCGGCAAGAAGGAGATTGACATTGACGACATTTGAGGGGGAGGGGTTGAGATCCGCCATGCTGTCTCGGCTCTTGCTTCGCGGCTGCTGCTTTGCTGTGGTGGGGGCCGGGCTGCTCAAATGCTGCTTCTTGCGAGCGGGCGGATGGTTCGAGTGGTGCCGAGGAATACACGATATCATGCTTCTTCGAGTATGATGTTAACGACGAGTGCATTTGGCACGTCTCCTTTTCCACGATTATGGGTACTGGGTACCTTTTTACATGCATCATGGGATAGAGGAATGATACATCCATAATCTTTGTCCAAAATTCTATTTGCCAACATCTTCATCCCAGAGTCTATACTACCCGACAAGCTAACTAAAGTTCTGCCACTGAACTTCTTCATACACGGAGCGATTCAAGAACCTATGGATCCTCCTCCCAACGTCCGTCCCGACCAACCAACAAATTTCCCTCTCTTGCATATTTGCCACCTCATAAATACTCTCACTCTTAAGCATCAGTTGCGAAACGGCATTCTCGTTGATCCCCGGCAGCGCCCTCAACATATCCTGACTCGTCTGGTTAAAGCTGCGCATCTCGTCTCCACTTTGATTCGGATCAAGACCCAATTGCACAGCCTTTAATGGATCAGGTTCATCTTGCGCCTTCTTCAGCTCAGAGAAGATCTCGGCCGTCTGGTAAGGGCTGCTACTCCATATTATCCTCAAGCGGGGGAAGGCGAGCGTTAACATGACGAGTTTGGATTGGAGATCGGGTGTCGTCGCCGACGCGTTGGCAGAAGCAGCGCTACCAGTTGAGAAATCAGTAAAAGGTTCGAGAGTAAAAGACTTGTTTTGGTCAAACTCGATGAGCAGCATGGGGTGTTTGTAGTGTTCCATCATGGACTCCACTTGGTTGAAGAGACGGCCGTTGGCAAACGATTGGATGAGATCGCGGATGGATTTCCGCTCGATGCAGATTTGGGGTGTGAGGACATAGTCGCCTACTGTTAACATGCAGGGCACGATGACAATAGATCGGCCGTGTAGCAGGGATGGGAGTGAGGACCGGAATTCTCGCACGTCGACGACGACACGGGGAGGTTCGGTGGTTGCGGCGAGACGGCCTCCTCCTGCTATCCTGGTGTTGATCGTGCGGAGGAAGGACTCTTCTGGAGCGAGGTTCGCAGTCGAGTTCATTGTTAAAGCCATGTTTGCACGTTCTTTGATCAGCCGCGTAAAGGCGTCTTTCTCGCGACGGACGGCAGAGAGATAGCGTTGTTCTTCTACACTGCCCCCATAGTACATGAAAAAGACTTTTACCGTTCGGTCTGTATGCGATGACCGATATACTTCTATGCGTCGGATAAATGCTGCGTCGGGCTCATACATGATGACATATCGCGGCTTCGTCTCGTCCAAAATGTGTTCATCCAGATCCCCAGAGTAAGGATGTACGATAATCAGGTCGTTCACATCAAAGAGTTCATAGTAGGTTTCCATGTTGTCCAGGGGGTCGAAACCTACTTCGCCAGGCTTTTGTGCTGTTTCAATCTCAGAGGGTTCCAATTCAGCCATTAGACTAGCAATGTGGGCGTCTTTATCTCCCGCAGTACGGATGGCTCCCGTATCGGATCTCGATGGTCCTGCTGCAGCATTTCCACCGCCTCTGATGCGGCGCCGCTTGTTAGGCGGAGGTTTACCGGAAGTCTGGCGCATGCCGCTCTGAACATTCTTATCTGTACTGCCGTTGATGGCTTTCTGGTTCTCCGAGAACAACGCGGCACTGACTTTACTGAAATCGCGTTTCCAAGTAAGGTAGTTGCGTAGCTTACGCCGCATCATAAAGTTCGCCGATGGCTCGTATTCGTTCTCGTCCTCGTCTGGTGAACCCTCTGGCTTAACGTACATGGTCTGCAGATACTCTCTTAGCTGTGATGCTGTGCCCTGGTCGCCGCACATGATGAGTATAGAGCCGTTGGATGAGTCTTGCGGCGTTGGGTTAAAGTAAGCATCCTGTTCAATCTCCTGAAGAATTTCTGCGAGCTGCGTCCACTTGGGAAATTCTTCGAGCACTGGCTGGAGAGACTCTGGTACAGTAGTCGAAGCATTGGCTAACTCAGTATTGGACACCTTGCCTGTGTATACCCTTCGCTTTGCGGTGGTGAAGATGGTGTCAGCTGCATCTAGGAAAAGCCATGGAGATTGATTTTGCTTCGTTGATCCCGGTGGTGGCTGCGAGGCTGCCAGAACAGTGTCGAGATACTTGTTGAAATTTACCGCATCATACGTAAGAAGCGCGTGCAGAATGGTACGAAGCAGCGACAAATCTCGGACGACCTGTCGCGTCTTGTACGTTGTGCGATGCCAGACGGGATCTAGTTGACGTCGGATAATCTGATCGAAGTTCTTGTGTAAGGCACTGTCTACGTTCCAGTCTTCCACTTCCAAGCCTGGGTTCGCTTTCTTGAGCTCGCTGATACTGGCCTCAACGCAGGCTAGTACCGCGTTCTGTATGTCCTGCATAGCTTCCGTCATGGGCACTTCCAGCTCAATAACTTCAGCTTTCTTACGTCCTTCGAGCGAGTTTGCGACTGCAACGTGGAATCTGGGGTATAGTGCTGGTTTCGTCAAGAACAGGTTCTTCATCATGTTGGTGAGCGGAGCGAATCCAGTAGTGAAGGGCTCCGGCGTATCCGAGAATGCTTTCAAGAAGCCTGCCTTGTTCTTCTGCCGATAAATCCTCAGAATGAAGGCTTCCAGAGATGTCGCAACAACTCTTTCAGCATGTAGTACCACCACACCCGTCACCGTCTCTGGATTCAGCAGTCCAGACAGGAAGTCTACAATGAGGATGCGTGACGTTATACTAAATATCCCGCCCTGCGCATACATCTTCTCGCGCGTTCCAACGCTCATCAGATCGGTATTGACTAGACTCAGCCCACGACACTTGGGCGCATTACTGACTGCCGCATGCTCGGCCAACGCCTCGCCAATCCACACATTCTCGCGATCGTCGGCGCCAACGAGTAGTATCAGGTTGTTTCCGGCGGCATCGTAAGAGTGGAGAAGGTTCGTGACTATGCGCAAGAGGCCGAGGCCGCGCGCAAGGAGGACGAGCTCATCTTCCTCGCGCAGTTCGTTGAAGATGTCCTGTTGGAACTCCTATGATGTCATCAGCACGCTGTACGCAAATGTTATAGGTTGAGCATACGAGAGGCAACGAGAGCTTCACGGGGGCTTGCGCATCGCTGGGCATTGGGTCTTGCTCCGACGGTCGTGGTGGGGCGAGATGGAGGTTTGGGGTAGATGCGCGTTCCAAGCTTCGCGAAACCCACTCCAGGTCACGAGATCGACGCCTCGCTATAGCACTGAAATTCCATCACGTAACGTCACTCCATAAACAACATATTTCACCACTAATATCCCGAAAACAAAACATTGATGTCTTAGCCTGTCTCGGATTTCAGTGAATCCCAGACCTTGTTTGGAAGCGTAGATTCGTGATACAGATAAATATACAATGGCGAAATGAAAGTCGTCTGGCGTTGACCGGCTACTTCGCGCTCTCTCTGATCTCTGCTTGCCTTCTCCGGCTTTCAGCAGCATATGCGTCCCGTTCCTCTCTGCGGAGCTGCTGTTCCGCCTCTGACCTCTTCGCATCCATTTCCTTCTGTGCAGCCCAGACTAATTCCGTTAGCGCGATCCTGGTGATGACTGCAGAAGAAATACTGACTTGGTTTGTCTGAACGCGAAGCCTCCTTCAATTGACCAACAAATGCGTCAAAGTCCTTCTGTCTCTGCTCCCTTCCTGCAAGAGCCTTCTTCTGCAGCTCCGGACTATACCTCTACACGGGATATAAGCAGCTATTTGGCGTATGCACGTGGCAAAGTATACATACCTTGAAGATTTCTTCCTCGGTTGGTGTAACATACCATACGAGCGCAGGGCCCCCTATGACAAGGATTGCGCCTCTAAGTTTAACATTAGCACACTCCCGTAGGCCTTCGTAAGGCAAACATACCCGGAGATGGCTTTGATATAGGTTGACATAGAAGGCATGATGACTTCTTGGTGATGTTCAGAATCTCTCTGAAGGTATCTTGTAAGTTCCCGTTGTAGTTGTGGCCTTTGTATCAGAGTATCGGGGTTGTTGGTGGAGTCTTGTGCAGCTAGAGTGGTGAAGTCGACGATCCACACAAGTGCCATGGATTGTTCATCGAACGAAGCTAGCTCGACGCGCCGGGAATCACGTGTGCTTGCACCGCCACTGTGGCTGCATCATCCGGCAGTGGGTCTCAAGTGCTTGCAGGCGGCGAACGCTTACCCGAGGCTGAGGGCCAGCGATCAGCATCGTCGTCTGCGCGTTCATTGGTAGGCTGTTCTTGGACTGCATGATGTGTATGATCTCCAGCGGCTCTGCGACTTGGTCCGTATAGGGACTGCGTGACACAGACTAATTGGGTTGTTTTGCGCAGGGCTGATACTGATCATCACGTCGATTTCCCTGTCACTCTAGCTGACGGTGTTACTCAGGTGTCATTCGCAAATGCCTCATTTAATCTACTCGCATGTGAATGCAATTTAACAACGACGATTCGCCTGCTCGGGAATCCCAGTCGTCCTGGGTTCGCGTTTCAAAGCCGAAGGAAGCTAAAGCGGGACCTTTTCTTATTCATTTCCTGGGTTGCACCAGCGCTGGGTGGCAGACTGGGTTGAAACGCAAGATCGAACTAATTAGAGGTCACCCCGTGTTTGAGGACGGCAGCGGCAGCCCCCAATTGGCGTTGCTTTGTAGAGCATGTGCAAGTGAGGATTCTACTATTGACATTCTTCCTTCAACACCTCGACTTTCACCTTTGTAAGGTCTTCCTGGTTCTTGGTGGCCATATGACCGTTCTTTGAGTTTGTACTACCCCTGTCAACTTTGCAAGCAACACACAGCCCGGTTCACAGCCAGCTCGGCCAACGGCAAACCCACGTCGACTACCAGCTTACGCTACGTACAAGCCTAACGAGCTCCGGCTCTAGAGAGATTGCACCCCAGGTGCCTTTAAGAGCTGCAGCCCCGCCGGTCGGACGCGATCACCATCGCTCACTAGCCTCTTCACAGACAGCCTCGGGTTAGGCTTCTCCGATAACGCCGCCGTCATGGCGCATCGACAACAACACGACAATTACGCGCAGCCGCAGCAGCAATATTACGACCAAGGAAGACCACAGCAAAGACAGCAGCAGCAATACCAGAATTACGACAACCACTATGACCAGCAACAATACTACGACTACGACTACGGCTATGACCAGGGCGGCAATGAGCAATGGAATAATGGCCATTATGACCAGCAGCAAGGAGGGTGGGGCAATGCGCAGCAGCAAGGAGGCTACCAAGATGTGAATGGGTACTCGAGATCAGCACAGCCAAATCAGGGCCGCAGACACCCGCCGCAAGACCAGTATTACCAGGAAGAAGCGTACAATGAGCCCTACTATCAGCAACCACCACCCCAACAAGGTCAAGGACGAAGACCACCGCCTCAGAGCCAGCGTCCTCCGCAGCAGCGACAGGATTCGCGAAGCCGACCAACAGGTCGAGGAAATGAACCGCCGTCCAACCCACAACAAGGACGTAGTGCGTCGAGACCACCAGGTATGTCCCCAAGTCCTGATCTTTCCACGTGGCGAGGACGGCATATTACACGTCTACATGACAACATCGCGTACTAATTACTGTCAACAGGCCTGGATCGTTCACTCTTTCAACCAACATCACCCAAGACTCTTGCTTATGACAACCCCTTTCCGACTTTCCCAACGCAGAAGTCGCAGCAAGGTGGCTCGAAACCTCTCGACCAGAGCATGGCACAAATGAACATCAAGGATAGCGGAGGACAAGCGAAGCCCGCGGGCTCATCTGGGCGAGGACAACACATGCCGCCTCAGAATCGAGGCCCACCACAGCAGAGGTCGATGCCTAATCCCCGGCAGGACTCAGGGCATTTTGAGGGCCAGGGCCAACGCCCTGTCCCTAACCGGATGCCATCTGGACAGCGACCACCACCCATGAATGTCGATGCTGGTAGAGGACAACAACCACATCGCACATCGGATCCCATGTCGCCTTCGAGGCGAGCTTTCGGCCCAAATACACAGCGATCTGCAACGATGCCTCATACAACACCAAGTGGAGGCCAAGGGGCCGGCTACAGTGGTCAGCAAGAATTTGCCGAGCCTGGTGCTGTGTCCGGCTACTATGGGCCTGTATCACCAGATTACATCCCTCCCAGGCCTTCAACTGCTGGTGGTGTGAAACAAAACGGACCTCCAATGCAGCATGGGCAAAGACCTCCCATGCCTCAGGTGCCACAACAGCAGCCACAGCCGCAATACCAGCCTCAAGCCCCGAACCAGCAGCAACAGGCTCACAGCGAAGAACAAGGGCTAGACAACTTTTACGATGACTATTATGGACAGGAAGACTCAGCGATAGATATGCCCAATTTTGATGCTATCCCGGAAACCAACAACAGGCATCGGAGAGGCGATTCAATTGACAACCACTTATCCCCGTCCCATGATCTGAGCGCTTACGCTCCGCCAGCTGCTTCTCAAGATATGGGGCATAATAACCCCCAGGGGCAGATGCAGCGAAGCCGGTCACAACCTGATCTCAACGGGCAGTATGCGAATGGTGTACACGAAATGGCTGCAGATGCCCCGCCAATGCCAGGTGTGCCAAGAGCAAACACCGGCTTTGGAGGACCCAATGGTTTGCCAAATGGCGTTCGAGGACGACAACCGCCTCAGAGGGGCATGGCGCCTGGTGGCATGCAGGGCGGACCACCTCATCAAGGTCCAATGCATGGCCAACCGCCCAATATGGACCCAAGATATGGGCGTCCTCCACCTGGGCCCCAGAGGGTCTACTCAGACGACACTACCTACTCAGAACCACCTCCGAACACAATGAGGAACTTCGCGTCGCCCGCACCCGGAAACCCTATCCAACGACCAGGAACAGCTGCACCCGCACCAAGTCGCAATCCGAGCGACCCAATGGGCAGAAGACCTGGTACTACTCAACCGCAGTCGAACCCAGATACACTACCGGCGCATCCAATGCCTGTACGACAAGGCCTCATGCAGCAACAGCCACAGGTACCGCAGCCCCAAGCACCTCAAAATGCAAGGCCACCACCCGTCAGACAATACAACAGTGAACCTGGGCGTGCCAGCTACGAAAGCAACCCATCCACACAGCGTCACAGTGGACAAGGTGCAGTGTCACACCCTGTTACCTACGATGAGCTCAACAGATTGCGCAACACATTTAAGCAAAATCCGGCCGATGTTGTTACGGGTCTGAAACTATCGAAAAAGCTTGTAGAAGCATCGAGCGTACTTATCGACGAAGGAGGCACAGCTGACTCTAGGACAAAGAACAAAAATCGCGAGAAGTTTATCCTCGAGGCTCACAAGATCATCAAGAAGCTAGTCAGCAATGGTTCCCCAGACGCCATGTTCTATCTCGCCGATTGCTACGGGCAAGGATTGCTTGGCCTGCAAGTAGATACGAAAGAAGCGTTCACGCTCTATCAATCTGCTGCAAAGGGTGGCCATGCTGCAAGTGCTTATCGAACAGCCGTTTGCTGCGAGATGGGCCATGAGGAAGGCGGTGGCACCAAGAAGGATCCCCTCAAAGCCGTACAGTGGTATAGACGTGCTGCTGCATTAGGAGACACACCTGCGATGTATAAGATGGGCATGATTCTCCTCAAGGGGCTCCTCGGCCAACAGAAGAACTTCGGCGAAGCCATCAACATGCTCAAACGAGCCGCTGATCGAGCAGATCGAGACAATCCTCACGCGCTCCACGAATTGGCACTCATCTACGAAGCGCAAACCGGCAATGAACGCGTCATACGCGACGAGGCATATGCATTATCGCTCTTCCACCAAGCAGCTGATCTCGGCTACAAGTTCTCTCAATTTCGTCTCGGACAAGCCTATGAATACGGACTTCTGGGCTGCCCTATTGACGCGCGCACGAGCATAGCTTGGTACACTAAAGCAGCTGCTCAGGAAGAACACCAGAGTGAACTCGCACTTTCGGGCTGGTACCTCACGGGTACATCTGGTATCCTCGAGCAAAGCGATACTGAGGCTTATCTCTGGGCACGGAAAGCAGCGTGCGCAGAGCCACCACTACCAAAAGCGCTTTTCGCCATGGGCTACTTCACCGAAGTGGGCATAGGCTGCCCACGGAGTTTGGATGAGGCGAAACGGTGGTATGGACGGGCTGCAGGTATGTTCCTAAAACTTTGTGTTATATTGCGAAGGAGAATACTAACCTTTTCATAGCGTATAAATTTCCCAAAGCTCAAGAGCGACTTGAAGAACTCAAGCGTGGTGGAAGCAAAGTCCAGATGAAGCGAGAACGTCTTAGTCGGACAAACCAGAAACAACAGGAGGAGAATTGCACCGTCATGTAAAGGTCTGTCGTGCTATCATCTGGATGGGTTTCTCTCTCGCATTGTTCATGTGCATCTGTTTAGTCCTGCTGGCGTTTGGCATGGCGTTCAGTTCCAAGCATTTACGGCGCTGCTGTTCTATAGTTTGCATCAAGCGAGTAAAAATATCCGCTACTCATTACCTGCGAGCGCTACTTCAAGGCAGTGGTTTTACGACTGTCGCATCATCTACAGCAATATCATCCATCTCCCTTGCAAACGCCTCAATTCTACCCAGTTGTCCTATGACATTCTTGATCAACGGCCATCTATCACATCCCAACACATATATGCCCCACAGCTGCGCCTGCAACACCTGAGGCAAAAGGCACACATCTGCCATGCTTACCGCATCACCCACACTATACCTCCCCCCGTACTTCCCCACCATCGTCTCATAAGCATCGAAACCCTCGTTCAGAGCTCTCTGTATGAATTCTCGCTGCCCATCTTCCGCCGCGCCAGCAACCTCTCGCAATCTCAATCCATTTCTCCGATTCGCAAAAGGAAACATATCTTGCGTCACTATCGCTACCAACTCTCTCACCCTTGCTCTCACCTCCGGTTTAGACACGGGCGGCAACAAGGGACAAACTGACGGGAATGTTTCATCCAAATACTCCAATATGGCTGTGGACTGCGTGATTACGAAGCGTGATTTGGTGAAATGTCCTGACGATGTTGTTTCTTGGATCAGGGCGGGTACCGCGCCGCTGGGGTTTATGGCGAGATACTCTTTTGTTCCGATGGTGGTCCTTGAGTACTTGTCTACGTCATGGGTACGGACGTTGGGTACGCGTTTTAAACATAGGGCGATGCGGACTCGGCGCGCACATGACGACCCTGCACGGTTGTAGAGGTGGTATGTCGAAGTTGTGTTTCGTGTTTCCGGCATCGTGAGATGTGTTGGATGTTGAAAATTCCTTGTCAGGATTTTTGACGAATTTTGTTCTTAATTAAGATGAGTAGTACTCTGACACCAGATCCGAGCAGAAACAATTGATTAGTCTTCTAAGATCGGCGACATGAGTGAAGTGTCGGCCAAGCCGCTAGGCTGACAACTATCTAGCGCCCGCTGCTACCTACCTCTACTGCACCTAGTCACCATTCGCGTCACGTCCCTCTTAGCTGTAACTTCAAGCCACGCCGCGCAAGTACAGGAGCCATCATGCTTCCACCTATCGATCCTACAGTGCTGCAACGCAATCCTAACTTTGAAATCTTGTACAAGGATCTTTGCACCCGAAAGCTCAACCCTAATGGCTCGACGAGAGATACGAAGAAGCAGCGCGTGCATGATGAAATACGAAAGGTAATGATACTCTCAATGTCGCATATTCAAGATTTCGAGATTCGTCCTCAATCTTTGCGGTCTCCTTTTGTTCGGGGTACTCAATGCATGATTCTGTGTTCTGTCGTTTATTTGTTTATGAAAGTTACGTCAGATCTGCTATCAACAGCTACTCTATCCTTCTGTCTTTTCATACTTCATTACTCTCATGTAGTTATGCTGTGTCCTTGCGTCACTCTTTCATGCTGACAGGAATCTAGACCTTAACCTCCGCCCTCACAACCTTGCATACAAGTCAAATCCTCACAACATCATTGTCAACCCTTCCATCAAAAGCTACGGATCTCCCACCAGACCTCCACGCGGTTATAGAGATTGTGACTGCGCAATTGAATGGTCAAATCTCAGCATCGGATCGAGACATCCTCTCCAGCGACATCGGTTTCTTCCATTCAAACATAGGTCTCATCGCCTCTGCTCTATCAACCCAACTCGTCACCATAGCAGACTACCTCTGCATGATCGCCTCCCCATCATCCGTGCCACCAATTTCCTCACTAGCAAATGCCGCCCAGACTCTTGAAAACTCCGCTACAGAGTCCCTGCCCAGTGACCTCCAGGCCGCAACTACGCATCTAACAAACACTCTAACAACACTACTAAACACGCACTCTACCCTCCTCTCAACCAGCATCAAAATCCTCGAGCAAACCCAACAAGGCGCCTTAGCCCGACACACCAAATCATCCGCCGAACTGCTCCAGACGAAAGCCATCTTACTTGGTCTACAGGCTAAGATCCATACTCTACTTCATCCTCCACCACCGGAATTTGTGGATGCGCTGAAAGAGTATAGGAAGGGATTGGGTGGGGGTAAGAGGGCGCTATGGGATCGGGAGGCACTGGCAAGGCGAGAGTTGGAGTTGTACGGGAAGGCTGGCGAGAAGGGGATGAGGGATTTGGCGAAAAGGAAGAAAGGCTTGGTTGAGGAGGCGGAAAGGATTGAAGCGGAAATCAGCAAGCTACAACGTGGAGAGTGAAGGTGGTATGGGTAAATTGGAGGATCGAGAGCGTTGTAGCGTAGGGAACAAGTACACTGCGAAGCCTATGATTGTGAGGTATGGCGCTATGCGCTCGCCCTGGTGTGTTAAGCCAGAACCAGGCATCTCAGTGATACGTGCCTGATCGTCTACCTCAACAAGCGTAGTACCACATCTTCCTTCCTCGAATCTACCATGAACCAGCACTGCAAAACATATATCCCATCTGACCCTTCATCACTAGAAGATTTCCTTTTCGCAAACAACCTCATACTGCTCATCTACCACTTCACCCTCCCCTTCTATCCCTCCACTCCAGATTTTCTTCGCTCCCATCTTACATATACAAACTCTATCCACTCTAACCCCTTCCGCCCAGATAAACCCCTTGTATTTCTCGATCAAACTCCTAGCATCAAAGCGCATCCAGCTCTTGCCATCTGGGCCATGGCCTTCACCGGTTGGACGTGGTGCTTCTGCTGTCGAGGCATCGGGAGATGCGGTGGCTTCATTGCCATCTAGAGAGCCTGCTGTGGATGCAGTTTCATCTTCTGGGTTGACGTCGTTGGTTAAGGTGTTTTGAGTGTCTTCGCCGTTGTGGTGGTGGTGGTGGTGGGGCGAGACTTTGTGTTCCACGTGCTTCAAACCATCTTTGAGTCTTTGGCTCTTGGGTCGCCCCCTTCCATGCTTCTTCGGCTTCGCGTAGATTGTGTTCATTATCGTTGCGTGTAATCTCAATGGTCTAGTATCCTCCACTAGCAGTCCCTTCTCCGTGAATTGTTCTCGCAAAGCCGCAGCGAAAGGCTGTAAGCGCTGTGATGGGTCTTGAGGCTCTGCGTACAAAATGCTTGTCTTATGTGGTGCTTGCATGGGAATCAAAGATCCGAGATTGATCGTCAAAGCGTCTGTGTCGGGCATGGCTGCTGCATTGAGGTTTTCTGCTATTTCGCCAGATTCGGCAGCCTTCTCTGCCACGCGTCGATGGGTGATGTCGCGAAGGAGGATGTGTAGGTCCAAGTCTTGCAGATTTTGCTTCACTTCTTCTAATTTTAGGGGAGAGAGACTCATTACTCCCAGCGTTAGATGCAACGTGCCAACTGGCCGGACAGCCTTTGTGGGTACCGGGCCATCATTTGCTAGATCTTCCTTGAATCTCTCCAGTCCTTTTTGCAGTTGAAGTTTGCTCGTATCGGTGACCAAGGGTAGGCACAAGAAGTGTGTGAGTTGTGGTTTCTTTGCTCCGCCTTTGGTTTGGTTCTTGTTACCTGTATGCTTTTGTTGTCCGAGCGATGGTGAAATATCTCTTGCTGCGAAGCCCTGCAATGTCGTTCTGATTTCGGTGTTGTCGCGCAACTTCTCGCCATCTAGGAAGTCATTGTATTCGCCTTTGGACTTCTTCTTGCCCATGATTGGTGATGTAGTATAGGATGCGGTATGAGAAAATTGAGCTAGAGTCGACTGTAGAGAATGACGGGCGACTCTGTTCTTTCGTTGGTAGCGAGTAGCGGAGTGCGCGATAGCAGTTGTGATAGTAGCGCCGCGACTGATTGGTCCAGAAGCAGCCTGACGCAGAATGGTCGCAAAGAGCATAAGAAGTCAGAAAAGTTGTGCAAAAGCGAGAGTGGTTGAACGAGCGGTTCGAGGGAAGAGAAAGCGGGCAAAATCAGGCGCGCCTCACTAAACGGCACATGACAGACGGCAGACCGGCAAGGCTACAAGAACGGAACCGAGAAAGGACCTTACGATGGAACCACTCATGGTGTTGACTTTTCTTGGGGTCTGGGAAGTTAGCCTATCACACGCCGTACCAAGTTCGGCAAAGGCCATGTGCAAAAGGTGACGTAGGTCCCGAAGGTGGGGTGAGTGACATGCGCCCGCCGCTGGGCGCTCGTTCGGTCCTTCACCGGTAGGGCTGAGGAACACTGGATGGCACATGTCTGCAATTTAGGGAACGGTTAACATTTATTCATATTCTATGCAATGCGATCAGACGGGAATAGAGAAGATTGAGGACAGGCTATGTAGAGTACTGTAATTTCCTCGCTGGCCCGATGACGACATGTACACAAAAAGCGTTCCGAGGAACGTGAGAGAGGCATGTCGCACAGGAAAAAAGTTCGTCAAGGTTGAGGAGTGGTTGTAGGGCGCGAAGCCGGAGTCAAATGTCGCTCGTTGGAGCGTACGGTCCGAGGCTTGGCTGCTACGATGCCATCTCCTTCAGCTGAGCGTGGCGAGTGCGAGATGGTTGCTCGCGCCGTAGCTCTGGCTAAATTGCGCCCTAGGCCTTTGCCTTCGCGGGCGGCTCTTCTTCCTCCTCCTCGTCGTCGCCTTTGTCTTGGTAGAACTCCTTCAGAATCTCCTTGACGTCGGTGAACTCTGTCTTGGCCTGCTTGATAATCTTGGCCAGGTTCTCCTGCGCCTTCTCCTCGGTGATGTCCTTTAAGCCTGCGTCGTCCTTGAGCTGGCCGTAGTGTTGGATCTTCTCGCACGAGTCCTTGACTTTGGTGAGGCCGAGCGTGGCGGACGAGCCCTTGAGGAAGTGACCTAGCTCGCTAAGCTCCTTGAGGTATTTGCCTTCCTTCTTCTCGCTGTTGTGGCGTTAGCCATCGCATTCGCCATGTGGCGGCATTGCGCGCGCAAGCACGCCATGGTGATGTCCGGGCAGACTTAGGGGCACTCACAGCTCCTTGTCCATCTTCTTGAAGGTCTGGTCGGCCTGGCCAAAGAAGTCGTAGACGATGCTTTTGCTGAACTCGCGCTCGACCTCATCCTCGTCCATCTCGAGAATCTGCTCAAAGGTGGCTGGGTCGATTTGGTCTTCCGCACCAGGGATCGACATGATGTCGCCGCTCTGTAGTGAATTTCTTAGGTTAGGCGGTTAAGCTATAGGCGCGTGTTGCGATGTGTACAGCAGGAGGGTTGACACGTGCGGAGAATTGCAGGACATGGAGGGGCGCAGGCAGGAGCAAAGCAGGTAATGGAGGGGCAACACGAACCTTGTCGTCGGTAACCGACATTTTGAACAAGACCGAACTGCAAATCCGGGAAACAGAAAGCCCTCTTCAACCTCGAGGTGATGCTGTCGACACCTTCGTGTACTGGTGTCGCAGCGTTTCAAAGACGTGGGCGCGACGGATATTTTTTCGCGCCTCAGTAGTGGACCGTGCGGCTGTCCGATTCACTGGCTGTGGCTGGATCTAGCTTAGTGAATGACGAAAGGGTCGGCCCGTTGTTGCTGTGAGCGCCGTTATTAGAGTTGTCGTCTTCTGCAGAGAAGAGTGGTTACGGACGCAGGGCAAGGGGGGAAAATGCGAGTGTGACTGTTATTGTCTGCCGAACTACTACGTACAGAGGCCTTAGTTTAGTCAACCCCTCTGCTCGTTTAGGTTGCTAAAGCCTCCACGGATCGGTTGCCGAGAGAAGCGACTGCAGCTATGCTGTTCGCGGTAGATTGGGACGACACGTCGAGTCGGTGAGATAAGAAGAAAGCAATTTAGCGGCAGTGATGGTCACGGGCACGTTGCTCATATACAGTCGGCCGTGTTCTAGAAGTCAGAATGGCGATGCTTGCATCACCGCAAAAGAGGGGGGGCACGGAATGATGAGCACAGAAATAAGGCTTTCGCTATATGTGGGTGGATACCTCGACGTCAATCGGCAGCCTTCACTCGCCGTTGATCGCCTATCACAAAGCCCAACTCTACCCTCTGCCAACGGCTGACTGGCGACCATGACCCCTATCGATCTCATCGGCTGTCCGGCCAAAAGTAATGTAACGCGCCCATGTCGTGTGGAGTCAGGCCTCTGACCTGGCAGGTTGCCCGCTCCATGGTGTCCTCTGCGGCTGATGGAGCTAGCAGAGACCCTCGCTCGCACCGCTTTGTCCCGTCGGCAGCGCATGCAATCGTTGTGCGCAAAAGGTTGGAAAATAGAGACGGCAACTTGACAGTGTGCCAAGAAGGCCTGGAAGCGTTCGGAAAATTGCTATTGCCCGCTGTTGGAAGGGTCAGGGCGGGGTGCCAGCGTACGAATATAAAGAAAGACGAGGGTTGGTTTTCGTCGTGAGAGCAACGACGTCACTTCACCAGCCATCGTCATCGTGCATACTTACCCGGACCCTGGAACTTCATCTGCTAGCCCAACCTAGCAACATTAACCGCACACAAATACGTCGATGGGTCACCGTTGAATTTCGCACGTTGCGCGCTTCACAATTGCCATGTAGCTATCCTATCAAAATAATCACAGTCGTTGCCAGCACACGGATCCGCCTATGCGAACAAACGCCATAGGTCCGGGTACCAAACCCACCAACAGGCATGCTCCATGGACCCTGACTTCTTTTCTTGCAGGAACCTGCACGCGTGAATCATACTCGTTCATCCGGCCTCCTCCGAGCTGCAAGGCGTCGATACTTTCCTGTTGCTCGTGCAGGGGGTACGGATGACGGAAGCAACACTACATGGAGGCGCCCAGGATCAGCGCCTGTGATTCAGACGTGCAGGACGAGGAACTTGCGGATCGCAGCTGCAGGGTAACCGAGCGGAGTGATTAGCGTGGTGGTTCTATCGGTGAGGACACTTGCTGAACGATGCGGTGTGCGGTACCGGAACAGCTTACTGAATAATGGAGAACGCAAGGCTCGGTTCTTGGAGGGATGTGCGCGACAAGAACCGACTCTGCTCCGCATGTAGAGGGGTGACGACCTTTTGGGGATGCCGCATATGCAAGCCAGCGAAACCGGTCCGGTACGTATGCTTTTGGCCTTTCGCGATGAAGGCGTCCCAGCGCGCGGGAACTAGCGTCGTTGTAGTACGAGGTACAGGCGATACCACATCAAGTAAAGATCTACACATCATCGATGGTTTCACGACGGAATGACCAACGACTCGTGGGGTGTGGGGATTTAGTGGGTGATGTCAAAGCTGGAAAAACTTCGGTTAAGGATGGTAGCATCAACCATTTTGAACGAATCAGATACCTCGATCCGAGAACACAAGAGAAGATATGGTGACGAGGATGAGGGGATCGTGAGCCGTTTCATTTCTCGTAGACTCTCGTAGAATTTGATACTGTATAATCTAGCCGCTGATGCTGTCTGTATGGTACAATGCTGGCGTCAAGCTATGCCATACCGAGGATCGCTGATTCACGGAAGGAAGTGGAACAATGTCATGATGACTCTAACCCTTGACCTTGTAGATGGCCTCGGCGAGGCGGCCGACGTTCTCGCTGGTAATACCCGCAACCGAGATACGGCCGTCCTTGGTGGCATAGACGGAGTGCTGTTCTCGCGATTAGCGTAAAGTTCAAGATTGTTGCAGGATATAAACCTACCTCCTTTGCCAACTTGTCCATCTGCTCAGCTGTCAGACCAGTGTACGCGAACATGCCAATTTGCGAGGTGATGTGGCTCCAGTCGTGCTTGCTGCCGAGCTTCTCGAGGTTCTCCTTGAGAAGGGCACGCATGGTAATGATGCGGTCAGCCATGCCCTTGACCTCACCAAGCCATTGCTTGTTGAGAGAAGGGTCGTTCAGGATCTCAGACGCGATACGGGCACCGTGAACTGGCGGGTTAGAGTATAGTGGGCGGACAAGAATCTTGATCTGAGAGTCAACACGCTTCTTCTCCTCGGCGGACTCGCAGACGACGGAGAAGGCACCAACACGCTCGCCGTAGAGACCCATGTTCTTGGCGAAGGACTGAGCAAGGACAGGGCGGAGACCCTCCTTGATGAAGTGACGGAGGGCGAAGGCATCCTTGGTAGTGTCACCACTGGCGAAGCCCTGGTAAGCCATGTCGAAGAAGGGGAAGTGGTCACCAGCCTTGACAGCCTCAGCAATCTCAAGCCACTGCTCCTCGGTAGGGTCTACACCAGTAGGGTTGTGGGCACAGGCGTGGAGCAGGACAATGCTGTTCTTGGGCATGGCCTTGATGTCGGCAACCATTCCCTCGAAGTCGAGGCCAATGGTGTCCTTGTTGTAGTAGCGGTACTTCTCGACTTTCAAACCAGAATCCTTGAAGACAGCATTGTGGTTGGCCCATGATGGGGTGGGAATGTAGATGGTCTTCGCACCGGGGTAGTGGCGCTCGAGGAAGGCACCGCCAATGCGGAGGGCACCGGTACCGGAGATGGTCTGGGTGACGGCGATGCCGTCCTGGTTGAGAGGAGCTGAGTCCTCGCCGTACGCGAGCCTGAGGGCAGCCTTGGTGAAGTTGGGTACACCGGTGATGCCGGCGTACTCCTTGTCAAGGTTTGACTTGATGATTTTCTCCTCTGCCTCCCTCACGGATGGCAGAACGTAGGGCTTGCCCTTGTCATCGCGGTAGGCGCCAACACCTGCGCATGTCTGTCAGTCGTGCCTTCCTTGTGCTCATGTCACAATGTGTGTACCGACCCAAGTTGATCTTCTTAGGGTTGCTGTCAGCCTTGAAGGCTTCGGTGATACCCAGAATGGCCTGAGGAGGGGCGGTGAGCTATTGTCTGATGTTTCTCTCAGAAGCTATACTTACATCCTGGGATATGTTGTTAGCACTTGCGAAAGACGACTTGGGCCCAATTGCTTTTGCCACTTACTGGAGGACCCTGCGGTACCTGCGACCAAGCGGAGACAGCTCGGACGCTGGTCCTGAGAGACAGCTGCTTAGTCGCCGCCTGGCGTAGCGCCGTTCTTGATGACGCGAGCATGTTGTGGTTGTGTGTGGGGTGGAAGGGGGAATTGGCAGCGAGGATGGGTGGAAGAGAGAGGGGTTATAGAGCTTCGCGGGCACAGTGTAAGCTATTGAAGCGGGTGGTCTGAGTGTGAAATACCCCAGAAAAGTAATAAACTCCCCGTTGCGCGGGCGCGAGCTGCTATGACTCGCCGAGGCACAGTCCCTCCGATTCGCTTAGGCCAGACATCCCTGCTAACTCCGACGCCCGTTAACTAATTTTCATGGCAAATGCGCGCGTCGCGTTGCGTGGGGGACAATTGCGTCCTTTCACTATTGAAACGTACATTCTTCCGAAGTGCCCAGACTTCTCTCACAGTATGCGACCAGCTCTAAGGCAAGTCAGGACGCTGCTGAACCATGAAGCCTCGATACCACTGTTCCTCTGTCCCGCATTGCTCAGAGCGCCCATAATCGCACCTCGCCGCCGGGTCCCGGAGCATCCAACTCCAAAAGCATACTCGACTCTTGTTACACCTCAAGAACAAATAAACGCCACTACCCCTCCCGCCGACAACAGCCAAAATCCCCCTAGACATCCTCCAACACAGGCATCCTCAACTCAAAGGCAACTGCCACGAGCATGCCCGGGATGCGGTGCGCCGAGTCAGATATACGACAGGAAGGAGGCTGGGTATTATGATGTCGATAGGAATGTGGTACGGGAATATTTGGACTGGGTTCCAAACAGGCCCAAAGAGGCGACTGCCGAGGACGACATCTATACCAAGGCGCTCAAAAATGTAAATCCCGAGTTGCTGGGAGAATTGGGGCTTCAAGACCAGAACTCCGAGACACCAGAAGACAATGAACCGCCTGCTACGCCTGTATGCGACCGATGCCACAAGCTCCTCCATCACCGCGTAGGATCGCCTATACACCACCCGACCGTCGACTCTATACAGCAGACAATCGCAGAGTCGCCCCATCGCCGCAATCACATCTACCATGTCGTTGATGCCGCCGATTTCCCGCTTTCCATCGTACCCAACCTCCAATCGTCCCTGCGAATACCCAAACTTCGAACACAGAACAGACGAGCAAAGCACAAGGGATGGGTGGCCAATGACCGCATTGCAGAGGTCAGCTTCATCATCACAAGAGCTGACTTGTTAGCGCCGAAAAAGGAGCAAGTCGATGTCTTAATGCCATATGTCCGAGACGTGCTTCGAGATGCGCTAGGACGACAAAATGCGAATGCGCGGTTGGGTAACGTGCGACTTGTGAGCGCAAAGCGGGGGTGGTGGACCAAACAGGTCAAGGAAGATATTTGGGAGCGTGGAGGCGCGGGATGGATGGTTGGCAAGGTCAACGTGGGAAAGTCAAACCTCTTCGAAGCCGTCTTTCCCAAAGGACGAGGAGCAGACTACCAAGACGTGCGCAAGATCCGGAGCGCAGCCGAGCGTGAGACAATGATCAACAACGCAAAGACACTGGATGAGCTCACGCAGGTGTATCAGCAGCTTGCCGAAGAAGACGCTGAGACGGAACGTCTGAAAAACAAACCTCAAGAACATCTGCATCAGCCTCCTGAAGAAGTTGAGGACCACCTCGAAGAGGACGAACTCGATCCTGACGCGCTCCTCCCACCACCGCAGCCATACACCCCCTACCCTGTCCTTCCAATTGCCTCCTCTCTCCCCGGAACAACAGCGTCTCCAATCCGCATTCCATTTGGCAACAACAGAGGCGAGCTCATCGATCTCCCCGGTCTTGCACGCACAACACCAGGCCTAGAGACATTCGTCCAACCCACCGCACACGATGACCTTGTAATGAAGAACCGCATAAATTCCGAACGCTACACCATCAAACCAGGACAATCTCTCATCCTCGGCGGTGGATTGATCCGCATCACACCCGTCACCCCCGACCTAGTCTTCCTCGTCCATCCCTTCGTACCAATCCACCCCCACGTAACCCGCACAGAAAAAGCTGTAGACTATCAAGCGCAAACTTCAGACCGCCAGCTCCAAGTTCCGCCTATACTCGCCCCCAATGTAGGCTCTAAAATGAATTCCGCCGGTAGATTTCAGCTCAAATGGGACGCTACCAAGAAACTTGCTGGTCCCGTCACTTCGCCCATGGCCGGTAAGATGAAACCTGAGAACCTGCCCTTCCGTGTATGGAGCACAGACATCTTGGTAGAGGGTGTAGGATGGATAGAAGTCTCAGCGCAAACCCGCAGACCGCAAGGCTGGAAACCCTCTGGTCTTGTCAAGAAAGATCCCAACCAAGCCAAGTTCGACCGTGTCACGCGTCTCAAGGAGGAAGAAGAGCGGAAGAATCGAAAGTTCGCTGCGATTGCGAGGGCAGAGGAAGAAGGGAGAGACCCGGAAGAGGTGCTCGAGGAAGAGTTCTACGACGACCATATGAAGGATCGGATGGCGGAGTGGGAGGAGGATTACCCTGAAGTGGAGGTGTTCAGTCCGCTGGGCAAGTTTGTGGGACAGAGGAGACCGATGTGTGCGAGCATGGTCAGTGGACCCAAGTATGTGGCTAGTAGGGATAGGAAGGTTAGGCCGAGAAGAAGCATGGTCAGTGTTAAGAAGCAGAGGAAACCAAAGGGCGCTGAGTAGGAAGACTTTGTTGCTCAAACAACATGTAGATTAGCTATGTACAAGATGTCATGACACGTTTTACGACAAACTATAGTTGTACTTTTCAACGTTTAATGTTAATCATGTTCCACGCAACATGATTCCATGATGCGTAGAATCAGCATCTCTGGTCCTCGGGACAGTGCAAGTTCGTACGCCATACTCCAACATCGATCTTTACCTTTCCAATACAAATCTACTCCAAACCTCTACCTGTTCTTCTTGCGTTGCAAAGTGTTCCCTATCAGAAGGCGACCAATCTTTCGAAGCAATATTCCTATGCACTTTGCTTCTAGTTCTTGCCCTGCTCAAGAACAGCCCAAAATGCTTCTTGTTCCTTTGCGCAAGTCTTGCCGTCTTTGTCGCAGCCAGGGAAGTTTGCTACAAGATCTCCGTCCTTGTACTGACCATCTTTCTCAGCCGCGGGTCCGGTCGCGTAGGCATTGAGGAGGTTCTGTGGTACCATGGCTAGTTTAGCAAGGATGGTTCCATGCCATCTAAAGGTTTGACAGTCAGCGATCATGTCCTTGTAACGTTACGCAGCCCATTCTTCGAACGTGGATATAGAAGGATAAAACTCACTGGACAATATGCTCCAAAGCATGACTTTCGGCCTTCTGAAAGTTGTAACTTCGGTAAATAGGATCAAACCAAGCATCCAAGAAGAACTTTGCCCACTCCCCGTTCCTCACAACAAAGCTACTCGGCGCCAGTCCATCTTTGTCCTGTGTAACGACGAAATCTATTCTGTCGCCTTTGAGGTTGCCAAAGGTCTTGATGACGCTGTCTGGTGGCACGACGGGTGCGTTGGTAATCATGTGGGTTTCGAGTTTAGCGGGAGTGAGCAGGTGGGTGTGGATGGGGAGAGCAGTGTTCATGATGAGGGCGCTGGAGTCGAGGTACCAGAAAAAGGTTGAGGTGGGATAGAGGGTCATGGCGTGGCGGATGCCGGGGACGCGCGACCAGGAGGCAGGCGAGTTGGAGATGGGGTATTGGTCGTTGGTGGGGAAGAAGGTTAGGTAGCCTGGGAGTGGTTGTGAGTAGGGATCTAATGCGATGTGTGTTGCAGAGGCTCATGACGTACCGTGTCGTTTGGCGTATTCCTCCCTATTGCTCTTGATTTTTTGCATCCATACTGGATCGGCTTTGGGGTCTATAACCGTCACCACCACCACAGGCGGTCCGCTTCCGATGTTCGGCTTTGGGATATTTGCTGCTGTCCAACCTCCAACTTTAGACTTGGCCCTGCTAGTCCCGCCGCTGCCACTCAGCATCCATATCAGGACAAAGAAGCCCAGTATGCCGCCGACAATCAATCGTCCTGCCCTGCTTCGTAGGAGGTTCTTGAGCGCAGGCGGTAGCGCAATTCCACCGCTCTGGTTGCGGGCTGCATATGGCGGTGGTCGCGATGTCTTCCTCGGGGGCATGGCGAAATGCATGGTGTGTGATAAGCGTCCGTGGTCGGGGAGATCACTAGTGATCGCAATTGCGGTTGGGTGAAGCGAAGCGGGAGATGCGACGTGTAGATCGTGAAGTTGAAGAAGTAGAAGGGATATGGCGTCGAAATCGTTACGACAACATTGCTGACGGGAACACGGTTCAGCAGCCTATGCAATAGGATAAGGCACAGCTGAGAGACGGGGGCTGCTGTGCGGTCGCAGAAAGGGACGAAATTCCTAAAGTACACGCGACGACATGGGATGCGATACGATAGCCCTGGAGGCCTTGGCAGGAGGGACCTTGCCTTAGCGGCCGCAGGCAGGGGGCACTGAGAATGCGCAGTCGCGCTCCCATGAGCAGCCATGTACCTTTTGACAGTCGGCAATCGACCTACTTGTCAATTGTTGATGCTTCTGGCCTTGTTAGCACTACTGCTCAACGCCACGCTTGCACATGGTGCAACTCCTCCACGTTGCCCTAACTCCGTTTCGAGCCCGGCATCGTCAACCTATCGCATACAACAGCATCGTCAGCCTAACAATCGTCTCAGAAATAGACACATTACGGCCTTGGTACTCGCGACTGCTAAGCGGAGTCGGTCGATACGGGATCCAGAAGCTGACGCTGGTTGGCCTCGTTGCGAAGACGCTCGTATTCGCCGACTTTCACCCGCGACGAGTTGACCATGTATGCGCTGCGCGGAACAAGCATTGCTCGAATTCTATAGAATTGGAAAACAGGTACACTTATTGGGTATGCTGATACATAACGTAGAGCGTGATTACCACGACGTCTTCAAGGCACACATGCCAAGAGTCGTGAACTTCTGTATCAACACCTCGAGTGATGGAAAAGTCCAGCTGAGAGACCCGCAGCTAAAGCGGAAGCTCGGTACAGTTGCCAAGCAATATTCTTATCAATCTGCGATGTGACGCTTGCTTGCTAATATCAGACGCTCATAGCTTTGCAGCTACTTCTGCGTTACCCGCTATGACGTCGGCTACCTGTCACAGTAAAGGGACAAAACCCATATGAAAAGTGCGAAAGATCGCCATCTTCCCAGCATCTATTCACATCCATTTCCAACTCACGAGTCATAACTCTAATTACACTTCATCCTAATCCATCTAATCCACCAATACACAACAAACCGCAATCATGGTTGAGAAGGTTATGCAACTGAAATGCGACTGCAACCAGTACCCCTGGGGGAAACAAGGCTCGAAGTCGCTCGCTGCGACCTTGTGCGAGAAGACTCCAGGCACAGACTTCAAGCTTGATGAGAACACAAGCTATGCTGAGATGTAAGTTTTCTGACGATATGACCGAATGCCATCTAACATTCCACAGGTGGATGGGCACATATCCTGAATTGCCTTCATATGTCCTAGAGACCGGCGAGGATCTTCAAAAGGTGCTCGACAGGCATCCTGATGAGCTTGTTGGAAAGAAGACTGCCGACAAGTTCAACCACACAAAGCTGCCATACCTACCCAAGGTCCTGTCAATAGCAAAGGCCCTACCACTGCAATTGCATCCAGTACGTTTCGTTTCTACATCACCATTCCTATCGTTAACACAATTATAGAACAAGGATTTGGCTTCGAAGCTGCATGCAAAGAACCCAGATCAATTTACAGACCCAAACCACAAGCCAGAGATCGCGTTGGCTCTGGGCGACTTTGAAGCTTTCTGCGGCTTCAAGCAACTCAAAGACATCGAGCGACTGATGCAGCTGCCACCTCTTCAACCTTTCCTTCCAGAGGTCAAGAAGCCCGAGTTCGATGATCAGACTCTAAAGCACGTTGTCAGGGAAATGCTCTTGGCCTCTGAGGATGCCGTACGCAAGACCAACGACGCGCTGATGAAGATTCCCAAGGAGCAATTTGGCGAATTCAGCTATATCCCCAACATGATTCCACGTTTGGCTGAGCAGTACGACAAGGCGGACAACGGAACTCTTGTTGCCCTCGTCACCATGAACTATCTCCAGCTCAAGGCTGGTGACAGCATCTACATCCCCGCCGACGGCATTCACGCATATCTCTCCGGTGATATCATCGAGTGCATGGCCCGATCGAACAACGTTTTGAACACCGGCTTCTGCCCGCGTGCTGACCGTGACAACGTCGACATGTTCTGCTCTTCTTTGACCTTCACACCACATGATGCCAAGGAGGCTATCCTACCAGCGAAACCTTTCGATGGAAGCAAAAACGGCAAGACGCAACTCTACGCGCCTCCTCTAAGCGAGTTCAGCATGCTGGCTACAACCGTGGGCGATGGTGACTCCGAGGCCATCCGGTCGCTTGGCGGACCCAGTGTCATGATCGTAACAGAAGGCGAGGGTACCATGAAGGGCAACGGCAAGGAATACAAGCTGAGCGCAGGTTACATTTTCTTCGTCGCGCCAGGTGTAGAGTTAGAGTTCAAGGCTACTAAGCAGCTCAAGGCGTTTACAGCCTTTGTAGAGTAGATCGGTCGGATATGTACCTAATGATGAGGCTCAACCCTGCGGAGGTGACCTGGCGGCCGATTGGAGGGACTAGAAGGTTCCCCGCACCTTTCACGTGCGCGTACAATCAGCACTACGGATGTACTTTAGCTGTGTAGTTATATAGCCAAGAACCTTATGAGAATGAGCGGAACGCGTTCGGATCCGCATGCACGCGTGCTGTTGATACCCACATGTATCCTTGCTTCCCCGCACTTGATGACAGGCACCCCTCTGCAGCTGGGGATAGCTATAAAACCCCGCAATGGAGCTCATGCTTGCTTGGATGAGTAGAGCTGTTCATCCATGCTAATTGATTGCTTCTTCTTGGTCGCGTTGAGCTGAAACTTGACCCTGTCGAATTCTAGAGCTGCCTGAAGCTTGCCAGCAATACCACCAACATCAATTACATTTTATTACGAGGATAGGAACGAACGAACAAGTTACAAAAGCAAAAGTAAAGCTATCCCAGGAGTCTGTTACAAAACCTGACAAAAGCTGAATCAAGCCTGCTGACACGATTTGAAGCAGTTTCAACCGCCCAACTCCGACCATGGCAACCGCGGCCCCAATGCCGGCGGAGAAACGCGACTCAATGGAAGCCACGGCGAGTAGTCTTGAAGCCAAGATGAAAGCGGCGTCAATCAACCAAACAGCGCGTAAGCGACCTCTCGGGCTCACAGACCTTCCTCCGTCCGTCCGCAACAACATCTACAAGCACTGTCTCGACGCCGAACTTGTCAACCTTGGCAAGCCAAACGTCTCCTACACCCACACCATCTCCAAAGAAGATGGCATCTTATCCTTCTCAGCCTCGCGCAGCCCTTTCCCAGTCAATACCGCTCTCTTTACTATCAACAAAGAGATAAGCAAGGATGCCCTCTCCTACTTCTACGAGAAGAACCTCTGGGTACGATTAGATGTTTACACAAGCGACGCACGACATGCAAAGACACTACTCGAAGACTCGGGCCTACTCTTCTCAACATCCAAGGGCGAACTAGTCGAAAAGGCTACACGCCATGCCCTCGAAGTTGTTCTCGTGGAGAAGAACAGCAGTCAGAAACGTGCTTCAGTTATGTTCCCCGCTCAGTATTTGCCTCGATTGATCAATTTCTTGGATCAAGCGAGCAGAGCGACGAAGACGTGGGCACAAGGTCGCAGTCTCTTCCTAAATGTTGTGAACACATACAGTTTCCCTGTATCAAAGCTACAGGGGGATCTATTGGAGCTTTTCCGTTTGTTGAGTGGGTTCGGCAAGGTGGAAGTTGATGGCAAGAACCTCTTACCTCGGTATGCGGAGGGCCTGCAGAACAATATGATGTACGAGAGCTTCACGGCAGACGGCTATCTGCAGAGTGTGACAGAGTTATGTGATTTGGCGGATGAGGCTAGGGAGAAGGAGAAGTATCAGTTGGCGAATGAGTATGCGCACGCTACTATCATTGCGTTGACGTATGGGTACTTGACGCATGCTGAGACGCTGCATTCGCAGGAAGATGACTTCAACAAGTCCATTCAACGACTGCGCTGGCGGACGGAACTTGGGTTGGGTATCAGTTTATCTATTCCGCTGAGGGGTCTTACGACCAGTAAGCATTGGTTAAGGACACAGAATCCGACGGAGGAGATTAGGAAGGCGGCGCGCGATCTTCTGCTGGCAGAGACTTCGGCCTCGAAAGCGCTGAGTCTGGCACAGGATTCTCCGTCTCCGGCGTCGAATCCTTGGTTCCACTCGCTTCCTGTCGAGCTCATTCCGCCGAACAAACCCACCTTCTTCACCGATCGCGAAAAGGCACAGACGTGGTATGCGCTGGGTACTGTACATATGGCTTTGGGTGAATACATCTTTGCCTGTGGCGACATGGAGAGAGCTTTGGAGCTTTGGGGCAAAGACACAGGCATTGATGAGGAAGGCGGCTTGAGAAGCAAGATCGAGGAGTCTTTCGAAAAGGCAAGGAAAGGTATCGATGGTGACGCGGAGAGTATGTGGGTCGGTGAAGTCAGGCCAGGAACAGGACTGAAGACGGCGGCTTCTCTGGCAAAGGGACTGTCGGATGATCTGAGGAAGTAGAGATCTTTTATCGATACAACTAATCAGTAAGAGTAGAGATTACTTCTCACAAACCCCAACGAAGACGTATAATGATCAACTCCGGAAGCGTTGAAGTTTGTCTATCATAGCGCAAATATGCTTGAGGATTTTAGCTGCTCGTACATTGGTGTTTTATCGACTTCAATTATAGTGTTTTACTTCTGAGCCTACGCATGCTACTACCGCAATCTGCAGCTCCTCTCGATAAGTCTTTGAACACGCAGTGATTATAACTTGCAAATATTCATTGATAAACATTTATCTTACAACCGAAACGTTTTGAAACCATATTTATGATGTTCTCGTGACGCCATTGTAGGCGAAACATTGGTAATCCGATGGTAGGAGAAAAACAAAGGATATAATTGCTGAATACGTATCCGAACTTTTGTGCATTGCCTGATGCATGGTAATCGTATACGAAACGAGTGGTAAAGGGACTTTGGAAGGATGGATAATACAGCGAAGTAGAATTGGACTTGATAAAGTGGCAGAAGACCGTCAGCCAAGTTCGAGGTCGGATTGGACCCAGGAACGATCTTGGATAGCGGCCATGAATGAAGTTTGGCCGTCTCGTCGTTGATGTATATC